ATATTTTAAATGACTCTTTAAAAATAGTTCAAGTCTACAGTCCATAAAACAGCGAATCTAAAATGCACCAACAAACTGAAATCTGCAAAGTGCTCTAAATGCCATCTCTAAGTATGTGTAGCAGGTTAGAAGTCTCATTAAAATGAAAGATAGGGGCAAGCCCCGAAAGAGAATGAAGAACTGCAGCACATAACTGCATAAACATGTGATTTACCATTCACCCTACAGGCATCTCACGTCTTCCAAGAACTGTCTGTCACATTATAAGGATTTGGAAGAGTCACTCACTCTGGCTATTATCCCATTAAACAAACTGAGGGTGGGAGAATGTTTACCCTGATCCACTCTTGGTATTCATAGGGCAATGATGTATGATCTTCAAAAAAAATAGTTTGTCATAGCTCACAATTCCTGAGAGACTTTTAGGTAGATGGAAAAAAAAAGTTATTTAGCAACCAAGTTCTCAGCAGATAGAACAATCCCCAGGCCTTAAAAGAAGTATGTACTGTACATTTCCTTATGCATAATAATTGATCGCATTTATGCAGTGCCGGTTATGGGAATCATTTCATCCTCTTGGGAGAAGTGAGATAGCCATTATGCACCAATAAACCCCGCTACACATCAGATCAGGCACAGAAGTGAGAAATTGCTTCATCAACTGAATTAAGTAGTAATTTAAGGATGACAGATTGTGTAGGCCCCGTGTCCCAGTGTAAATGTTAGCCAGAACACCAGGATTAACATCCCTACTCCAATAGTGATTCACAATCAAGTAATCAGATACCGCTCTTAATGCATCGTCTAAAGTACAACACCTCTTACAATAAGCTGAGGGCACTGTTTTAGTTTTAGAAATTCTGGTCCAGAGGAAAGAGTTCTGCCTCTTGGTCCTACCAATTCCCTATTCTCATTGGAGGTCTCACATTCCAGTTCTTACCAGGCCTGGTTCTGGCTTGTCTTCAGAGATCTGATTAGCTCAGGATTAAAAGGTGTCAACAGCATTGCCACGTTGGAGTTCATGTAACAAATGCCAGTACCTACAAAAATGGCCTTTTTGAAACATATGCTTTGGGGGGCATTTTTAATATAAAATAATTTTACAAAACTACATTATAACTGACAGTATTAATTTCTTAAATTTTATGGATTTTAGTTGTTAAAGTATTAAAAAATAAACAAGTCCTTAGTCCTTAGGTCTAACAAACCTAAACAAAGTTTTGAAGACTGAAACATGTGGAGCTTAATCTAAGATCTACCTCAGCCTCATCCATTTATTTGCATTAGCCAGAAGCTGTGGCACATCTATAAAGCTGGCATTATCTGCAGTGCAAACCGTCTGGAAGGAACAAGAGGCAGCACTCAATTTAATTTTGGTTCTGGAAATTGCTTGTGTATTATAGGGCCCAGAGCCTATTGCCGATTCACTAGGGAGCATATCCAAACCATCAGTAATCCCCCTCTTTGTGTTAGCCTGGAATTATTCTGCCAAGTATACATAGCCTTAAGGAAAAACTGATAGCAACTGAAAAAAAAAATCAAATAAATCTAAGGTTATACACCGTACATACACACAACAATCTACATGTACATTCAGTACATATATAGACGCGCGCATGTGTAGATGAATATGCTTTGATGTGTATATATGATCAAGATTCATACACCACTGGAGAAATCTACAATTCCCATTGTGGTTGCCACACAGACCAGGCATTATTAAACAATACAGTATTGTGGTTGCAAGGCACAAGTCAGAAAAAGAAATAGAAAAATAGGAAATTCAGCAGGTTAAAGACATGTAGGGTCTCCTTGCTTGTGTTTAACTGGGATATCTTGCAATAAGTTACAATTACAAGCTTTTATTTCATAAATAACAGATACACTGCCATATCGTCAGCAGCCATAACACCCTGCAACTCACAACTGGGAACCCACTGAAGCTAATCAGGTGAGACCTGTACTAAAAACTAAGGTTGCTGCTGGAAGTGTTGTAATTGGGACCAGCAGGGTGCACTAACCCTGCGGTCTGTGTGGGTCCTAATGCCCCAGTATAGTGACAGGGACACTATACTGTAAACAGGCGCCGTCCTTCAGATGAGATGTAAACTCGAGGTCCTGACTCTCTCTGGTCATTAAAAATCACAGCGTGTTTCTTGAAAAGAGTAGGGGTGTTACTCCGGCATCCTGGCCAAATTTCCCATTGGCCTTTACCAATCCTAATAATTCCCATCTATGAATTGGATTCAGTACTCTGTTCCTCCCCACTGATTGCTGGTGTGTGAGGAGCGTGCCGGCGGACTGCTGGCGGATCATCCAGGTGGATGCTGCACATTGGTGGTGGAGGGGATCCTCATTGCCTGTAAAGCGCTTTGAGTGGAGTGTCCAGAAAAACACTATATAAGTGTAAGAAATTATTAATTACAGTAAATACATATATTGTTCTATTTTATCACTTCATCCATTATCGGAAAGTGGTTTAATCTGCAGCAAGTCTGATTGTATCCTGGAATTACAAGACAAGTACAAGTACAAGACACAACTAAGAACATAAGAAAGGTTACAAACAAGAAGAGGCCATTCAGTCTCAATAACACGCCTGCATTGATTGAACATGGGCGATACCATGGAAGAAGCCTACACAGGACACCTGTCCACTGCAGAACACTCAGTAAGAAACCTAGTCAGCAGGTCTTTGGAAAAGCACCTAGAGAAAACCTAGACACAAGGGGACAACGTGTACACCCCATACAGAAGGCCCAGAATCCTGTCCTATTTATGTCATTTAGAAGAACTGCTATACAAAATGCTGTTTTAATTAGTGGGCTTGTGGGAAATTCAAAATGATTTGCTTGCAAAGTGTAATTTATTAATTTACTCTATCAACACATTAGTGCAATTTACAGTGGAATTCCCTCCATCCTACTAAAACAAGAGGAGGACATTGTGGACATATTAGCTTATTGATTCAAGGGTCATACCAGGTCACACATGTTTGTGATTGGACTAAACAGCACCAGCATCCTTTTGTTGCACAGTCAACTGAAACTGAAAAGAATATCTGAAATATATGGTACACTCTTAACTATACAGGATACATAATAAAAGTGCAGAAAGTAGATCACCGGATGTTATGTTAAAATTGTATAATCCACAAGTAAGGTCTCATTTAGATCATTAATTTGGTCACTACACAACAGAAAAGATATTGCTACTTTGATATAAGTCCAAAAACAGCAACTGGATTTATTCACCAAGCCCTGTTATTTTTTCAAATTTAAAACTAAAACATCTGCCATATGAATTACAAAAATCCAGTATCCCCCAGTGTCCTAAGAGTCGTGTTAGCAGTTTGCAACCCTTTTTGTTTACTGTATAGCTAATTAATCATTATGTGAAAACCAATGAATGTACTGTGTAATAGTTTTAAGGACGTCCTTGCAGACTTACTAGCATTTCCCAGATTTTAATACACTGAGATTATGATTTGCAAAATCATTCACTGTTATACATGTATGTTTCCTGGTGGCAACAGTTTGCAAATTCCTTTTGAATAAGTTGTTGAACAAAAGCCTTGAAGCAGGCACTAACAGGCATATTAAAATGACAAAACTCTTCACAACCCCACACCCTCTCAGGCAGGAGCTCTTCTTCTGATGAGATAAACACAGCAACACTCATTTGTATTGTGGTGAACATAATATTAGTCATTCGTCCCTGCAAACAAAAATACTCATTTAAAAATATTACCCATTTTATGTTTTTGCATTAATTACACAGCATCTGCATCTTCTACCACATTTGGAAGGAACAAGCATGCATCCTTCACCAACCAAAAAGTAAAAAAATCAAAGTAGAAAAAATTCCCAGATTATATTTTTTCTAAATGTACGATGTCCTAATTTATGGTTTCCAAGGCAGTTGAATTTTGTTAATATCATTAATTTATTGGCTCTCATGCTGGAATTACAAACAAAATGTATTGGCCGCCCCCGACTGTGCAACATAACTCTCCTGCAGTCTTCACTGCTACCAGCTAGGAAGAATGAGCATTCATTAATTTTTTTTAAGGATCTCTGATAAACAGGCACAGTTCAGTTCATAATATTTGCTTAATGAATTAGTGGATAACTGTTTCAAATGGAGATGAATGCATTTGTGCGCGTCTGTGTTTGCAGCTAACCAAACAATGAAAATGCTAAAAAAATAAGGAGTATAAATGTGAATAATCAGCAACATGCGGCAGAACATGAGAAAAGTCAATAATGAAAAGAACAGTGTTGTCACTATTTAGCTAAGAAATGTACTGATGCATATTGTAACTGTTCACTGGTGCAATTATTAAAGTCCAAGTGATCTGCACAAACTGATACAAACAGAGAGAAGGGAAAAGCACACAGCAAGCAGAGTTGGTCTTCTTTTTTTTCCGACAAACCTACTCATGTATAGCTAAGAAAAGGAAGATTCAAAGTTAAATATTTTTCTATCCAGAATGCCATATTTTCTTCCATAATCCACCCCTTTGAGAAAGAACTGTGTCAAAGACGGAATTTAATCCTGAAAGCAAGGGAAAACAGAACCACTCGGAGTGAAACTGCAGGCCAGAGCACAGGCTGGTCCGCAGTCTGATGACAGGAGGTATTGGCTGTATTTACTAAGCAGACCACGAAAACCAAGTGCAGTTACAGAGGCCCAGTAATATACTGGCCACAACTAGACTGAGGGAGCTTCATGTGCATGATCCTTGTGCCTATGTAATGTTGCCCTTATTTTCCCCAATGTCTTCTTGTAATGAGCTTATAAAAAGCAAACGCTCCCCCAGTTCCTAGCCCCATACAACATTTTTTCTTGCAAATTGCTGAGCTGATCTCGAAAAGGAAAATCCAAATAATTTACAGACCTGGAATGAACCGAGACCCAGTGATTGAGAACCGAACCAGAAACCAGAAATCACTTTCGCTTCACATCTGTACTGTCTGCAAGTACACACAGCATCACCATACACTTGCACAAGGTTTTAATGTCAAAGACAAAGCAAGAGAGAGACAATGAGAAAAGAAACCTAGGCTACAGTGAAGTGCTAAGATCTGGAAATGCTGGATCTTGTCCCTAGGAGTGCTTATACAAAATGTTTCAATGAACATTAAGATTAGGGTGCATACTGGAAGCTCATCTTAGACCCAGTCATTGTTAAAAAACACTGAAGTTGCTATAAAAATGTCTAAATACTCAGTCTTTTCCCAATACAAATTAAACACATGCTGTTCACAGCGATCCACTTCAGGCAAACACCTCGGAAATCATGCTGCAGAACAGTGAGCAATCATCAGTAAAATACAATTATTCACAACTTGATCTAGCTATGATGTTTCCGCCATGGACAAGCTCAAATAAAACTGTGCAGTAGCACAAATGTAAGAAATGTATACTTCAGCTTTGGATTGATGATACCAATTGTCTAGCAAGCATTTGTGAAATATTTCAGAACCGGAGGTGACTTTTGCGTGTCCAGAAAATCAGATTCCTTGGGCTCAGTCTCTGGGCAGATATGGCTGATGCTGTTGTACCCTCCTGTGACCTTGGGTAAAAAGGCAATAAAAACCTGAAAAAAAAATTAAATAAGGAATGTCATCTTTCATACAAAGTTCATTTTCTTCTCTGCTGCCGCCAGTCTTGCGTGCAAAACGTGAAAGGTTAATTTGAATATTATTGCAATTATTAGTCAATATCCATTTCTATTTGTTTCAAGAGAAAATAGTTGGATATAAATCACAAAACCTTTCATTAGTTTAATCCCCACAAACATCAGAAGGTTTATCATAAATTATATTAAAACAGCTATGAATTTCTGTCCCATTACAGTGCCTAAATAAATGAAAGGATTGCAAACATACATATACTGCCACTATAATTCATAGTCATACAAATCAATATTAATTAAATTCACAAAAATATATTTTATACAAGTGGCATAGGAGTTGTATTTTTTTTTAAATCCTACTAAGTGTGCTGCTCAATAATAAATTACAATGAAAACTATGTGCAGAGCATCCAGTATTTTAACTGGCACAAATACTTAGTGGAGCCACTCAGATATTTTTCAGAATTCTTTTGTGACAATTTCACATTTTCCACTGCTGGTTTTTCTTACTTTCATCCTAATATTAAGGTCCCCTCTGCACTAAATCCTTGGGGATTATTTAGATTTCATTCACAAAATACTAAAATACTTACAGTACTACTGTAAGGTCATCCCAAATCCCCTACAGATTATAACAAAAAAAGAATGAAATTCTGTTACATAAACTGACTTTTTCTGAGGTCCGAGGTCGATCAAAAAATACGATATCTGAAAGATAATAGGTGGGAATGCACAATGTAAGGACCGTGCTTAATAGCTACTGACCTAAGACTGAATTTAAGGTCCATTCTGAAACTCAGAAGCACTCAGTGCTTCCCTATCATTTCATTCTTGATCATCTGCGCCCTCTTGTGGAAGAAGGCGCATTGACACTAGTAAACGAGCCATGAAAAAGGTCAGAAAACTACTTCTGCAACTAACACCAATATTGAAGTTATTTTTAACTAATAACCTACTTTTCTTTGATTGAAAAGCTTATCAGATTAAGAACTCAGGTGGGCCTACAATATAAGAGAGAGGTATCCCAAAACATGTGATGCAAAATAATGCGTCATACTTAAAAGAGTGTCAGTGCAGAGCGCAGTGAAAGGCACTACTGTAATACATTCACTCAAGCTGTGCATGGTATGTAATAGCATTAGCAATACAGGTTCCCATTGAACAAAACTGTTAATTACTGTTTAATTACGATTACTGTAAATCAGCAAATTATCTTCATGCAAAGGATAATTTTTCACCTTTTAATGAAAGAGTGACAAACCTTTTGAGTTTTAGAAGGTGTAACCTTTTAAGAGTGCCCACCATAATCCCAAGACCCATTCTCAGAGCAGATCGTGACAACCAGATATCAAGAGATTTTAAAAAAGGACGCACTGAAAGGCCTTTTGCACGCTACATATCACAAAATACTTCTTACATTTATATAACTTTTATCTCATACATTTTGTTCTTAGATGCATTTTTGGTCATACATTATGCATATATCTCCCGTCACCTCTTCTGGGATTTTTCTCCAATTTAATCAGAATTAAAGTGTTCTTTCTGGTACATGTTTAGAACATGACCCATTTCTCTAAATCCTCCAGTGACACCGAGTTTATTCAAATTCACAAAGACTCTAACATTATGTTTATTATGCTATGTAACCTAATGGAACAAACGTTTATGAGTTGAATGCTTAATTAGCACTTTACATGAAGTGGTTCCTTTAGCTCTCATGGAAAGGTTTAGACCTATATATTCCAGATAACCTATCTACAGTACATATGCAAACACACATATGCAATAGAAACAATTACAAAATAACTATGTGTATTCCAGATTTATTGATACCCTCAATAAAATAGGGACCAAAAACATATAACAGAATAGATGATGTGGCATGCTGAAAAATAAAATCTAAAAATGGAATAATGTAACCTGTTATAACACAGAACCACTACAAAAGGCTTAGTTTTCATCACCAACATACTGTCAGAGAACTTTTGTTTTTGGCCTAGTCTGAGTAGAGTAAGTGGATACTTAAAAACATGACTTCTGACGTTGTCTAACGAAAATACAATATATGAGCTCTTGTGTAGGTCTTTGCTAACTACGACCACCAATGGGAGTGACCTTATCTGAAGAGGGAGAAGGGACGTCAGCATGTTGTAATAAACTCTTCCCATTCTCCTTTCTGAACTCGGCAAAGTTAAGAAATTGAAATGTGGCTACAGGCGCTCTCTAATGAACGCTGTTGACAACAATGCTGATGGCACCCCTGGGAACTGTATTTTTTTTCTGTTGCAAATCAATCAGAATGCTTCCAGCAGGACACCAGAGTCAATGAACCACGAACAATCATGTATGTGTGAGTATAAAAAAGAATCTCATATTATTGTTCAGAAAGACAATCGGCTGAAGTGGAATTCCTCAAACAAGGTACTCTGCAGATTTCTAGTTCTCCACCCATGAACCTAGGTACACCACCCAGCAACCTAAATTAGATGTTGCGGGTAAAGACCATGACATGTTAAAACTGCTACAGACTGTGCCATATTGCTTTTGAAGAACAACCAAGCACTCAGTTTAAAACAAACCACCAAATAAAATTCAGCTTTCAGTAACACGGAAACCGTGCACTTCTTATTTTCCCAATCTTTTTCATTTACCAGACTTTTAAGTGTACGGAGGAGGGCCTACATGAGGAAAATAAACTGCCACGAGGGTAGATCTACATGATGAGAATGCCCTTTCATTGTCAATCTCATGCAGATAAGCTTTAAAGTGCAGTGCGGGAAAATTAAAATAATAAATGAAACAAGGAGATACCCATCAGTAGCAGATTACTCACTTTTTCTCTCTTTGCTGGGTCTTTGTTATCAGCTCTTTTGATTTGCTTCCCATTTGTTGCCCCAGGGAAAGATCTTTTAAGTCAATATTTGTGGGCTGCACAGGCAGATGGCCTCTTTGTTTCTGTGAGCCCCATGCAAAAGCCGTTATCCAAACTCAATGGTGGAGGGGGTCTGTGCTTTGTCACAGTGTGGGTGTCACAAGTAGTCTGATTGGCTCCCTGAACACGTACTGGTGTGAAGTGATAAGGCATCGTAAGGACTGGAGGATGAAAAAAGTACAGGCCATGTGTGAATCCGAGGCAGATGGGACAGCCATCTGTCTGTCCACTTTATTCATTTGTGACATGATTCAACCAGCACCACTATCGTGGCCAATATTTTAATAAGCAGGCTGATTTCTTTACCAGTTTCAATTTGAAAACAGTGTAAACGTTTTCACAGCTAAAAAAACAATCCTTCCTCATAGAAAGTCCTCACACAGGTGTGTGCATACGTTATATAGATATTTAAAAGATTTGGTCAACTGGAGACAGGCACTCTGGGCAAAGACTCACGGAGAGACAAATATCATAAAAAAGCTGGTGGAAAAATACATTTTTGTTTTGAAGGTAAAACATTTTATAGTGGAAATTTTTCAGTTGCTACTTGAATTTATTATTTCTTTAGCGGAAAACAAACACTTTTGCCCTTAACTATTCTAAAGCTCTTTATAACTATATCTTTACAAATGTTTATAAAATAGTAACATTATTTTGCTTACCCAGATAACCAAAGTTATGATTATTTGTTTGTTGCCCCTTAGAGCTACAAAAGGATGTGTCAAAATAAAGGCACATGCTTTGAAAAACAACATAGAGCCACAGAACATCCCATACTCTGACTTCTCTAACTTTCCTTTTGTGTAGTAATATGTCTTCCAGATCCATTTTCCCAAAACATCTGGTCAGGAAGAGTTCAATGCACTTACAAAGACAAAAAACTGTCCCACCCACTCCTTCTAAATTTGTTTCTTTCCTCTGGCTTTTTCATGTGACCCCTGTCAACACAATTACACACTATCCTTTTAAATGGCTGCCTGATCAAAAGAAGCAGTATGCACTATAAGGTCTCCATAATATTTGTAGCAGGGCAGGGAAGCACTTCCTAATCTGTTAAAAGACCAGGCTGTGGTACATAAACACTGCTATATTAATAGAAAACTATTCCCATGGTGTAACTAGAGATTTCACATTTTGTACTACATATCAGTAAACATTTAGAAAAGCAAGGAGAGGAGAGTTAAAGGCTCTGGATTCAGAACCAGAAAGTCTGTACTTTTGTCAAACTCTGTATTCAAAAACAGAACTGCATAAATTCAACGCAAATGGTACTAATTTGGTAGGGAAGATGACGCACGTATTGAACATAATCTCCAAACTGCATTCAACAACTAGGACAATAATTAAAGTGAACACATTGCTATATAATTAGAGGAAAACACGTAGCTGTCTACACAACTGCACTTAAACTACTGATCTCACCTCGCAAAGAAATGCTCTTAGAATAGCAAGTATTGAGGGAAATGTTTTCACTCAAAGACAATAATTACAGTATCACTTCAGCTGCCAGTAAACTACCTCTGAAACAGTACAGCAGTCAAGTGTTAAAATGCACATACCTGTAGTAACTAGTTTGTAGCGTGTTGTCAGCATTATTTGGAATTTAGAAACTACACAAGCTTGCACGGCATACTGTACACAGGAGAAAATAAATGAGAATGAGGATTCTAAGAACTAAAGTCCAATGAGGCTATATTGACATTCACATATAAAACTATACTTGATCATAGTGGATAGTTTTACCCTGCTTTAAACTCTCAATTTAAAGATCATATTTTTATAACAAATCTCCAATAATAAAAGAACAGTCAAAATACCAGTAAAAATAGATACTGTTGGCTGAGCTTCAGCATTCACAACAAAGATGTGAACTACTTATAGGAATTCCATCTCTGAATACACAACCTGAATCTCAAGAAGCCAACACAAGGGACAAGGGACCTTATACATCCACGTTCATATCCACATGAACTTAAATAAATATATGCAGATTCATTTTTAAATAGTTAAGAGTTTCCACTTATTTTACTTTTGGTAACCTCTGAAACTGATCTGAGGTTATACAGACAAAAGCAGAGAAGCCTGCTATCTTTGTGTGTGCCTCTTACAGTATAATGTTACATGACTTTGTGCTTCTAAGAAAACAACATCCCATTTCCTGGTATGTTACATGTCAGGGCAGAGCAAAGGCTAATGTTCATTAGAATGGCAGCAATATGAAGACACTGAAAAGATCTCCTTTTAACTGCATGTTTCTGAATAAGCCTTATGCAGTAGGATCAAATGGAAATGCAAGGAACGCAGAAGCACCCATGGATGAAGACGTAACATGAGCCCCACCCCATGTCAAAACTGCTTTTAGTCAGGTGGGTGTCTGCTAGCGATCAAGTTTATCAGTACTGATGCTAAGAGCTGAGAGTTGAACTTGTGAAACAGAAAGAGCTGAAAGCGAAAAAACTGAGGACCAGGGCCCTTAATTATATGACAAAAACACACACTTGTCACATTTACATTTTTTACTGGCTTCACATACTACGATTCCTCCAAAAGCAATGCTAGCTCTTGCTGCTTTACATGGGAACATACACAGACCAGAGGAAGTCTTTCAGCTCATCAAGACCACTCATCAGTTGATCCAAGGATCTTATTCCAGCCCCTTGTTAAAAGATGCCAGGGTATCAGCACTTACAGCTTGGCTGAGTAGCTTGGTCCACCTCCCACCACTCTTTGCAGAAAGAAGTACCTCCTGTTCTCTGTTTTTAATGCACTTCTCCAGTTTCTACTTATGTGCGGTTTCATCTAGGCCAGGAGCCCTCAAACCCACACCTGGGGGGACACACACCTGCTGGTCTTCATTGCACTGTAGGTGAAAAAATCTTCAACATTACAGGCTGCTTGGCTCAAACTTTGTGCAACTTTGTGTGCTTAAGAGGTTTGGGGATCTTAAACTTAGTTTATGAAACTTATGTTTCTCATTAAGCGGTAACAGGCAATCTGCAATACGTTGGGAACTGAACACGAGTCAAGAGTTCAAATCAAATCTATTAATAGGTCTATTAAGGCACGTTATTTAATTAAGTGCTTAGGTAGAGCACAACACAGCAGGTGTGTTGGTCCCAAGGTAAAAAAGACTGGGAACAGAGTAAGCTGCATTACACGACAAAAGCTCCGCAAACAGACCACTTGGGCTTTGACATTTGTTACAGGGATTTATGTACTTTTAAATCCATACCTATTCTATAAATGCTCTTAATAGGCATCAGAGCCACGTTTACAAACCACCTAAACACCAGAATGACAGAAGTACCACTCTCTTCGCTGTAGTCATTAGTATGACTCTATTTACTTCACGTATGGATACAAAGTAAACGATTTTATTCACTTTTTTATATGACCCTGAATCTAAACACCCCAGAACGTGTAACGGTGAAACGCAACCTAAAGTATCAGAATACTGGTCTGTGTAAAAGAATGAAGTTCTTCTTCCAACTTGAGTGACTGGGCTCCAAAGCAAGAGTCAATCAACCGCAGTTTCTTTGTTTCAGGAAGACAGGGACAGTCTGTAGATAAATGCCGACCAGGAAGGAGCGAGGATCCCATTTGCTTAGTGTGAGGCTGCTCCGAAACAATCCCGAGTTTCTGTTCTCGAAAGGAGATGCGTCATAAAACTGGGATTGGTAAATGGGACACGAAACACTCGGGGGGGAAACGTCAATCAGGGGTACGGAGATGTGGTGCCCCAGGCTGTCACACCTTAAAAACAAATTACTCATACCAAAAAAGAAAAATCCATCTCCCAACCGGTCCTCACAACGCGGCTTTACGTAATCCATTTACCGCATAAGCATGAGTAAATTCAGGGCTTTTTTCCCCGTAAGGCTTTTTTTTTAAATCACCAACTCCTGCACTGCGGCTGTGCTACGCGTCGACCAAACTTCCAGAAAGGGATCGGCTTTACTCGGCTCCTCTCTGCTTTTTGATTCGTTGTTTATCTCCAAAGGTAACGCCTCAAAAACGTTCCTTTCCTCTGATACGGCAGGAGGAGCAAAGGAACGTCTTACGTCTACAGCTGACAAGTTAGTCTGCTCCAGCTAATAAAATTTGAGTTGTCGACTGACGTAGGCCACCAGCAAGTAGATTCTTCTCTTCGGTAAAGGTGCCGGGCGCTTTGGCTTTGTTTCTGAGTTTCTGTTGAAAATCTTCTTAGATTTTCCCCCCCGTTTATTTTTTATTTTTATTTTTTTTTCTTATTTGGAGTCAACAAAATCGTGAAAAACTGAAGTTGTCTCGGTAAAGGTAAGATAATTACATCGTATTAAATAGTCTTGTTTTTCTGTATCTCTAAAATGGCTGCTACCTTCTTTCTTTCCTTCGGATGCTATAGAAAATGGCGTCGAGTAATAGGTCCAGCATGGGTGTTTTTTAATCCTCAACGATCCTAACCGGCGTTTGTCAAGTAGCCGATTTAGCAGCCGTATTGTCGTAAATTAATGTGAATAATAGTAAAATTAATTTATCGTGTCTTAAGGAAGAGTAGCGCCTGGGCAGATGGAGATATGCGCAAGATAGCTTTTTGCGCTACAAAAGAGTATTGGGCAAGATGTATGTCAAAATTCTTTTGTGTTTATCTTCTGATCTTTTCGATGTCGGCGGGGTTTTAATACAGCATCCCGGTTTCTGATTTTTGTCATAAATTGCTGGTAGCCACTCGAGTCGGAAAAGGAGATTAATGTGGAACCCGTCCTCTATATTGTGATATAACTTGGATGAACAGACGATTTTAATTACCCTGAATACTAAGCCGGTGTTGAAACGGCGTTCCCTTTTTAAAGTAAAAAAAATCATCATCTTGAAAGAAATAGTGTAGTCTTCCTCTTTGAATGTCGATTTTTATTTATTTAGAAATGTTATGATCTGGGGGGGGGTAGTCGTGTGAGTATTGTATGAGATTGTAGTCTGGTAATCTGTTACAGCTGTTTTTTTTTTCTCGGTATATTTCAATTGTATTTTCCTAAAACAGCGGATGCGATTAGGCCTAGGAAAGACAAAGGAAGCCATGTAGCTCTCACACGCTGTGGAAAGTAGAGGAGCCCTTTTGTCTTATTTAAATTGGAAGAGTTTCTGTGGGCATTTTCTGCCGTGATTGACCTCGCCTTGGATTTTGATTCTCCGGTCCTCTTGGGTGGGAAAAGATTTCAGAGTAGTTTATCTCCTAGGCCAGTCAATGTCCGCCCTAAAACATTTCTTAAAAAAACGCTTCTCGCTTTCCCGTGGCTTTCCACGGTCGTTTCCTTACAGGCCTAACCGTTCTCTTTTATTAATATAAGCTGGAGCAGACATCTTGATTCCTTACAAGAGACTTTGACGAACTCGTTTCAAACGTGATTTCGGCTTTAAGGTTTGGCTGGCACGATAGATGAAGTAAATGATTGTGCATGGTATGTGCTAGAACAATTGAGCTCACCCTACAGGAAGTGGTAGCCATATAATGTATTTTAATTTGTCTCATTTCGTAACACCCTTTTGATGTGGATTTTAACAGGTCTCTTTCTCTCCCCCCCAGCTCGTTTTCCCCACCCCACCCTTTGAATATTATTCTTTTGAAGATTCTTCGTTGTCAAGCCGCCAAAGTGGAGAGTGTGATTGCAGAAGGGGGTGCTTCTCGTTTCAGGTTTGTTAAGCCGTTATGAGGGCTGGGGTTACTGGTGCTGCAATGGAGGGGCCAGCTTTTTTGGCATTTTTGACAGTATTTGACATGTCCAAGATGTGAGAATGTGATGTGACCGCTAGGTCATTTTTAACCATGTTTGTAAGATGTGTAAACTCAGTCCATGCTCAATCCAGGACTGACAGTTTCCTCAGAATTTGTGAGGCTGTTTGGATTCCTTTGTCATGGTTACAATTGTGGCGAATTGATTCTGTATATCAGCGCATAACCTATTCATGTTTAAAAAGTTTTCAGAAATGTGTGACCAAAGGTCTTTAGATTGAGAGATTTCAATTCAGATTGCCTATCCATCCTTTCTGAAGTATTTAGTACTTTCTAAAGGAATGTGTTTTTGACTACTCTTTATCACCTGAAAAGGTGATTATAGGGTAAATATGAAGCAGGATTGGGATGAGTTGTGGAGTGAGGGAGTAATGGTAAACATTGCTCATGCTTATTATGGTTTAGTACCCATTTTGTTTTAAGTTTTTTTCATTTTTTTCTTCTGTAATCTTATGGTGCATTATGCATCATTATGAAAAATTTTCGTTGCGTTTTTTCCCCGTCATTCCTCTGGGGTGTCATTTGATAGGATAGCAATACCAGTCCAAGGTCACTCCTATGCAGTCCTAGATAGCAGCTGGTGCTCAGTGATTTGCAGAAGCTAAAGGAGGTAGCAGTTTATGAATTGAGAAGAATTACAATTGTAGCTGCCAGAGTAATAACTTCTTTTGCTTATATAGCACTTTTTCTGGACACTCCACTCAAAGTGCTTTACAGGTAATGGGGACTCCCCTCCACCACCACCAATGTGCAGCCCCTGCTGGTACCAGAGTACCTTATGTAAAGCTTTGAAAGGGGGTATCTGTTATTTTTCCCCCAGACTCTCTGCATCAGGCAGTTTGCTTCTGGTTGATATAAATACTTTTTTTGTCCTCTGTATGTGCCTTTAATCCACAAGGCTTCTTTCTCTCAAGCGGAAGAGAGGACTCTCTCTGTTTTTTGTGTTGTTTCCTGTACTCCATCTTGATGGTTGTTTTCTGATAAAATAGGGCAGTGTTTAAATGTGCCTTTGCTTTCCCTTCCAGTGCTTCTTCGGGGGGAGGAGGAGGTAGGGGTGCACCTCAGCACTATCCCAAGACTGTCGGCAACAGGTACGCTGGCAGACAAATCGGTGCGATACATCTACAGTCCAAGTCTTGCAAATGCGTAGGTAATACCCTATGTAGTTATGGGTGCAAGGTAACATGCACGTGTGATTGTCTTTAAAGAATCTGTTTTTATGTATGGGGGGGAGGGAAAGCAGTTGGGCTTCTGTAGAAGATACTCTTGCTTTAAAGTACTGTGAATTGTTTACAATGCCTAGTCTTCTATATGCATATATAACTAAAGCTTGATTATTCATGTGTGCAGTTTTGTCATTTGACAGCTTAGCCCTGCTTGCAGTTCTCAGTTGAAATGTTTTCTGCCCTTCAGCGAGTACCTGGGGAAAACCCCAGGGCCTAGCGTTCAGAGATGGGTTCCTTCACGAAGCACTAGACGAGATGTCAACTCCACCAATGAAAAAGAACGACACGATGCAATCTTTAGGAAAGTAAGAGGGTACGTGTCACTCTTTTATCCATAAAACAATGGTACTGGTTTTCATGTGGGCGTTGATAATGGACCTATTTGATGAGATGTGGAGATTGATTCCCAAGAGCCGGAACATTGATTGAAATAGTCATGTTTGTAATGTACAACTCTCAAGACCTTGAGCCTCAGGAAATTTGTCATTGTGCTATAAAAGCAATGTTTTGCTGTTAATCGGTGTTTCCCACTCAAGTGGGATATGAAACAGTGCAGTTTATGCTTTTGAGTGGTATGGGGGGTCAGCTGATCTTTATAAGAGCTCCAGACAGCAGGGCTATTTTTAAAAACAAGGTTGTTCTTTGTCTTCGGCAGGAATCAGTATTAATGCTTTCATTTCTTATTACAGCATATTAAATAAGCTCACCCCTGAAAAGTTTGACAAGCTATGCCTTGAGCTCCTGAATGTGGGCGTAGATTCTAAACTCGTCCTAAAAGGAATCATCTTGCTGGTAAGTTTTTTTTTTTCCACAATATTCATTTCATTTTAAACCTTAGGGTGGCCACTCCAAGACTTAAGTGAACATTGTACAGTTAGGTTTGTGTAGCTCATAGGATTATGTATTATGTGACTTTGTATGGTTAAAGTGCTATGCCTTGAATGCCTCTATTCCCACTCTGCAGATTAGTGAAGCATGACATTTTTGTGCAGATCAGTTGTCTGTATATAGTCATTACCTCACAATGTTGCCAACCTCTTGTGCCTAGTGGGGCATATTTGTTGCTTATTCCTTTTTACTTCCATGTAAGTGTGCTATAACATGGCTTGATAGAATGTTATTTTAAATCATAACTTTTTTTATTCTTCTTTCCAAAGATTGTAGACAAAGCCCTCGAAGAGCCCAAGTATAGCTCGCTATATGCTCAGCTATGTCTGCGCTTGGCAGAAGATGCACCAAACTTTGATGGCCCATCACCAGAGGTTCAACCAACACAAAAGCAAAGCACGGTGAGGCTTGCACTCCATACTCTAACAAAAAACCCTATTTGGGGTTGTATGAAAATAGAATGCACATTTTTAAAGTAATTTTTCAGTTCTTGTTCAGCATTAAGCAGTCTTTTGTATATTTGGTATGTAATCCAGTTCGGTCGAGTTCAATTAAATATCTGGTCATTTCATTTTTTCAGACATTCAGGAGACTTTTAATTTCTAAGCTTCAAGATGAATTTGAAAACCGCACCAGAAATGTTGAGGGTGAGTAACATATACACAGACATGGTTTGTTTATGTATTTTGTTTTGTATTTGTTGACTGACAAATGATCTTTTTGTCTCTAGTCTATGACAAACATGACAACCCTCTTACCGCTGATGAAGAGGAGCAGCGTGCCATTGCCAAGATCAAGATGCTGGGCAACATCAAATTCATTGGAGAACTTGGCAAACTTGACCTTATCCATGAATCTATCCTTCATAAGTGCATCAAAACAGTGAGTATTGATTTGGTAGTAATTTCCTAAGCTAGCTTGGGAAAGCCTATTGCTCTTTCTACATCTGTGATTTGAGTGCCTTGCATTTCGAGTAACTTGATGCTTGTCTGACCAAAACTCTTCCAGCTTTTGGAAAAGAAGAAGAGAGTACAACTTAAGGATATGGGAGAGGATTTGGAGTGCCTCTGTCAGATAATGAGGACAGTGGGACCTAGATTAGATCATGAAAAAGCCAAGGTATGTTTTCTGGAGAAAATAGTTTTGTGTGCCTTTTGATGAATAAAATTTACTTTTAAATTGTGAAGTACACCGATGCTTAAAATACCGTTTTGTCAAGTAGTCTGTCTTCTTTTCCGCAGTCTTTAATGGATCAGTACTTTGCCCGTATGCGATCCTTAATGACACACAAGGAATTGCCAGCAAGGATTCGTTTCCTGCTGCAGGTCAGTACCATACACAGTTGTTTAATACTATGTGGAACTGTATTTCTTAGTGGCATTCTGCTGGCAAACTCTGAACTGAAAACTTGCCCTTCAAAACTTGTTGCAGGATACTGTGGAGTTGCGAGAAAACAATTGGGTTCCTCGCAAAGCTTTTATCGATAATGGACCAAAGACGATTAACCAGATTCGTCAGGAGGCAGTAAAGGTAAGTAAGATTCCATTGAATTGTAATGGAGTAAAATATTTTGTTGATGTATGGTTTTGTGCTAAATATTATGTACATTCTTTGATGTAGTGTATTGTAACTGTAGACTTATGCTTTTCATCCTTGCAGGATTTGGGTGTTTTTATTCCTGCACACATGTCTCAAGGAATGAGGAGTGATTTCTTTCTGGAAGGACCTTTTATGCCACCCAGGATGAAAATTGAGAGAGAGGGTCTTGGTGGATTATCTGATATGTTTGGGCAAATGCCAGGTTTGTAAAGGTTTAGGCCTTTGTATATCATACACCGATACTAGCTACTACTGTATGTGTACTAGCCAATACATGTGGTTGCCCAAATGACTTTGAACTATGCCTTCATTTGTAGGAAGTGGGATTGGCACCGGTCCTGGAGTTATTCAGGATAGATTTTCACCTACAATGGGGCGTCATCGTTCAAACCCACTCTTCAATGGCCATGGTGGACACATTGCACCTGTTCCTCAGTCCCAGTTTGAAATGGGAGGCAAGCCTTTTATGAAGTCAAACCAGGTATGGGAGGTTCTTTTGTTGGCTGGTAAAATTTGTGTAGGTTTTAAAAGGATGTAATGTACCCACCTTGTGACTATTAAATGGATATCATTTTAAAGGTAATTTTGTGATGGGTCGATTTCTTTTTGACTGTTCCAGGGGCAGAATCAGCATTTTCATAACCAAAACCAGGGACATTCATCCCAGCAGCAAGCTCAGTCCAAGGACATGCCACCACGGTTCATTAAGAAAGGACAGCTCAATGCAGATGAGGTAAAGAGGGTTAAAGATCATGTACAAATGCCCAGTGATTATAAAGAGACGCGTTATTCTGAGGGAGAACTGGTACCAGGTTTCCTTTCTCTTGTATCTTCTTTTTTTCACTCCTTTGTCTTTGTTCCCTTTCTCCTCCTCCCCCCTCCATCTATTCACCACTTTTAACTGGTAACTAGTGTCCGCTGAACGTGATTATGAGATATGAGGGCATACATTCCTGTTTTTCAATATTGGATATTTAGTTTTGATTTCAAGCTGAATGTACTGATTTTTTTTTTATGAATGCTTCTCCGTAGATCAGCCTGAGACCTGCTCAGTCATTCCTTATGAATAAAAATCAAGTGCCAAAGTTGCAGCCTCAGATACCAACTATGATTCCTCCGAGTGCACAGCCTCCTCGCACACAGACCCCACCACTGGGACAGGTGAGGACCTTTTTGTCTTTTAAATGCAGTGGCTTGAAGTATACATTTTTTTTTTTCTGGAAACCTAAATGTATTTAAAAGCCTTGGGACTCTAAATTCTTTGTGTTTAAGGATTTTGTGGTTTCAGCTTTTGTCCATGTTTTTTTTTCCCCACCCATAGCCACCTCAGCTTGGTCTCAAAACCAACCCTCCTCCAATCCAGGAAAAACCTGCAAAAAATAGCAAGAGACCTCCTCCTGCTAGAGAAGAGCTGCTTAAAATGACTGTATGTACACTTCTCTTACTGCTGTAGGTTTATAAACAGCCATTTACTGCAGTTTTAAATGTGGATCATATTGAAATAGTGTGATGCCTGACAGTCTGTTACAAGAATTGACATTTCTAAATGTTCTCCCCCCCTCTTTCTTCAGGAGACCATTGTTACAGAGTATTTGAACAGTAAGAATATAAACGATGCTGTTAATGGTGTTAGGGAGATGAAAGCTCCAAAACACTTTCTGCCTGAGATGTTGAGCAAGATCATTATTTGTTCACTTGATCGCTCAGATGATGATAAAGAACATGCCAGCACTCTGATCAATTCACTCAGATCGGAAGGGCTGATCACTGGAGAGAACTTCATGCAGGTGAGTATTCTTTAGTTTGAAATGCAGTGGGCACTTAAGGGTTAAGGGGACTCGCGAATGAAGCTTTTTTTTAAGGTTATTAAACTCTTACCATTATGGGTGGTTATTTTGCCTAATATTTCTATCCAAAGCAACTTAACATTTGTGCCTGGGTAATTTACTGGAGAAGTCTGAAATATGGGTATAACTGTAGCCACACTTGGACCAAATCTAGTCACTTAATGATTTTTAGGGATTTTAACGTTTTTGTTTTTTTTTTCCCCCTGCACAGGCGTTCCTTAATGTTTTGGACCAGTGTCCCAAAATAGAGGTGGACATCCCTCTTGTGAAGTCCTACTTGGCCCAGTTTGCAGCCCGTGCAATTATTGCAGAGCTTGTGAACATAGCAGAGCTGGCACAGCCTCTGGAAAATGGCACACATTTTCCCCTTTTCCTGCTCTGTCTTCAGCAAACAGCCAAGTTGAAGGATCGGGAATGGCTCACTGAACTTTTCCAACAAAGTAAAGTCAACATGCAGAAAATGCTGCCTGGTATGTTTTTTTCCCCTCCTTTTTTAGAACTTGAAGTGCTGTAGTGATGGCAGATTGTCTACTTCCATTTAAGCAAAATGTTGTAAAGAATGTTAATTCTGACCTTGCATTAACTTTAGTTAGTGTAACATGGCTTAGGTATGGCCTGTTTAGCTATCTAATGGCTTTGGATGAAACTTAAATTGCTATGTAATTCAGGCTCTGGCAATTGGGTGATGTTAATTGTATAATCAGTATCTAAAGAACAGCTGTTTATTGAGCAGTATATCATGCATACTTTTTTTCCTGTTCTAGAAATTGATCAGAATAAAGATCGGATGTTGGAAATCCTTGAAGGAAAAGGGCTTAGTTTTCTGTTCCCACTTTTGAAACTGGAGAAGGAGCTGTTGAAGCAAATAAAAGCAGATCCCTCCCCTCAGGCCATCTACAAGTGGATCAAAGACAATATTTCACCCAAACTCCATACTGATAAGGGGTTTGTCAATATCTTGATGACCAGGTAAGAGAACTATTCTCTCAAGCATGTATACTGTTTTTTGCCTGCTTAAGTTGTGCGAAATGCCAATTCTTCTATTTTTCTTCTAGCTTCTTACAGTACATTTCCCATGAGATGAGTATAGCTGAAGGAGATGACCAATTATCTGCTCCGTCAAAAGAGCAGTTAGACCAGGAGAAGCAGCTGCTGTTATCCTTCAAGCCAGTAATGCAGAAATTTCTGCATGATCATGTTGATCTCCAAGTCAGTGCCCTGTACGCGCTGCAAGTCCATTGTAACAACAACGGTTTTCCAAAAGGTAGGATGTTAACCTAACTGACGTGTGTCTTTCTAGTTTACGTGATTCCTCCCTCTTCTCTTGTAATTACCATGGTTAGGGTGAAGTCTCCAGCTTTCTGTCTCAAACATTTGATGAGTCCTCTCTTCTAAAAGCCTGTTTATTAGTTAATATTTCCTACAGAACGTCCCTGATTTTGTTAATCAAGTTTTATGGATGTTCTTCTATAATGAATGGTCTGTATTAAATCCTAGGCATGTTGCTGCGCTATTTTGTCAACTTTTATGATATGGAGATAATTGAAGAAGAAGCCTTCCTTGCTTGGAAAGAAGACATTACCCAAGAGTTCCCTGGAAAGGGAAAAGCATTATTCCAGGTGATTATTTTTTCTGAACAGGTTCAACCTGCTAACAATTGAAGATATTTTGTTAGAAATAGCTTTCTTTCAGTGTCCTTTTAAAGAATTTATGAACATATGTTTATTTCCACAACATGGCTAAAAGATTAAATGAACTTGTCTCAAATTATATGTATTCAGTTTTCATTGTGTGTAGTGGCTTTTACAGTCCTCATTTTCCCTTCCTCATAGGTGAACCAGTGGCTAACCTGGCTGGAGACTGCAGAGGAAGAGGAGTCTGATGAGGAAGCTGACTGAAGAACCAGCCAAAGCCTTACATGTACTATTGCTATGAGATGACAGCTTTTTCCCCCCTCCCCTCCCCTCTGCCCAAGTGCTTCCCTTGTCCTGCCCCCTCACCTAACCACTGCAAAAGTTCATTCCGCTATAAAGGTTTTGCAGTATTTAAAGCAAAAGCATGTTTTTTTTTTTGTTAGACTAAGGTCTTAAGCATAGCATACCATCTAACAATTTTAGAAAGCCTTTGTTTAGGAAGTTTATAATGTATTAGCATGGAATTACATCTTATGTTGTGCATAGTGGCAGTAGATGGCGAAGATGTGTTTTGCTGCCATGTATTCTACATAGGCTTTCAGTTAAGTAAATAGCAACACTGTAGAAATGCACTTTGCTCAGTGTAAAACTTGAGTCGTTGCAATATTTTATCCCTTGATTGTTACAAAGAATCCTAAACTGTAATCATTGGTTTGCTGCCATAACATTAATAGTTATTGCCTGTGTTTCTACCTCCTAGTAATGGGCTTTGTTATGTGCTGGGTTTGAGTATTCTCCAGTCCTATTTAAAATGACGACAAAAAAAGAGAAAAGCCTGGGCAGGTGCACAAGTCTTTAATGAAAACCTGGTTTACTTGCACAATATGACCTGATTGTGAGATTTTAGCCCTTTAAGTGCTTGGTGTGGTTGTATGTAAACCTGTAATAGCAAGAACTTCTAATGAAAAGCCTTCTTTAATTTGTTCACATGCCCTGATTTTTGTAATATTACCTGTATCTGTCAAACATTGTGATACTTGAATTTCTTCTCTTCCTGCTGCATGTTCAGGGACTCTTGAAACATGAAATTCTGCCCATGCTGATGGGACATCTTTTGATCAAGAAAGTGTGTCAACATGGAACTTTTAACCTGTCTTTTTAACTTTAAATCGGTGAATAAAAAGTTAACTGAGACCAAATGATTGGCTATTGAATTCCCCCTCTATCCTGTTCTTGAAATAATGAAGGCTTGTACTCTGGTTAGCAGAAGAGGGACTAGGATGCAGGTAATGCATAATTTAACATCTTAAATTAGAATACAATCATGGCAGTATGGGCATGTCCCTGCACATAACAATTTCACTTTTAATGTGCTCTAGAGTTGTACATGTAAATGATTTTCCATCTGTAAGGTGTGAAAGATTAATGTGCTGAAAATGTCGTGTACCACTATTACTTCATCTTCAGTATAGTTATACACTGTTAAGATCTTATTACTGAAATCATTATGTATCTTTCATTGGTTCTCTTTCCAGCCATACTGTAAAATAAGGATTGTAAACCTTTTAAATCAGTTCAAATGTATTATTTCCCTGAAAACTATTAGCCTTATTGTTACTATTCCTTTATTAAATGGCCAATGCAGAGGAATGTGTAACCTGACTGCTCTGGAACGCCTAATAAAAATAAGCAACAGTTACAACACTTCTGGTATTTATGAGCAGTCATCCTTTTGAACTATGGTGGAGTGATGAAGTCAGTCTAATGCTAATCACTGAAAATATCTGACCTCATTTTACAACTCAAGCAGTTCCCGGTGTATTCAATACAATATTTGATTTTGGGAGTACTCAACGTGATTGATAGCTTCAAGCTTCATTATAATCAAAGGATGGGTATATACAATTGTGTATATTTTCATCCTTGGAAAATATATACTTTGTACAGCTAGGTATTTCAAATGAAATAAGCAATCTTCCACTGATTGTAACAGCGTACAGTTACAGACATGATTAAAGTTTCACAATTACTAAGGTATAAATGTAATTTTATTTCAAGTCTCAAAAGCTTGGAAAAGGTGTGTAAGAAGCTGAAATGCTAAATGTTCCTAACCACCAAACATAGATGACTTTGGTTTGGCGGTTTTGTATCCACACAGTTTGATTCTTTCAAATGTATTTAAAAAAGGGTATTTTTCAAAGGTCTAAGTCCTTTGTTACATGCCAGTCTAATGCATTTGTAGGCTTTAACCCAATGAAAAGCAGTCATTCAGTCTTCTGCTGGCAGCCAAAAATACTCTACTACTTTTGTTGTTCTTCGTGCTGATCCCATCTCTGGAACTCCTTGAGGCAAGAGTTCGCTAAAATGAACTGGTGATGAGCCTCTTGTAGAGCTTGAACTTGGAGCAGTAATCCTGTATAAGAGTCTGCAGAAGATGGGGGAATATTTGTTAAAACCAAGATAAGGGTATGTTTGGTCTATAATTGACTTAGTAAATTGGCTTTTAAACTTTGTAAATTTTAATCACTGTGCAATCTGAATAATAAATTCCTGACATCTTTTAGAAAGCCAAGCTGGTAGATTTCCATTTGTGCTACATTCTTTTCTTTAGGAGAATACTTGGCAGGATTTAAAATAAAAAAAAATAATCACACAATTGCATAAGTTCCTGCTCATTCAAGTTTCCATGGTGATGTTTCTTGTTTTGATTTTGGTCTCTAAGGAAGACATTGGACTGAGTTTGTTTTAAAAGACTGATTTTATGAATAATGAGAAAAATATTTCCTACGGACCTAACATTGATATCGCAAAAATGGAATAGTGTGGTACGAGCACAAGGAAAGGGCACAGGTACAGTTACTATAATATTGATAGAACAGCTGTTTTGACCATCTGCTTGGGCCGATGTATGGTGCTGAAAGCATGCTGACACTGCGCTTGCCTGCGATGAAGTACACAAATAGTATCAAGTGGGGGGGGGGGAAATACCCCCTTCAATACATAAGATAAAATATAATACAAAGTCACATTTTGCATCTGCAGAAATTGTTACATTTAAGAAAAATGTAGTCGTCTGGACTTCTTGATTTTTGCCTTTCAGCCAATGAGTTAGGCGTGTTGACAATAATTACAGGTCTATTTTCAAGTTTAAATTGTACAACACATAGGGCTTGATGAGCAGAGCCTGATTAGCACTAAAAGTGCTGCATATTGTGTCCTAAATGTCTTTTGTTCTATAAACAGTATACAGCTTATGACACAAATTTAAGAAGAAACTTTTCTCCAGCGTCCATGTCCTAAGGAAAGATTGAGTATGGTATATAAAGGTAGTCTATTGCTAGTTCCTGACAGCATGCCATGTGGCATGGTATTTGATACAATTTCCAGTTTATGGCCATCTATGATTTTAGACACTTTACAGTTTCTGAAGTGTGCTGTGAGGAGTACCGTACGCGTGAAATGGAACCATAGGACATGCTAAAGTGGAACCAAGAGTGGATCAAAAATAGTAGTCCGAAAATCATCACCATCTAAACAGTAAATTGGAAGACAAATCACACTCGTGGCATTAAAGCCATCACCCAGGAGGTCAACAACAGGACGAAAGGCAATATTCACACATGATTGCACAGAGATGATAGTGGCACCAAATCTTTAGAAAGTGGTGTAAGAAATAGAGCAGGTGCATCCACTGATGGAAATCTGGATATGGAGTCTATAAAACACTTGAATCTTTGTGACAGTGTTATTTGTAAGACATTTTTCTCTTGGAGTGGATTAAAGTTATTGTATTCTGTCAATGGCGCTAAGACCTCCTCTGTGGTGACATGACATTGCACTACCGGCATTAATGAAATCGCAAGGTCAAGGATTGTACCTGTAGCACCACAGTAGCTAAAAGAGAATGGTGTAAGGAAGGTGATATAAATAGCAAAACTGACATGACATATATATATAATCTATTCCAACAAATACACTTTAAAACATCATTGTAGCACATACATGTAGACTTCGCATATGTCTACTGTATGTACCTTGAATATACAAGGTGTTCATATAATTTTTTGTTCTTTTCAGATAACTGAATTGTAAAAACTGCACTGTGAAGCAATATAATTAGGCACTAAAGCAAATGTACAAATAACAACATGGACATGTCCTTCGAGACATACTGAGAGCAGTCGGGAAGACACTGATGATTTCAACACCTTCTGCCCTTTGTTAATGCACCAGATTTCATTCTGACACAGTTTATCATTTTTGCACTAGCATTTTTGAACTGACCTACTAGAGTTTTAGAATCAAACAATATAGAAATAGAGATACACAAGGAAGATTATAAACAAAGAGGTAATTCATTCTATCTTACTCATTTGGTCGGGATGTGTATATCTATGTACTTAACATTCATTTGGAACAAGATAAGTATTAATCACTCCGCACCAGAATCTCTGTAACAAACGTGTAACACTGTTACCTGTCTTGATTTCTGCCCGGCTCTTCTGCTACTGTGTCAGGTGTAGAAAAATATACCGGTTCTCCTTCCTGGTTGTGAAAAGAGATTCACTTTATACTAATGACTTCCTTTTCCTTTGGAATTGTTATGTTACACTACTTATCAGCTGCTGTCATCCATTCACTGGGGGAATTTCTGATTTTGGCACAGTTGGTTAACAGCTTTGAGAAGAAAGAAACTTTTAGGGAGTGTGGTATCATAGGGAGGTAACTGCCTACACCTACAGTATCTAGTTCAATTGAAACAGCTCTCTACAAAATACTGGTTTTGTGGTTCTGCTCATTCTTTCACTTTGTCTTGAAAACAAGATGAAGAACAAAGCTCTGCATCTCAATGTCTGACCATTGTTGTGAATTTGAAGCTTTAGGAATTTCAGAAAATTAAAACGAAAAACTTTAGCCTGAATGCAGAATACCTAGATGTTTAATGTGAATTTCAAAGATGAGAGTAAGATGGTTCTAAGTTCTCCATTGCACAGCCTTTCTGGGGCCCCACAGTACAATTTTGTCTTGAATACTTACCATCAAATGTCTTGGAGTCCCATCTTGATTTTTCAGGATTTTAATTTTCTGGTCATTTTCAGTCACACATAAGAAATAACTCTTGATATTCACCTGGCACTGAGAGGGAACATTGATACAAATGATACAATCAATAATTACTATATGCATGTCTGAGTACTTGCTATATAAAATGTCTGTAGTAATCGCTGGTTACTTAAAAAGTCCTGTAGGAGTACAGAACCAATTCTAAAAAGCATGTTTTATGAAGTAACTGAAAGTGGTGTCATTTTACATGGTGCTGAAGGACACTCGTGGGATATGGAAGCACCGAGGAAGAGAAAACAGTCGATTCTACTTCATCCCGAAGGGCAGGTGTTTGTGGGGAGCTGGGGACTTACTCCTTTGTTCTGTCTCTGGGAGTATAGCTCCTCCTGGGCCTTGAGGACGTCGGCCAAGGCCTGGTGTCTCTCCCTCCACACGAGGCCCTCCGCCATCCTCTCCTGCCTCTCGTGCTCCAGCAGCCTCTTCTCGCGCTCCGCCTCCAGCCTCGCTTTCACGGCCTGCTCGCTCGCCTCCTCAGCCGACAGGGCCCGGCGCCTGGAGCTCACCTCCCTAGTGGGGTCCAGCAGAGTGAGGGCTTGGAAATGCCCAGGGCGCTGCGGAAACCTACAGTCTTTACACTTGCTATTATTTCCTTTGGGAGATATTGATACGCCACATCTGTGTACGGCGTTTGTCCAGCCTTTCTTAATGTCACCTTAAGATGTCGTAGATTCTGCTTTCAAGTCTTACAAGTTATTACTTCTAGAGGGCAAAAGCAATATATGTTTTCACCAAGTGATTCCTTATTGAAAATTAATGTCCTAAAAAACACCACTAAATACTCATGGGCATTGTTTGCAGTAAATTTTGCTGTTTCATATTTTAGTATTTAATGTGTGACTAATGTCTACTTTTTATTACAGTAGAGAACGACTTTCACTGCTTTGCAGGAAACCTATTTAAAGCTTTGCTAAGAGTGTAATTATCTGCTGCTCGTTTTAATCACCTCACAGGCGAATGTAATTAATTAATCTCTTCGTAAAGTGATAAGTGACTTAACAACCAAGGATGAAACACCAAATGCTACATTAATCAAGGTGATTCAATTAAAGCTGCCTTTTAGTTATTGTTATACTTTCTACTTTCATAATTCTGAAAAGGAGTAGAGGTGACACCTAACATTTGGTTTAATTTTATTCAGGAAAAGGAGACATTTTTCAATTGAAAATCTGAGTACTATGTTCAAAGAGCTTCACTGCTGTGTGGTTTGTGTACCACCTCAATATTCACTTGCTTTCTTGAACTGTTTTATGAACTACACACCTTTCATGTTTTTTTTACAATGTCACAGCTGTGGTGTTAAAAGAGTTTTAGACAGAAAAAGGCCTTTTCTTTTTGGAAAGGGAAAGATGAAAAACTATACTTCAATATTAATGCAAGATTGTTTGCACTAAAATATCTACCAAAAAGATATTAAAAGACTCACTTTTCTTTGAGCTTCACATTCTGCTCAGTGAGCTCCTTCAATTTGTGTCGCAGTTCATTCCTCTCGTGTTCTAAGTCTCGGTTTTCTTCCAGAAGAACTTGTCTTTCTACCGAAATCTTGTCTAATTTTAGTTTGCATTCAAAGTAGTTCTTCTCTCCTTGGTTGAGCAATTGCTGAACATCGTTTAGCTAAAAACAGAAATATATTTATTAAAATATATAACAGATTGAGCAAAATTTCTGAAAAGAAACCAAGTGTATCTTAATTATAGTGGACAGCCTCTCAATACTTCTGGTACCCTACAGGAATTTAAATTTATGCTCAGCATTTAAAACTGGAACAGAAGTGGAAATACTGATCAAGACTTACAAAAATGCAGAGGAAGCTGAGCACACAAGCATGAACTTCCTATCAGAAGCCTCAAGAGAGATGTTTTGCTCTATGTTGTGGTTTTTACCACCAAACCATACAGAGCAATTTTGTTTTCTAGTAGTTTATTATGAAATCCTTCATCCGTGCATATATATACAGTGTATGCATCACAGCCTTTTGCCCAAAGAAACCTTGATTGATCAAGCGCCAAAGTCTAGGGATTTAAATAAGACATTTTGCTGAAACATAGAAACAGTTCAAAAACTGCCTCCAAAGAGTACAGAACATTGGAAACAGAAGGTTAATCTATTTCAAGGGCCTTTTTGAGGTCTAATAAACCTAATACAGTATTAAAAAGCTGCAGACACCTCTCTATAGACACTGCTTATTGTCCAGTTCACCTTGCATTAACCTGTTCAGCCCTTAAGAGAGGGGTCAGTTAGATTTATTTCAAAATAGTCTAGTCATCCATCCGTTTTCTAAGCGCCTCTTCCAATTCCTGGACACGGGGGAGCTAGAGCCTATCCCAGCAAGCAACAGGCACAAGCAGGGTACACCCTGCAGGGACACCAGTCCATTGCAGGGCAGACAGGCACAAACACATTCACACCCCGGCCTGTTTTCCCAAAAGCTGGTTAACCTACCAGTATCTTTTTTGGATTGCGGAGAACATCCACACAAACATGGGGAGAACATACAAATTCCACACAGATAGCACCCCAGGTCTGGTATCTGGTATCCCAGAACTGCAAGTCAGCAATGCTAATCAGTGTGCCACCATGCCACCATACTCCGAAACCGTGAATCGTGTAACTATCCCTCCTGGAGGCGTGGTGTACCCTGGTCTTCAGATGCTGCAGCTCCTCCGTCAGCTTGCCCTTCTCCGCCAGTGCCAAGTCTTTCTCCACCTCTGAATCCTTCGCCCGAGCCTCGGCCTGCGCCCGGCTCCTCTCTGCCTCACATCTGGCCACATCTGCATCTCCAGCTGCCCTGGTGCACAGGCTCACCCTCTGCTGGCAGGCGTGGAGCTTCTGCTTCAACTGCAGCAGTTCAAAAAGGAGATATCAACTGGAGCCATCACGTCACTGGGCTGGCTGCTGGAGAAGTACAGTAAAATTAGATCTAGAGGAGGAATATTGACTCTTGTCTCCAATTGTCAATCGTTGTTGCGATAATGATATGACAAAGCTTTGTTTTGATAATACCACCAAAGTTAACGGCCACTTCCTGAAGGCCTTGTTAGTGTATGATGCTCAGAAAATTAAAAACCAGCATAACCAATATTTTCTAGGGATGAATGTAAAGTGACTGCACTAACGCTAGAAACTTGTGGCATCAAACAGTTATAAATAGCTTTGCAAATCAAAATGACAGCTTATGGAATCTCCAAAGGCACTATCCAACACATTCCCAGATTCTTGCGGAATAGAAATATGGAGCACCTCTGTGTACCTTTTTTGATGAGGCGTGGTGAACACAAGTTTATGTTTTTGGTGATGTAAACCAGTTCGAACCACTTTTTGACAATTTGAAAAATTTCTGAGCAAAGCCAGTGATGAAAGGCCCAAGTGTCTGGATGTACCGAGAGAGAAGAGAGACATGCCCTGAGAGCACAGCACAGCTGACTAGAACCTTGCTTCTCTGCTGATCCACTGTACAGCCAGAGCAATGCCTGTTTTCTGGTCTGGTTCTGGCATCATACTCGGCTAGGAAACAAACTGCAGTGTACTGGTGCACAGTTTGCACCTTGCCACGTAATCAAGCAGATTGCTTATATAAGGAGTAAATAGTGTCCAGTGAGTGTGATGCGTTTTTAAAGAGTTTCAAAATTAGATGGGAAATCTCACTTAAAAAATATAGTTAGCTGGTGTGACTGCAGCTAAGAAGCTGGTAGTCCAGTGTTGGTTTCCTTTCTATTCACTGTCACGGCAACAGTGCACGATTAATTTTCAGCATATTATTTTACTACAACTCTCTAAATCTAAGGCGTGCTCCTCCTGTTGTCTTAAGAATGTGGGAGGAGTTTTTTTCTGGTATGTCACCAATGATACGGATACATTGGTGTTGGATGTCTGGGGTTTTGTCGCTGTCCTATTCTAACTTTATGTAAATTGAATGTTTAAGAAAGTATGAATAAAAATCTTAAAACATAATGTACTATACAGTGGTGAAACTTCTGTTCTCTGACCAAACTGCCACCTAGTGTTGAGTACAGATTCAGCAACAAGCCTTGTAACAATACTCTGTTCTTCATGACATCTCTCATACAGTATCTGCCTAGAAACCACTATTTTCTATTAATTGCTTTGAGCTTGGATTACTTTATGTGGAGATAAATTAACTATAATCTGGATCCTGGCTCACCAGGAAAAAAACTGATCAAACTCAAACAGATAAAAGTGCAACAAAAATAGTGCTTTTCCCTGAAAAGGCAAAGAATTTAAAAATACATCTACTTAGCTGGACCAAATATTCACTATATAAACATTTATTTGACAACTAATTTAGAATAGGAAACCAGAGACCTGGAATGATGAGCTGTTCCAAAGTTTTGTTATAACACTTGTTCACTCACCATCCAGAAATAGAAGTAGAAACGTTTCTAATCTCTTTTAAAAAAGCAGATAACACAGACAAAAACCAAGGCCTACTCCAACTCCCCAGATATATGCATGTCTGTCCATAAATTTGGACACTCCTAGACTTCATACAAAGGACTCTAGGGATTGTGGTGATTCTCTTTAATAATTTTGTCAGGTACCTCTTTAACCTGTGCCTGGAGCTCCTGGTTGAGGTTTCTCAGATTCCTCATTGTGAGCTCACTCTCCGTCCTCATCATTATCCTCTCCATGTGAATCTCGCTGGTCAGGTACTTGTTCTGCTGCTTCAAATCCTCACATTCCTACAACAAAACAAAACAAGTCCTGCCGAATCTCCAGATTGCTGTGTGAAAAATCCCCACTTTACAGCTCTACAGTCGGTTCTCCAAAAGTGTTCTCTAGGCCTCCATTTTAGAAAACTTCAAAATGTGAAAATGACCCTTTCCACACAGTAATAGCAATCACTCAAAGTCCTTACTGATTTAAAATCTGCTGCCTGTTTGGTGACCATGCAGAAGACGCATTAAAAATATTTATTTCATTTCTTCCAGGTGCATTTGTTAAAAAAAATAATTCCTACCTTTCTCTTCCTCACCAGTTCTCCCTGTAAGCGACTGATCTGGATAAAGGAAGTTGCCGGGCTGAGGGCACTTACAGGCCTCACCATCCTGACCGGTTTCCGACAGGGACGAGACACCATGCCACTGTCCAGGAACGGGGCGTGGTCGCTGCCTTTCTCGTCCTGACCATCTTTGCCACTACTGAGCCTGTCATTCACATGACTGCTGCTGAGGGAGAGAGACTTATAAAGAGTCCCACTCTCCAAGACAGGCGATCGGTTAGAGGAGCAAACAATCTGCAAGCTCCCGTTTGAAGTGTTCTTCAGAGACATCGTTTCAAAGCTAAATGATCTGGGATGTTGCTCACACCAGTGTGCCCTCTTCAGGTCTCAGCACAGAGGGTTTGAAAGTTTAATCCTGTTGGAATGACTGTTTACTGCACTGAACAGTGAGGATGAGTCTTGCAGCAGGGCAACTGAATTATTAATGTGCTATGGGACACGTTATTAAAGGAAAAAGAAACCCTATCCCTCCCACACAGAGAAACCTGACGAGTGATCATACCATTACCAGGGCAAGGTTACAACTTTTTCTAACCACAAGAACTCTGCTGTATTCAGCTTAAAATGTATTTAACACATTTCTCATACATTTCCATGGTTAATGTATTAATGTGTTGGGTTTCATATTCCTAGGAGATTGAGACAAGAAACAGAAGCTTCTACAGGAGTCAAAGTAATTTCTGAGCCTTAAAGATTACACCCAATTAGTGCCAGGCAGAGAGCTGTCAGTCTGACATCCTATCACTGCCTACTTAACCAGACAACCAGTGTAATCAGCTTGTGAAATAAAACACTTAAGATCAAAATGCATTATTTAAAGATTGCAATTTAAGTAGGGCAAGATATGCTACATATATTTAGCTTTCGGTTCTGGATGACTTACATTACACTGAAAGCTGAAAGTAGGCTGCCTTTCTTGATGTACCCACAAACACATAAATAACACAAAAATAAGCCCTAGAAAGCTTTAAGGGTGGAAACTTTCAGTTGTAATAGATTTCATTGCCTACTTATTCTGCAAAGGGTTAGATTTCTGAGTGTTAAAAAACAAAAAAGCTACGTTTACCTTAGACTTGGCTTCAGAATGCATAAAGAAGCATTCTAGAACCTTGGTATTTTGTCAGTATTTTTTATCTGGAGATACTGTATTTGTTCTTAGGAATTCGTTTTTGTTCTGTCTTTTGACTGCCATGACACAAAATACTTGCCCAGATTCATTAGACCTGAACACAATGAGAGGCATGCTTCTCTGACAACTGCCTTTGGACTGTTGTGTGGCATTAATTTGCAGAATTCATAATTCCAGTTATTCCCAATGTGTGACGAAGACAAAGCACAGTGTGGAACATGCATGGAAATATATACACTGCATATTTATGATTATATTAAATGGAATTCCCCAATATACAGCACCATCCAGTGAGTGGGTGTGGGGGATTATAACGTTTCAAGACACCAGGTGTATGGCAACATTTTACTTTTACTGGCAAGCAACACTGCTCTTAAACACAATAAAGATCTTAACAGTGGATCATTTATGACATTTTATTATCTACACATCTTTTGCACATGTAGCCGAGCAACACTTTTACTTTGTTGCCATAAGTAATCTTTTCAAATAATGCTAAGCCTGCACAAAATGTTGACTGATTTAATTGGTGCTTTATATACACTTGTTTCCCCATTCTGTAATATGCACCACTTTTAAAAGGCTTAACAGAAAAACGTCTATAAACAGCCTGACGTGGATCCAGAAAAAACTTAAAAGTAACTCAAAACAAATTCTGGAAGAAGCACTGGTGCCTAAAGTATACAGCTCACTGTTGCAGGAGTTATATGTTCCTGCTTTGTAAGAAATAATGAATACACATTTTAGGTCATAAATCCTGAAACACTTCTGTAAAAATACAAAAAGTCTTTTCTTCTCCATGTTTAGTCACTATCATCAGAACTGTGATCAGATGCCTCATTGTTGGAGCGCTCAAGTTCGGACTCGTTTCCAGACGCCCTCGCAGAACCCTCGTTATCAGAACCTCGATCTGAGTCTCTGTCTGAATCAGCAGCAGGTGAAGGAGGCCGGGAATCATCTTCCGAACCCCCAGAACGGCTCTTTTTGGACTCATTGTCGGACTGCTCCGAATCGGACTGTGGCTGTGGCCTCCTCTTCCTTACTGGCTGGTCGCTGCCGGAGTCGTCGTCGGAGTTCCTGGAGCGCCGGGGACTCCCCACCTCGCTCCCGGACTTGTTCCTGTCCTCCTCGGACTCGCTGTCGGAAGCGATCCTCTTCCTGTGAGTCTGCGCTGTGCCCTCGTCATCATCAGACTCGCTGTCTCTTGGATTTCTGGTCACAAAAAAAGAGCAGACACCTGTCTCAATGCAGTTTAATGCAGATCCCGTTTTATAGCCATATAAATATACACTCATTGCTTAGAGCCTTCACCTTAAGGAAATACCGTCTGGTTTTCTTTCAGAGTGTAGACTACAAGCTGACTGGTTTTCTTATTACACTTACATTACATTGCAAGACAACCAAAACACTTACTTAGAACTACTGTTTTAACGTTTTAGCATTGACATTGTTCTAGACACAGAAGTTATAAATAGACACTGTTAAAACAGACTGAAAGAAAGCAGGCAAAACCTGGAGAATTTCACTGGGTTCATTTTGAACAGTAAATGTGGTAATTGTTTCCAAATTTATACTGATATCTAGAATCACAGATCGCACATCTACAATCTTTCCTGAAATAATGGCACATAAAAACAACATTTCACTCACTGTCATTAAGAAACACAATAGGGGCAACCATGAAAAGAGTAAAACATGCCATACCGATCCTCAGCAATTTTAAGTCCGTCCTCATCTGAAGAGTCAGAGGATGAAATGATGGCCTTTGACTTGATCTTCCCTTTCAGAGACGGTGGCATACGCTCAGATTTAGGCTGGAGAAGAGGCAGATCATATAAGAATGTTGCAGAAGCCAATGAAACTAAAATCATAATAGATCATAATACCTCAACCATCCCAACAGGTTATTTATATTCATTTTTATTATTACAGTTAATTTTTACTGAGGCTGTCATCACAACTACTTAATATCAAAATGCATGATTTAGATTTATTTTATGTTAAGCATTAATGAATGCTGTATTTGCGCACGGTTATAAAACCTCCAACAAAAATTAAAAATGTAGCAGGTGGGCTCGAAATTACAAAGTTTTCTCAACAAAAACAAAACCGCATTATGATTATTATTTTACGATCAAAGAAAATAACAGCACCCTCTCCATCCTCTTGCGTTCCCTGGGCTTGCGCTGCTTCTTAGGCCTTGAAGCGCTATCTTCATCATCAGACCCATCGTCGCCTCCTTTCTGGGGTCTGTTCCAACAGAAAAGGGTAAGTCCAAATGCAATCAGATGACACTGCTTAAAACAGCAGGGTAGATGACTGAAGACTGAAGAAACTATTAAATGTTTTTATAGCTTCTGACTTAATAATGGGAGGTGCCCAGAAGGACCATGAACATTTAATAGATCTTTAGATATAAAAATATAATTCGGTGTAGACAGCTGTACACAAACGCAGACTTACAAAATCAGGGTACATTTTACAAGTATAACTTGGTTTTCAACTCTCCCCAGGCACACGTGACACAAAATTTAAGTTTGCCAACCCACTCAACACCCTGACAGTGCAGTTCAGGCAGCTCTCACCTCTTCCTCTTCTTCTTGGGTTTCCGCTCGTCCTCCTCATCGCCCTCCTCCTGCTCGCTCCCGCTGCCCCCCTTCCTCCTCTTCTTCTTCTTCGGCACGGGCAATTCCTCATCGGAGTCATCGTTGACAAACTCGTCGAAGTCGTTCCCTTTCTTCGAGCGCTGCAAAGAACAGTGAAATCGTCGTTCCCACCTACGCTTTTCATTTACATTCACATTACTGATGTGAACATAAAGCACGTAGATTTATATAGCGCTTTTCTGGACACTCCACTCAAAGCACTTCACAGGTAATGGGGATCCCCTCCACCACCACCAATGTGCAGCCCCACCTGGATGATGTGACGGCAGCCATAGTGCGCCAGTGTGCTCACATATATCACTCTGTTCTCCTCTCCACTGTTAGCTAATGAAGCCAATTTATAGATGGGGTTTATTAGGAGGCCATGATTGGTAAAGGCCAATGGGAAATTTGGCCAGGATGCTGGGGTTTCTAAGTCAGTACCTCTGTTTTACATCTCATCCGAAAGACTGTGCATTTTGACAGTACAGTGTCCCTGTCACTATACTGGGGCATAGGACCCACACAGACCGCAGGGTGAGCGCCCCCTACTGGCCCCACTAACACCTCTTCCAGCAGCACTTAGTTTTTCCCAGGAGGTCTCCCATCCAGGTACTGACCAGACTCACACCTGCTGAGCTTCAGGGGGTTGCCAGTTGTGAATTGCAGGGCGATATGGCTGGATTTAGATTCAGAACATGAGAAAACTAATATGTAATTAACGTGGTCTTTATCAGAATGAAAGTTTGACCTGCCATTCGGCAAACAAAGTGGACTTGTAAGGATGTGGTGTTGCATTTCCCTCCCAAGAGCAGAGAGTGCTCACCCTGCCACCTCCTCCCTTCTTCTTCTCTTTCACCGTCTCCTTCCCTCCATCGGCAAACGTGAGGAGGCTCTTGGTCTTCTCCACAAACTGAGCTCTCTGCTCCAGCAGCTTCTTCTGCTCCTCTGCCTCTTTGTTGCGCTTCTCTTCCTGGATGCAGAAGGAAACAAAAGGGCACACGGACGCTCAGCTTTGTGCCATCACTGCGCGGGGCTGCAGCACTTGCACAGATTTGCCCGTTGAAGAGCCCCGGGTGCGAGGGGTCACTGGACTCCAGCGAGCGGACACTGAGGCCCTGCCTGACCTGTTCCTTGAGGAGCTGCTGGCGGAGGACCTCCCTCTCCTGCTCCTGCTTGGCTCGCAGCTCCCTCTCCTCTTCGTCCTGCTTACGGGCTCGGGCCACGTGGTACTGCGCCTGGCTCAGCAAGTCCGAGCACTGCCTGCAAACACAGCACGGCCTGAATCAGCCTCCTCCCCGCACAAGGCGACTCGGGCACTCCATCCAGCCCCAGGGGACTAAAAGCCGAACAAACTCTCCATTTTCCTAACAATGGAGATGTGTTTTTATATCCATTTACCACAGAAAATACTTCGATTAAGAAAGCTTACAGTTTTGCAGCTCTGTGTTAAGCTGGTTTTAGAGGGTGTGTTCTACAGCCCTTGAGGCAGCTCTGAGGCCACAAACTGATTCATTTTAGGCTCCCACTATTGCTATAAATCCTTGGAAGCTTTCCCTGTATTTCATGTGTAGATTGCAGTTTCTCATGATGGTCCTTTCCCTCAAAATGCTTCACATTTGCTGTTTCAGAAGTTGCACTATTGTCTATATTGTTGACCCGGGTTTGTCCCTCTTCAGTCTCCCAGCTCTAAGCAGTGTTTCAAGTGCTTCAAAGACTCAAATTGTTCTCCATGGGGGTAATCCAGTGACTTTCTGACAGGTGCTAATTTTATTTTGCTAAAGAGATACCATGATATTTTTTTTGCAACCTGAATTTTTCTTTTTTGGAAAAAAGTAAGAATGGTTCCATTTTCTGAAAGGAGAATTTGTTTCTTAACACAGTAGTTGGCTCAGGGCCACAAACACGGGCTTTGACCTGGAGATTCAAAGGACTCTACAGGAACATTTTATTCATAATGGATGAACAAACAATGGACTGAAGCAGAGGTACTCAAAGACACTCACCTAGCTTCAGTTAAAGCCAGTGCCAAGTCAAATCTCATCTTGTCTCCAGCTTTGCTAAGGTAGCTAAAGTACCTGCAATTCACAAAACAACATTATCATTAACAACATTTGATGTGTTTGATGCAGCACTTGAGGGTAGAGATGAAATTACTCCAACTCAATAACATGCTTCTCACCACAAGAAAACAATAGAAAGAACCAGAAGCGTTATGGGTTGATGTACTATCCTCTACAAATTAAATGTTATTTTCCATTAAAATAAAATTTCCTCACACTTGGATTGAACTTGTATAGAACCTTGTAAGTTGTACGAGCAGCGGTGACAAACTTCAATCCCAGACAGCTCACCTGTGGGCCAGCTCTAGTTCTTTGACAGCACTGAGCACAGCCTTCAGGTTACTCTTCTCGTCCTTCAGCACCAGCGTGGCCAGCCTCTGCAGAACCAGCGCCACATTGAACATCAGCACAGTGTCGTTGGGAGCCACATGGCGGGCCTGGAAAACCAAGAGAAATCCCAAGGAGTGACCGTATCTACAAAACAGAGCTCAATTACTGTGAGTGCCCTTCAATTTGCAAGACGGCTACAGTTAATTTCTATTTTTACACTATGCTTTTACACTTTTTGTTTTCCCCCCCCACTTACCTTCAGCAACGTCTGCTTACATTCTTGAAGTTTTCCACATTTGAATAAAGCTCGAGCCAAGTAGAGCAGGACTTCTGTGTTCTGATGCTTGTAGAACTTTTTTAAGCAGTTTTCATACTACAGAAAAAAAAGACCAAAGAGTTTTAGATATGACATCGATCCACAGAATTCCTGCATTCAACACTTGACAGCAGAAGAGTCAGACACAGAGCAAAATAACCATCCGGCGTGTACTGTAAATACTCCTTCCTGCACTTACCATCTGCACGGCACTGATGTACTGCTTCTGTTCCACATAGATGTGTGCCAGGTTTAGCCACACATCACTGATCTCAGCAGTTGCCTCCCTCACCTGGGCAAAGACGTCCCGAGCCTCTCTGAAATAACCCTTGTGTGCAAGAACAGCTCCTAGATATAAAAAAAACAAGCCAAATGATATTGTCTGGAACTTAGAGTCAACAAGAACTAGACATTAGAGATGCTTCATAGTACAGACTGATGTACATCATGATGCATCAGACGTCTTTTGGTATAAAAAAAATAAAACAGTGAATGTGGCATGTATAAAAGCTTGGGCACCCTTCTAGTTGGTTCATTACTACTTTTTACTTTTCTGTTTTCCAATCTGTTAAATTCAGCAAACAGTAATTGTGTATTACAATGTGCAGAAATATGTTATATGTTTGTACCCTGCAGAGGTTGTGTTAACTTCTCACTCAGAGATTCAGTGAAACATGCAATTTGACCAGGGTGTCCAAAAGTTGCATACAACTGTTACACATGTGACTTGGAATTAACAGGAGCTGCATGTCCTCTACTGCACATATGGTGTATATAGAGATGATCGAAAAGGTTACAGACCTATGCCATTAGCAGCATAAAGGTTCTTGGCATCATTTCGCAGGACCTGTTTATAAATGGCCAAGGCACGGTCCTGGTGACGCTTTTCCTGATTGAAATAGGGGGGAAAAAATATTCAGCGTCTGTCCCACAATTCTACATCGCTGACATCTCAAAAAGGCACATGCCTGAAGCATCTATTTAGCCACTATCAAATACAACTTGTGAAACCCCCCCCATGGCTGTATAACTAGGAACACAAAACCAGCAGATGCTCAGAGCAAGACCGAGGAAGTTTAGTTTTTTTGGCACAATATTCAGAAATCTTTTTAAATAAAAAAAAATCATCACAGATTAAAAAATATTGACATGAAATAGAACCTTTGCCGAGTGAGCTTAAAAAACGATCAAGTTCGTTTTAAACTGGAAAATGGCTCTGCTGGTAAACTGCAAACATGCCCTTGAGTGCCTGGAACAAAAATTCTGAATCTAGAAGATCAATATCAGGAAGCAAACCTTTTCTCGGTCCTTGGTAGGCTGGTGCAGGGTCTGCAGCCACACGTTGGCCAGGGCCAGCATGGAGTAGGTGTCATTCTGTGTGGACACCTGCTTGAGGATCCTCTCGAATTTCTTCTGGCCAGGGCCCCACTCTTGCTTAGCTAAGTGAAGGTTTCCTATGAGTGACCACGCATCTGGATGATCCTGTGGGAAAAGTAAAATTATACATCAAACCAGCTTAAAAAACAACAACGATCAAAGCACAAGTATAAATCTGTTATCAGACAATATTGAATGAAGGCCAAATGTTCAAATAAACAAATCACCTCTTTTTCAGATTTAAGGTTTTTAAACAAAATTCTTTGATGGCAGAGACTGAAATATTACACTTGGTCTGCAGCCAAAAAAGTAAAAGACACTTATTTCATGCTCTGATTAGCTACGGTTTCCATTCGTTTTACACAGCTATAAACCACTGTAACATTACCTGGTTAATTTGGAGAGCTTCTTTGAACCAGTCAGAAGCTTCATAGAAGTTCCCTTTGTCCCTAGCCATTGCTCCTAGACGCAAGTAACCTGTAAAGAAGACAATGAAATTAATAGCTCTCTCCAATGACAAATGTTGTTACATGTGACTCTCTTGTCGTACTGTAACAAGAGGAGGAGATGTTTCCCCTGCCCGTGGAGCTTTATAATTATAGAATTTCTACTAATGTTAACATGAGTGAGCTTTTGTTCCAAGACAGTGTAAATTCCCAGAAGAGGCACCTACAGTCCACATAGTTGGGGTGCTCCCTCAGGATGTTCTTGTAGAGCTTTTCCGCCTCATGGAATTCACACATGGCCTCGTACAGCCTGGCCAGGTTGTAGGATGTGGTGACCGAGATTGCATTGTAGTAATGTTCGTCGTGCTCCCCTTCGGCCTTGGCTCGCTCCAGCGAGGCCAGAAAGTATTTCTGGAAGGAATGCATGGAAACTGCCTTTGTAAAAAAAATCTTTGATAAAAAGTCTCAACCTACACATCAATTTTTATGGGGTTAAAGCACAAGATAAGATTCCTGGGCCACAGCTAAAAAAAAGCAAAATAGAGGCACAGCAAACCTAATTCTTATACACACAGGGAAGATACATAGGAGTTCTTGATAAACATTATATGGCTTTATAGGCTTTATATATATGTTTTTTGAAAGATACATTTAAAAAAAAAATAAAAACACTGAATTTGTAAATACTGCACAAACGAATTTCAATGTCACGGCACCATCCTTTGCTGAAGGCGTCCACAGGCCTACCTTAGCCTCTCCCAGGTTTCCCAGTCTGAAGTGCAGCGCTCCCAGGTTGTTGAGGATCTCCGGAGGGACGTCTGCCTGCACCTTCTCCTGCAGGATTCGCGTGGCTGTGCCATAGGCTGACAGAGCACCCTGAGAAGCAGAGAGAAACAGCCGTTACCAGGCCGGGCTCAGAATCAGGTTATATAGCTTATTTCAGGAGTTCAGAACCATAAAGATAAAAACCAATATTAGGCTAAACAGAAGCAATCTGATTTACCTGAATATCGGTCTGTTCAAGGATTTGCGCCAACTCAATCCAAGCCTCCACATCATCGGGATACTGCTCTGTTACTTTCTTAAGATGTCCCTAGAATACAGATGTTTGCACCGATATAACATTTCTCATGGGGGATGAATAAATCAATTAAAAAGCTTTTGTTTGGAACATTTGTGGACTCTGGTTTGTTCTGTAAAGTCAACAATATGGCCACTCTACTGGGATAATTCAAGATAATACTCAGGGTCAAATAGCTTTCCTCACATTTCTTGCACTGAGCCATCTCAATAGGACAAATTCAAGATAGCAAAGTTATTTTTTGTATCAACCTGCATAAATAAGATCACTTGGGATATATTCAAAAGTGACAAGCTTAAAAAATAAGTTTAAGAAAACTATGATCTATACTTTCTGCTTTAGCTTTGTACTGTTTACTACAATTAATAGTACTACCATTAATGCTTAATTTATAGTAAATTCTTGATTACTAGAACAGATACTAAACATTTCATATTTAAAGTGTTCTGGATAAAGGGCAGGATCAACTGTATTATTTGTAAACAATTCCTAAAATGTGCTTCACGGAGGTAGTGACAAACCTTAGCTATATCTCTCTTTTCCTGATCCTCAGAGGCAGCGTAGAGAGACCCAAGAATCTTCATGGTCTCGTAGTTGTTGGGGTACGCTTTCAAAACCTTTTCAAAGCACTGTGCTGCATTCTCCTTGTCTCTCCGGTACACATACATCTGCCCCAGGCCGAAGAAGGGCAGCACAAAGGTGGAGGAGGCAAACTGGGTGGCCTGGTAATAGTACTGGAATGCCTGATCATAATCCTCCTGAAATGGGACAGTAAGGAAAACTGTTATTGCTGTCCTGTGATGAAGAATCACAGTGAGGAACAAAACACAAACTACACAAACAGCTTCCTCAAAGACATTAATTTAATTACTTAATATTTTCAAAACTAATTACTGAAAGTTACTGATCTGTCCGATACATCAGCCACCCATTTCTAATACTGACTGATTAGTAACCTGTTTTTAATGTACTTTATTACATTACAACACTGCAAATAACAGGAGGCCACTCCTATCTAACTGATCTGAGGAACTCATCTAGCTGTTTCTTGAAAAAAGCTAAGGTACTGGTTTCAACAACATGGCCAGGTTTCTTCCTATATATATGCACTCTCACATGCTATTATAAGAGGCCATTTCTGCACTAAAACACACTTGTGCACCACTTCCACATTTGTGCAAGGATACTGTGATGTGACATTTTAAATTAACTCCTTGGGAAAACAGTTTTGGCTTGCCCACAACAGCTGCTGATACTCGCAGTGAAAAAGAATTTCTCACCTGCACATGGAAAGATCGCGCTAGCTGGTAACAGCTCTCAGCCTGCATTGCCTCCACTTCAGTATTATGAAAGGCATGAAGCGCCAGGTGCTGGACTTTACTGTAGTCCTGGAACAGGGAAAAGAAAGACACTGGTAGACACTGATGAGCATCTAAAGCCTCTATTTGCCTTTTTTAAACTGCATTAAAAAGTCTTCACATTAAACAATAAATCTTACTCACACGCCAATAATATATTTAACTAATCCTCCTAAAATGTGTAATTGATAAAAGCACAAGTTAAAACATCATTCAAAGCCAGTTGTAAACTTTACTGGGAAATAAACACCCTCTTACCTTTTTAAAAAAGAAGTGGTTTGCCAAGTGATTGAGAACCATAGGATTGCTAGGGTCAATGGTGTACGCTCTAGAGAGGAGCTGCACTCCGTTCTTGATAGAGTCTGCTTCTTTGTTGTTCAGTTCCAGCACCGCTAACCCCACAAGGGCTCCCACACACTTGGAATTGAGATCCAGAGCCCGGCTGAAGGCCAGGCGAGCTTTCTCCAGTTTGTTCAGCTTCACAAAGCAATGGCCCATTCCCAGCCGGACCTCAGCTGGACACAGGAAACAGTCTTATCAGGACAGATTGCTCACCCTTTGCTTGAGACTTCCTAGTTCAAAGATGTTTTTATATTGATCAGTCTCATCGGACTCTACATCCAAGGTCTGGGTAAATGGTGGCCAGTGCTGTAACCACTCAAGGGTTCAGAGAAGGTTCAACCACATATAAGCATAATATTTCTACACAACACCACATCTGCCCCAAGCCTATGTGCTTTAAATGCATTTTGGATCTAAAACAAACTTTTACGAACCAGCTAGTAATAAAACAATCTTTGAAACCATTACCTGGGCAGCCTGGGTTGGTACGCAGTGCCTTCTTGTAATACGCCAGAGCTCCCCTGTAATCTTTCTTATTGAAAGAGATGCAGGCTTTACCTGTAAAGACATGCACAACAAGTGATCCTCACAATGCATACAAGGCTCACTGAGTCTGGCATTCCAATAAAGGAACAAGTAAATTTTATTCCATGCTGAAAAGAGAAGAGAGAAAACACAACGTTTCGGCTGTGAAGCCTTCTTCAGGCATGAGCAACCTGTTGAAGGCTTCACAGCCGAAACGTGTTTTCTCTCTTCTCTTTTCAGCATGGAATACACCTATTACTTGTTCCTTTGCAGACTACGCATGCTGACGCGGCTACCCACCTGAACTATTCCAATAAAGTGTTGCAGGCTAAAAGTCTTCAAAGGTAAACACAAATAATATTACTTATACATCTTAATAAATTCTTACCTTTCCATACACAGGGTGGCTTAAAGGAACATGCCTTTTCACAATTATATATGGATAGAAATTAATCCTGCATACAACTAGAGCTTCTTATAGCTTTATCTTTCTTTCCTGCTTTAAATGTACAGATGTCTTACTTATCAACTCTACACCAAAAGCATGCATTGGAGTCAGCTCTCCCTGTCAGAAAGGCGATAAGTTAAATCCATCTAACAACACTGGTTTATTTAAACCACTATTTACTCTGCATGGGTCAATGTGGATTGTTGTCTGCCACTGCTCTGCATAACTGTTTTACACCTAATACCTGCATGCTGTTTAACCTGAAAAAGGTGTCTGTAGTGTCCCATATAATGGACACGTGCCAAGAAGAACTTGAAAAACAAGCTAGAAATGTTCACAGGGGTTCCTTGAGAGAAGGAAAAGATATTTACTAAGATTTAAACTTGTAAAAGGGTCCTAGCTGTGTTTGAACAGAAACTTAAGTGAAAGGCCATGTGTTAACATGCATTGTGAGCTAAAAGTGACAAGAATGAACTTGCATCGCCGATGCAGTATACTAACCCAGAAGGGCCGGGATATTGTTTGTTGACTGGTTCAAGACAAAGTGGAACTGGGCATCGGCTTGGTCCATTTTGTCTCCCTCAAGAAGACAGAAACAGGCTCTGCCCAGCAAGTGGTTCTGGTAAAATCATGAATAAGCAGGAATAAGAAAATTGGAAGTTAAAAAAAACAAATCCACATACACATACACTCCACAGGTTTTGCCAATGTACAGGACATGCACACAACTACAGTCCAGTGCGTTTAGAATTTGCACGTTAAATACATATGAGATCACGTTTTTCCAGGCTCACAAATATTTTCTTGGAGAGAATAAGATCTAATTCCATTAACTCAAATAGTTGTTTGCTACACAGATTTCATACAGCAGTTTTACCTGGTCATACATGATGATTTTGTCTGCCATGGTATACAGCAAGGTGGCCTGGGTGATGAGCTCTTTCTTGGCATCTTTGTTCTTCTCTTTTCTGGCCTGTTGCACATAGTAAGCTGCCAGTGTGTCCAGACAGGTCATCTGGTCTTTCTCATGGTCTCTGTAGTCCAGGTTACCATCTATACGGGCAGCTTCCAGCAGCTTGACAAAATCCTCCGTCTTCCCTTGTTTGTAATATTCCAGCTAAAAAGCATTGCGAAGATTAATCAGCACTTGGCACCCAATGCATTAATATGGGGCACAATGAATGTGATTCCTAAATTAGTTCGTTTGACAAAGCAATAAGAGACATTTTATAAAAACAGTCACCAATCTGATCGGTGATAACATGCTTTAGTACCTGTTCTCTTTTATTGGTGAACCAGAAACATTTTAATAAAACTTCCTACACATCTGTCATCATGCAAAAGATAAAGTGCTCTTCATATACCCTGTCACGCAATCCAGCCCAGTTAACCTCATCCAAGTATACTTACAGCCAAGGCGATCCATATGTGCAGCTGAGTGTGCTCCTGCTTAAGGATACTGATAACTTCATCTCCTTCAGGCAACTGATCGAAGTCAAGCTCAATAACCTGCAAAAGGACGAGCAGATATTAATAACAGCCCCCCATGTTCTTGAAGTTGAGCAACACTATTCAATAGAAATGATAAGTGTTTTTGAGGTGTAAATATTCGTGAACTTTTTTCAAAACTGTAAAAAAATATTTCAGAAGTGAAGAATAGCTACAAAAGATTATTATAATTAGATCATATCCAAACCCCTGGATATCTTGTTATAACTACATAGTTCAACATGAAACGTCTGTTGAACTTAATACGAAACAATCAAGTCCCGACCAAAACTTAAAAGATCACGCAAGAAGAAATCGATGATCATGCAACAAAGACGTAATCTGATTCGGAGTATCAATTTCAACTGCCTCTCGGTTCATCATCATGCAGAACCCGACATCGTATGAGAAAAGAGTAAATTAGAACCTGTCTTTTTAGACCAGCAGGCCACCGTGTAAGAAAGCAGCTTCAAAAGAGTCCCGCAAGGGCTCTAATGTCAACAAAGAAAACACAACTAAACCGATGGAATTGTATTTCATGTTTTTTTTACCTCGTCGGTGTCCCGAAGTGGGATTTCAATGGAACCCCGAGACATCTTGGCGACGGGACCCCCCCAACAACACCAATCCTTCAGTAAACTCCCGTCTCAAACACCTCTTCTACAGCACACTGGAAAGCTCACCGCCACTTCCGCTTTCTGCTGGAAGAGAGAAGGTCATCCGACAGTGAGTACATCCGGGTGAGACCGGACTGAATTGGCAAAGCGATTTCTAATTGGCACAGAACTGCCTACATTGAATGCTGTCTTCTGGGGTGTATTATTCGGATTGTATTAATACCATATCTCATAACCTTGGCATTTATGAAATAGCAAGTAGTTTAATTATTCCAAAATGAGTAGAAGTAGAAGTAACTGAATTGGTTGTCTTCATATTTGTTTTTTTTTATATATATAAACAACAACTAATCCTTCTTTCCACTAATGACAACAACTTTCTCCTGCTGTATGTTAAACTCAATTTTTGCTAGTGAGAGGAATGAAACGTTTTTTTTTAAAAAAAACGTAATCTAAACTTGCGGTGGGTTGAAGGGCTCATGTGACCTCATCGCCAGCTGACCCATCCTCCCCCACTTCGGTTTGTAGCAAACTATCAGTACTGGTGACCAGAAGATAGAAACCGTAATGTAAAAAAAACTGGAACTGGCTCACTGTAAGGGCTTGTAGAGATCTAATCTGGAAGCCTGCTTTTTTAAAACTAAGCTTATATGGTGATATCAAATACAATGTCATATTGCAATTCCTTTTTATTATCACAAGTTTGCCTCATTACAAGCAATAAATGTGCACAAGTAGCCATATATTTACAGTGTATTGTATGTATTTAACAGAAAGATTAACATTTTCCTTGACTTAGTCACAGGTGAATACAGCTATCTGTGATCTTATTTCAAAGTCTGCTTACCTTATTTTCATCTCAAACATGTTGCACACTGTTACAGACCTGCTGATCTAACAAATAACAGCAGAACTAGAAAACCATATTTATATTTGCATAATTTGGGAGCCATCTTGCTCCAATGAGCACGCTTCTTCTGTGTGTGGAGTGGAACGTTTGAAAGGCAGGGAGGGAGAGAGAAGAAATGAGGCCGATGTTTTGCAGGAAGGCCTGAGAACATTTGATGTGCTAAACTGCAGAATGAAGTTAATTAAAATCCTATATCACTGCTATGTTGTGTTGTGGTCTGTGCATAAATTGCATGCTAATTTGTTTGTGGTGAATGGAGCAATTCATTGCAGGCTTGTAGCAAAGAGGAGCTGTCCATGTCAGCTGGTTTTGAAGTATAAGTGAAGGAACAAAACAGGCGAAAGCAATATTCTGACAAGATCACCAGAATCAACTGCTTCTTCACAGATTCTGTAAACTGCCCTGAAAATTATTAATGCAATATGTTAAGTCACAAGTATATTAAAAAAATATCCTCTATCAAAACATCCTTTATCAAAAAGTGGCGTGAAATGCAGTGGTCTTCTCACTTCTTATGAGAGCAGTCAGCTTTAATAAAATCACTGTGAAAGGTAAGAACCATATTTTATAAATTGTTATCGATTATGTCAAAATTGCACAGAGATATAATATAATGCCTTGTCTTTCTCACACCTGAAGAAGCCTCCACGGCCGAAACGTGTTTTCTTTCTTCTTTTTTTCAGCATGTAATAAACCAATTACTTGTTCCTTTGCAGCCTACACATGCTGACGCAGCTACCCACCTAATATAATATAATGCTGTTTTATTTGAATTCAGTTAATTAGGATATCTACAGTAGTATATTTCATGTTGTAGAGGTGCAAAATGATTATTGTATAGTAGCAGACATAATGTATGTACCAGCACACTTAATCTAAAATATGTTTATTCAGTTATTTACAAAAACTGAATAAACATTTACAAAAAGCATTATTTTTTGTAAACATTTACAAAAAGCATCATTAATTGTTGGACTGTATATATGTCAGTAACACTTCTTATAAGTTTAAAGAGCAGTTATGTTTCTTAGAAAATGATAGGTAAGATGTTCTAGTTGGGAATTTACTAATTTAACATACGGGGTGCTAATACACATATCTGCAATTGTGAATTCTTTTCCTAAAGGTGAAACACAATGTCTTTTAAACTTTGGGAGCTGGGCAGTGTTTTGTGTACCACTGCCTGATAATGAGTTTCAGCTACAGCACCTCAGACGTAGCCCTGGGCAGGGCTGGGTTTCTCCAGTCGACTACTGTATAGTTTTTCACTAGATAGAATAAGGTTGCTTTTCCTTCTGAAGGAAAAAACCTGGAGGGATTCTGATACAAAAATCAGATTCTACCACAGACATACGTTTCTTTTAAGCCAAGGATTCCAGAAATCGTATACTCTGGATGTTTTGTCACACTTGTGGTTTTATAAGCTTTAGCTGCCAGAGCTGTTATAACCTGTTGGATATCTTTCTTTGAGTGTTTTATACCTAGGGCCATGGTTTAATTTTTCACCTCATCACTGTTTGTACCGTTACTGTGTGACGTAAATACCTCTTATTCATTGAAAAACGTAATCCCTTGTAAGTAGTTTCTAATTGTGACGGACTGCTTTTTAACAGTCATTTCCCAGCACTCAGAGAATCGAATGAAAGACCTTTGACCTTTAGTCTAGAGCAGAGCTCTCCTTGATGCATTCTTGCAGTGATAGTATAGATGTGGTTTCTGGGTGTCTGGGAGGTAATAAAGAGAAGTTCCACTGTATGTAAAATACCGTGGGATCATGTAAGACCGATAGCTCTTTCAGGAAATGCAATCACAGAGTAACCAAAGCAGTAGGTTGATATGGTAATAGGTAGGGTAAGACCTTCACTGGTCTTATAAATACATTAAATAGGCTTAGATTGCTTCTATTATTTTTTTCCCTATCTCACATGTCTTAGTTTGTACCTGTTTTATAAAGTGAGAATTTCATGTCTATTCATTGCTGTCCTTATTGAAGGTTATGGATTCACAGCAGAGCCAAAAGAGAGATAACAGCTCTCCACCAGTGAAGTCTCCACTGGGCCTTCGGAGATGGCAGGCTTTCGACTGTATGTCCTTTAACCCTCTTCGTGGCCCAAACTCCAGCACTGTGTATAGAAATGGGCATAGAAGTCCCTCTGTATCAGAGTGCTCCACTGCAGCATCTACTGAAGATTTAATTGTCAGTCTGCACGAGCAAGAACACCAATCGGACAACAACAGACGTAAGAGAGACTTTAATGTTGTTAAAATGCAATTTTAGCATTATATACCACTTATTCAAAGTTATGGACAACAGCCAGTAATCCGTAATAAAATGATAATTTAAGGTTTAAACATGAAAAGGTGCTAAAAGCAGCTTCAAAGCCAGTTCAGGTCATGAACTCTCTGGAACATATTCTTTCATTTTTTATTTCACGAAACCTGAAACCTGGCATTAGCTGTGCTGTTGTTTTTATTTCTGCTGTCAAACATTTTTTTTATTTTATTTTTTATTTCATTTTCCTCTTAGTTTTCAGTTCTGCCAGCTGTGTCTCTGAAGATTTTGGCGAAGAGGAAAAAATCACCCACACCTTTTCGGAAGAACATTTGTTAAACATCACTTTCGAGGCATGTGATACCACAGGCAGAGGTGGAGAGAACTCATTCTTTTGCTTTTTAAAGGATCAATAGAACTTCAATCTTCTTAGGTAGAGGTCTATCCTATGATTATAAATATTTGACTGCTATTTTCTGTAGGGGAAGTGATGGCTTCCACTGTTATGCAGTACCTACAGAGCATGACGTCTCAGAGCCCAGAGCAAGGGAGGCTGTCAAGACTTTACGACATGCTGGACCCTGACAGGAAGGGGGTCTTTGTGAACAGGGATGTGTTCCAGGCCACAATGAAAAGATGGATCTCCCAGTGCAGCCAAGACTGGTAAGAACCACCATCTGCCTGTAATCTATTATGGTTTTTGTGAATATCCTCCCCAGAATATTACATTTGTGGGTATTTAGAAAATTCTTGACTTTGATTGCACCAAGAAGCTAATATATATACCATTAATTTAGCTTACTGGATGATGATTATCAGAGTCTTGGAGAAGACCATTGCAAAGCACCTATAAACGGTAAGTTTTTTTGCATAACTCACTAAAAGGTATAGTATATGACATATATATTTGTGCGCTTTAAACGAAGTGATTGTTTTTAAAACTGCATTCTGCCAACAGGGAGTGAATCGTCTGTTTCGGAAACTGAAAGAAGAGATTGTATTTATTAGTAAGTATATATAATTGTTACATTTGTGGTTTTTAAGTTATCTTGAAAATGTTTACCAACGCCTTGAATGGTGCAATATAAGTAAGACACTGGCAAAAGCCACTGTACTAGATTTCCCACGGATTTAAGTTATTTTTTTCCATGCTCTCGTGGTTACTGTTTCTCACGTTTCTTTCCTAATGTATTCCAGTGAATCCAGGGACATGATCAGCACTGTTGCGGACCTACGGCACGCTAACCACAGCCTGAGCGAGCAGAACAGCAGCCTTCTCAAGGCTGTGGAAGCATGCGACGAGAAAAACCTCCAGCTCACAGCGGAAGTCAGCAAACTCAAGAGAAAATTAATGAGGTATCTTTGAAAAGAGGAATTGGAAATGAACCGATTGGCTCTGCCCTAATGAATTCAAGTGGCTTTAATAACGTCTGAACGCTACTTGTGAGGTTCCTTAAATACTCGTGGCTTAAACAAAACTGCCGAAACAATGATAGATTCATGGACTGACTGAACTCATGAAGAATTTCGTATATTTGCTATACCCCCACCGCACACTTTGCTGAGTTCTTAAAAGGTGTCGCTGCTGTTAATAACGTAAAAACGTGCCTTTAATTATCCACATTTCTTGAAGGCTGAAGAAAATGAGCAACATGACATAAACTGAAGAAAGAGCTTCATACATACATGTGTTGTTTTGTTTTTTTGTATATGTATGTATCCACACATTTGAATGTTGAAACCCTATAATCAGCACACAGCGATCCGCTGTAAGTTTCGAGTCCCTATCGGAAGAGTTGGATGAGGCCAGGAGACTAATAAAGGACAGCCAGGAGAGAGCCTGCAGGATAAAAACCTACAACAATAAACTGGTATGATTGCAATTTTCACCTGCAGTCATCTTCAGCGACACTGTTAATGATTGTAATAGCACAGCCAGGTGATGGCACCATATCATGCAGGTCTTTCACGAAGATCAAAGGCAAATACAAATACTGCTCAGCGTTAAAATAGGACGTACTGTGCAGGTGACACAGAACGTCAAGTTTTAATTTAAATAACTAGTTAGATGTTGCGTTCCTTCCTTTGTGTCCCTACTTGATTAATATATTACTATTCCAATCAGTTGTCTGAAATATCAATGCCAGCAAACATTGTTTGATATAGTTTGATTTGTTTAAAACATCTAAATAAAATAGTTGTGTGTAAAATAACATACTTAGACGTCGATAGAATTGCAAAACAAAAACAAATCTAAACAAAATCAAATAACTTAGAAGTCCACAGAATTATATCCAGTGCTCCTTTTGAATCTGCTATATACACTGTGTATATTTAATTGTTCTCAGGGGTGGTAGGGACATATAGTTGTGGAGTATTAAACTGTTCTGTTTTTATTTTTGTTCAGTAACCAAATAAAATGATCAGACCACCATAATTTCCATTAATTGTGTTTCCTGTTTCTTTTCAATATAGAAGAAAGAAAACGAATGTTTAAGGGCACAAATTCAATTACTGGAAGAGGTGGTAGGTTGTTATGTTTGAACAGATGTCATTTCACATCTGAAGGTATTGGTTTTGCTTATTGTGATTTAGATCATTGTTTATCATTGGTTTGATATCATGATATGTCTGGCATTTGAATCTACTCTGGCTGAAACATTTACTCTTATCTTAGATCATACCTATTTCAAATTAAATATCTATTTAACATTGTTCACAAAATAGAATCAATAAGACTGCAGTCAACTCTCATTCATAAATGCTTGTTGAATTATGTTGTGGCATTGGATTCATGTTGAACATGTTTTATAGAATGAAAAACTTGCCCAAGAGAAATCCTTTAACAAAACCTGCCTTGCCAAACTAATGAAAATGCAGTCTGAAATGAGGGTGAGTGCCTTTGGAACTAAAGCAAATACAGCTGTAAATTTTGTATTTTGACAGTAATTAAAACAATGAAAAATTTAGGTTATGTTTTCAATGCTTTACAGAAGGAACTAGATGAAACACATGTTTTGTTGGCATCAAAAGACAGGGAAATCACACAGGTGAGTTAACATATTCAAAATGGAAATGTGGCAAAACATGTTTTTTCTGTTTGACTTTGAAACTGAACTGAAAATTATGGAAACTATTTTATTTCAGAAAACAATGCTCATTGAAGAGTTAAAATTCTCTCAAATGGAGAACCACAGAATCATTGAGGTATTCTTTTCATTCCATGTTGGTTTGTGTAACAGTAAACTTGTGTTTCAAATTATGTTGGTCTGTTATTGAGCATTTGTTGTAGAAGATTAATTAAAACTGTAACATAATGTGAAAAATTAAATTTTTGTGTATATCTTTTAGTTAAGATGAAAATAAATCCTTACTATTTTTAAGACAAGAATTTTAAGATCTGGTCTGCAACATGGCAAATGTTTAATGCAAGGTAAAATTGAGAAATTATCTTATGCATGAAGATTACAGTACTGCCTGAGTAATTAATTACATAACTGTAATATTTCCCAAAGTAAGAATGCCAATATACAGATTATGTTCTTGTAGGTATACTTATATTGTTTGAAAATGGAACTCTTTGTGTAGTATAATACGTAATGCACTGTAATACTCGTTGTAGGGAATGTATTCAGAAGTACAGAGACTTCAAGAAAATGCTCGGCATGGGCTGTTGAGGTAGGCAATGTGTCCATATGTAAATCATCTTCTACAAAACAAATGAGGAAACTTATGCCAGCCTGTTGGCTGGGCAAGGGAGCCATACAGACATGCCAGGTCACCTGGAACATATTTGATTTTGAAGTAAGACGTGCTACACATGTTGTTATTTCACTGCACCACAGACAGACCAGTTTCATTGTGCTGTACCAGACGGATCAGACAGCTGCTCTTTTTTCCAGCTCGTAGCAGCTGTGCTCAGGTGAGGTGCTGGTATAAAGGGTGAAGTTTTGGTGGCACTCTAGAGGACTTTAATCTAACAGTTTGTTTTTTGCAGATGGAATGTAACCCTACCCTGCCCCTTGGGAAAGTATGACACTCCTCCCCATCAACACTCACTACAGTCAGAAATCCAGGAACTGCAAGAGGTAATATGGGATGACTAAAACTAAAGAGTATCACAGTGACAACTGCTGTGCCTGTGTCCATTCTGGTATCTCATTTTCAGTGAAAGATGTGTCCAAGACAGATGCAGGCAGTGGCTGGTTGGATCTTTAAAAACTACATGATTACATTACACTATAACTTCATTGTTATACTTCATTGTCTTTAATGGGCAAAAAAATTAATGGGTGGCAAAGTGACGCAGTGGTGTGCACTGCTGCCTTGCATCGTGGGACCTCTGAGTTCATTTCCTGGAGGGCTATGGGCATGTGTTCACATGGGTTTCCTCCCACAGCCCAGAGACTAACTGGTGGGTTAATTGGCTTCTGGGAACACTGGTCCTGGTGTGAATGTGTGTGTCTGTGTGACCTGTGATGGACTAGTGTCCCATTCAAGGTTTAACCGGAGTTGCACCCATTGCTTGGTTGGATAGGCTCCGGCTACACCCCACAGCGTTGATTGGATAATGCAGTTAGAAAAGGGATGGATGGAAAATTTTAGTTTTGAAATAGCAGTTGAATTTACATTATCTCCCATAGTGGACCCCCCACTGATAGACAGCTGATCTGAAATATTATCGAGTTCTTAAATTTGTATCAATCCAGGCATTAGAGCTAACTATAAGAGTAATAAACATTGCTTTTTACATATAACCCAGTAAAGAATTGAAGCTTTTATGGTCATGGTAACTTTTATAATGCTATTAGCTGTGACAATATCAGTGACAAAGTAATTCATTCTACAACATCTGTAGTGCTGTGACATTTTTGTTGTAGCTTGGCAGTACTGAAGAGGCAAACAGTCCTCTTTGTGGGCTATTGTCCTCCACCAACCAGAAGGATGAGTTTCAGAAGCTTCTGCATCAGATTAAATCACAGGAACACATTCAAATGCTTCACACCGAACCTGAACAGAGGGTAAGGTGCCCGTGTGCTACACAGAGCAAACAATATTCAAAGATACTGGCATTCATGTTACAGGAGTCCTAAACCAGCCAGGATAATTTCTTTAGGAAAATATTATTAATTTTATATATTGAAATCATGTTAACAAAAGAGGCAAACAGCTGAGTGACGCCTAAAACCAGTCATTACATATAAACTTAAATGTATAGATTGGTTATATAAATAATATCTGTATACACAATTATAAATAACTTACCGAAGCATGTACTCCTAAATTACATTTCCCTGATGACTTCCTTTCCATCATTTTTTGTCCGAAAGTCAAATTCTGTAAGTAATTATGACGCTTGTGAGAGTTGTATTTAGAATATGGGTTACTACATGGTTAACCCCCTTCTGTCTCAAAATGCAGCTCTTGTATGGGAATCTGTTAATGATCACAGCAAATTACATAAGAAGCTCTTCTAGTCAGTTTTGTGACTAACACTGGATTATCTGCCTTTCTAAATTTTTCACTAGATTTGGGATGCAGTGTTTTTATAGGCATAGAAACAGATATATTACTGAAACCTCAGGTGTTATATTTATTTTCATTTCCAGTTTAAAACAACTTGTTTATTCCATTTCCATAAAATACTTAGGGAGATCATTTATTGATCTTTGTGGTAAAAGTCAAAGCTTATTAATAGCTTAACATTTGAGTTATGGATTGCTAAACATAAGAATGTATAAAAACATACGGACAAGAGGAGTTCTTTCTTTAGCTACTTTAATTGCTAGTAGCTAACAAACCTCTGGTTCTCAGTCAGCCCATTCCCAAAGCCAGAGATTCAGCTTAATCAACTGTTATTCTCTCCAAGATACTTGGATTTATTGTGAATTTGTATTTTGCTTTTATAATACTGACAAAAAACATTTGCTCATTTAGTCTCCATTGTGAAATTCCTTTTCTTCTTTCATCTTTACTCCTCCTGCATCTTTTTAATTTTTATCATTTTATATGTCGCTTTCTTCCTCCCTGCATTTCTATTAACTGATTTATTAAACAATTTTGGGTCCTTGCTTTCTGGCCTTTAATTAACTTATAACTTATAATTAACTTATTCTAATAACTCTTGGGATTTCTCTGGTCTGTGCTTCAAGTATCTTTAAACTGCCACCACCCATTTTCATTAGATGTAATGTTCGCCTGTTTAATGTTGGTGGACATCTTTCTTTTAATTTCTTTCAGGATACAATTAAAGGTGCCAGGAATAAAGTTGTGGAAAGATTAGAAAGAGCCTACTTTCAATGTCAGCAGCAACATTCAAGCACCAAGCAGCATCTGGCAAATGTGTATGTGAGTTTTATTTGAAGTGTTGCATTGTTTCAGATATGTACTCCAGTATTGACCAGTAATGTCTACACAATAATACTAATTAGAGCAAAAACTGATCTGGAGTAGATCAAATTCTTATTTTTTCTTTATTCATTTAAATCAGTTTTTATATTTGATCTTGCTAATAACTTTGGATGCTTGCTTGACAGAAAAATAGAAAAAAACGTTCTCAAGCAGTCTTGGGCTAAAACGTTCATGTACTATAGTTCTAATAAGAATCACATTTTCTTGATAGAATACGAGAGCTTGAGTTGCTGAAAGTCCTGAAGTCTGAAGCTGAGGATAAGGTGTTGGAGCAGGAGCAAGGGCTGGCAGAGGCTGAGAAAGACAATAAAGAGGCAAAGAAGATGGCTGCTATGAACTGGTGGAGAGCTTTAAAAGCAGAAGAGGAGAAAATCAGAGCCAAAGACGAAACTGCTCAGGTGACTCGGGTGTGTGTAGAAACAAAAGAAAAGCTCCTACAAGCCCAGGGCGTAATCAAGGAGATGGAAAGCAAGTTGTGTCATTTGGAAGCGTCATTAATGGAGGCTCAGCAAAAAGTTCCTGAGGCTGAAACAAGAGGTCAAACAAGCGAAGAGGCAGTGCCCACCAACCATACAACCTGGGAACAAGGAGCAGTTTTACCAGAAAAAAAGGTCATGGAAGATGGACAAAAAACAGCACAAAATAAGCTGATTTTAGCTGATGCAGATACCTGTGAGCCAGAAGTCATTAACTTAAAAGAATCGGCTTTGCAAAGCTTTCTGGGGTCCTTGAAGAAAATGGAGGAAACGACGAGCCAAGTGGCAGAGCTCATCAGACTTGGCGAGCAGAGGTTTGTGGTTGCTAAGGAAAAACTGGATGCAGTGACAGAAAGAATCGAAGCTGCTTTGGAAAGAGCTGAAAATGCGGAAATACAGTTCAACCTGCTGGAGTCTAGGGTCTCTGCAAAAAATGAGGTATCTGTCTATTTTCCTAAAACGTCTCACAGCACCTATCCCGAAATGGAGAGTATAACATCCAGGAGCATCATGTAAAGCTTTCTTTCGTGTGTATGAAAATCAAAGCCAGTTCCTCTGAGAGATTGTCTCACAGTACAGAATTATGCTGACATATCTGTCTAGAGCATGAGAGGAAAGGGTAATTAAAAGCTCTAGATAACTACAAAGGTGTATGCTTGTAATAACCAGACATATATCTTCAGTTACTGAGCATCAGTAGGTTTATTTAATTATACAAAACAATAATGGTCTACAAAAAGAGATGTAATATAAAGGAAGGTTCTGTTTTCTTGTATGTTTGACCTTGCACATCTTTCCATCATGAGCAAAGATGACATTATGATACTGGAGGAATGACATTTGTAATGTGTTCTTTTGTTTATAGGCCTGTATTTGAAAAGAGTTCTTTTAATTTCAAAATAAAACAAAGACTAGTTCTTGTTGCAGGGGAAGACAAATAGATGGACACACTCACTGAAGGTCTGTTTAATGTCAATGCCATAGTTTATCCTTTCATTTTATTTTATTTTTTTTGTTTAATATTTTTCCCCAAGTTAGTAATTATTTTCAGTTTGTCTGATACTATCTGTTTATCTGAACAATACGAAATGCCACTTAATGCGAACTTGACATTTTGCACTCTTTCCCGAATGCTACCTCTGACGTTTGTTCCAAGTGCTTAACTCACACTTCTGGGAAAGAGGAGTGAGACTGTAAACTAACATTTGACCACTGGTTTTATTCTCAAGCCTACAGATTCCAGATCACCCACTGGGTCTGTGGGTGGATCACCCTCTGTGGCCTTTTCTGAGACACACAATACAGAGAAATTCACTTGTCCGGCTCCGAAAGCAACCACCATCTGCCAATCCTCTCCTTGTGATGTTACAAATGGTAAAGTTAAATAACTTGAAACTGCTGTTAAATGCCTGAGTTTTCCTTGGCTGCTCTTTTCCTGTTGTGTCCACAGAGACCCCTGTCATTCATTGGTCATGGCATTCTGCCAGTATCATTCTCTCAGGCCCTAATTCAGTGTAGCTTGAGTGAAAAAAAATCTAAGAAAGAATAAATTTAAGGCAAACATAAAAAGCCAATGTTTATATTTACAGATACATGAGGAGTTACCAATTTTTTTTTGCTATAAAAGCTATATGTTTAATTATTAAAACTAAAGTACCCTTATAAAACCATTATGGTCTAAAGCCACCCCCGATTCCAAAGGTTAATTCTGCTTTAATGCTTCAATAAAAGCTATCCAAAGAGAGGATTAATGAGCATGTCATTCCATTCTATCTCTACATTTTCACGGAGTCTGAATCCAAGGAAATTACATTACTGAGGTTGTGATGCATTGAGGTTTGTTTGCTTTAGTGAATCCAGCTAGTCTTCTGCTTAAGCCATCTATTGGAGATGAAGACAAATCTCCCAAAGGTCCTGTGGAAAGCTGGGTCAACAGTTGGACTTTCTTATCACATAACACATGTTCCTCTGAGATCTTTAAGGCCTTTCATGACCCAGAGTGCTTTGAATGAGTTAATTGAAAGCATGCCAAAGAAAATTAAAAAGGCATCCTATTTAATTGTGTTTCTGTTTAATCTGAATTCTCAGTACATATTTTACAGCACTATCTCAATACACTTTTAAAACCTTCAACACCTAAAATCAAATTATCTGTAAATTATTGTCTTTTTGAATGTGGAGTCACACTCTACTCTTATTTACCCCCAAACTCTGAAGTACTATGTTCAGATATAATGTGCAAATCACGGGTGTTGTTTGCAGTTTGTAAAGGCAATAAATTAAGAAATCTTGCCTACATGGAAAGTAGCTTCTAAATTATTTCAAACCTTGACTCATTGATCATTTTAAAAGGATAAATTTAAGTGTTAAACTTGGTTTGTCGGGCATTAATTCTGTTTGCTGTCTAAAGAGTTTGATTTTGCCTTTTGAAAACACAAAGCACAACAGAAAAAAACATTATTTACATTGACTACTAAAATAATTAATTCGATTTCTGAGCCACATTCCAAGCTTTCACAGAACATTCAAAAGAAGTAGCTTCTGTTTCTTGCTTTCTGGAGGAAATTATCTGAATGTCCCTTGTTCAGAGTTCACACACTGTACAGTGCCACTTGTCCGCATTGCAAGCTTTGTTTTTACATCACCCAAGAGTGTTTTGTTTTCACTATCATGTTTCCCTCCATCTGGAACAAAAAAAGCAAATATTAAGCCTAGCATATGCATAATTGATCAGGCTTCCATTTAGGAGAAAATGCATCCTAGCAACACAGCAAAAAGAAAATCACTTTAAACGAAAACTCAGATTTTTAAATGTGTTTGTTGAGCCTGAATTATCCATTGTTTTTTAACAAAAGATAGGTGTACCTCAATGTTTCTTTACATTCATGTCTATGCATACTTTAAAAAAATAAATAAACAGAACCGATTTAACAGAAGTGGAAAAAAGAAAAAGGCATCATCTGCAAACAAGATGTCTGCCCATAGCATATAACCTTGTATTTGGTCTTTCAGTTTTAACAATGTTTTGAAGTGTGTTTTCTTTTATGAACTGTTTTTGTCTCATGTAAACTTAAAAAAATCAGTTACTTGACATTGATATCTGAGTTTTGTAGGGGTGGGAATTTAAAAAAATGCTTTTAGTAGCAATTCCTAAGATTTCTTGAATACGAATAAACCATAAAGACTGCTTCTGTGAATCTTTGCTTTAAATAGAGTAATAATTATTATTGGGTTTCATTGTATGGTAATTTTGTTTCTGGACATGTTGGATGTGTCATTGAGTAATAACTTTCTATCAGTACAAAAGAAGGGTGACACAAGGAGGTCATTGTAGGCCTAGTATTTTTAACCAGAGAATGGGCCCTACATGCAAATGGTTGCCAGGTTATTGTTGCCCTTAGATATGGAAAAGAGGTGAAAGAGATGCGCTTTCCTTGCTTAAATATGTGTGGAGGATGAAGCCACCAATGAGGTTGCATAAATTTCTGGGTGCGTCATCAGAAAAATGGGTTTTAAAACAGTCTTTAATTTGCATGGACAGTGGCTCAAATGCAAATGATTTTTTTTAACTTTGCATCTGATTTTATTTTAACAGGTGAAATCATTTCCCTGAGCACCACAAGACAAAGCAAGGTAAGAGAACAACATTTCCTAAATAAAATGTAAAACTAACTGGACAGCTTGAGGTGTTTTCTTTTAAAAAGAAAAAGGTCCAAATAATTTTTAGCCAGTGAGAATGCTGAGAGTTTATAAAAAACATGTCTTTACTTTAGTTCTGAATTTATAGGCTTTGTAGACTTCAGAATGTGTGGTGGTTGGATATACATCATGAGATATTGACTTAGACTTTTGTCTTTAAAATAACATTTTTACAACAGCATATCTGATTTAAAAAATATAATTCACAAACAATGCCAGTGGGAATTGTTATCATACCAACTTATCATGCTACAGTTTGTAAGTAAAAATACCTTTTCCCTTTTGCTATTGTATCTGCTGGATAGGTTAAACTCTATACACTAAGAGATGTTGTGAGTGTTCATCAACTGGTATCTTATATCTCTCTACTTTCTCTCTTAATTATGCCAAAAGACTGTATCTGGAAATCATTTCTGCGTTAAAATGCAGTTGGGGATTATTTTCTAAGAAGTGAGCAAAACACCGGCAATATATTTGTAAAATTTAAACCCTTTGACTCTAGATACATTTGGAAAGAAGTGTTTGAATTTTTTAATTGTGTGAATCAAGTTTCTTTGCAGTTTTTATTTACTGCTCACACAGATCTGTAAACCATAAGAGCAGTCTTCAAAATCTTGAAGCTAAAATCTTGAAGTCAATGAAAGAAGCAGTTTCATTGGTACCAGTAGTGTCAAGCATTTCAAATATTTTGTCCCAGACTGTTGATCTAACTTATCTTTGCTAATCATAGAAAAGTCAAGAAAGGGGTAACTGTTTTACAATATTTTTTAAACAGTAAAGAATACACACAAGACATAGAGACACAACTTATAGCACTGAAGAGTGAAATAATAATTAACTTTGAGAGATCTGAAGCTTTGTTCTATCTGATCTTAAAGTAAATAAATTGTTACAGCAATTTAACCAAGTCAAAATGAAGGCATTTAATGAATTTACAGCATCAGGTAGACAAGGTAGGTAAGTTTCCTAACCTGGAAGTGTTATGCAGATGGAAAAATGATACCCTGTTTGTATCGTAAGCATTATGTGACAACTCAAGGTAAAAAATAATTTCAGTCATCGTGTTTAACTTCAGTATTGTCAAAAACACTGAAAACACCAACATTGTGTAGCTGTTGTTGGGATTTAATAAGCATGTTTTAAGAAACAAGTAAAGGTTTAGTCCATGCAGAAAAGAGAAGAAAAGACACACAATGTTTCGTGCACACCCGAAGAAGGCTCTACAGCTGAAACATTGTGTTTCTTTTAACAGCACAATCTACATAGTCTACAGGTACAAGATCAGGTTTGAAGGGCTCATGTTAAGAGCAAAACAACAGCAGAGCAAAGAAACTAGATGTGAGTGGGCAAAAACAGTTGGACTGTATACAGATTTTGATGAGGAAAATTAGAATAGCACATTTTAAATATTTAATCTTTTCAGTGCTCATTTTAGAGAAGAATTGTTTTATTGAAAACCACAGGCCACTTATTACAACAGAAAAATGACAACATATAGTTTTTTTTTCCAAATTTGGTTGTGAGTGATAATAATTTTATTGGTAATATTAAGAATGTGAATTAAATCCTTTTCCCTTTTATTTTTCTTAATTTAATTTCAAGTACTGTATGAAAATACCTATTGTTACTATTATCCACAGCAGCAAAGCTAGAGATCAATAAGACGGTTTCTGCCCTTGATGTAAAACCACACAGCCAGTTTCTAATTAGCATACTGTTGACTAAATTATGAAAGAATGCAAAAAACCTGTACTGTTAGTTTTTCTAAAATTTACCATTCTGATCAGTGCAATGCCCTGTGTTTAGCAATCATTTAAAAGGTTTTTCAAAGTTTTTTAAGACAGCTGACAGAAATCCATCTTTAAAATAAAATTTACATTCAGACTGAATGCTAATAACCTATCTTTGATGCACTGAAAAGCTACACAGCTGAAGAGAACATTACAAGTGAAATGGAAAAGCACTATATCAGGATAACAGAAGCCTGGGAGATTAAGATTAAGTTATTTAACAATTTATTTTTAGTTTCATAAAGCAAACACCCCCCTACACTCACAAACACTCCTCTTAAAAAGAATGAATTCACGTATATCAGCAGAGAAAGGAATTTGCTGGAAATGTTTGATGCTGATTATGTTAACCCAGTGTATTGACACATTTGAATCAACAATCAATGAATGCATTTTCGATGTTAGATTGTAGATCTACTACTGTTACTTTAGAAGTTAGAACCAAAGAATAACCTTAGCTTGTTTTTGTTTAAGAAATATTAGTGCACTCATTTAGAATGTGTAGCTTAGAGGCCTCGTAGAATTTGCACTCTCTGCTCAAGGTGCTTTTAAGAATTTTTGGGATGTGCAGGAGATAGTAATAGCAACAGTTTAATTAGATGCAAAGTCCGGGGCTTCTTCTTTTGAAGATAAGGGCACTGTATTTGCTGTATTCTGTGATTCATGGTGATATGGGAAGCTCGGATGTACATTAGCTCCTCTCTCCACTCTCTCAGGAGTCTCGGATGAGAACTGCTTAACTGCATTCAAACTGAAAAAAAGGAGAGAGTGGTTTTCAAGGAGCAGAGTTTTTCAGCGGTCGCAGTCATTCTTCTGCTTAAGCTTCTCAAGCAGCCACTGCACAGCCAAAAGAGTCAGATGAAACATTGCCCTTAAATGGTAAAAGCTCCCAGGAGTGAAAGAGAGGCTGGCTTAAAAAAGAGGAAAAAAAGACTAGGAATTGTTCAGCTTTAGGTAAAATCTCCAAATCCAAGGAAGCTGGAAATTGGTGTTTGTTTGAGTACTCTGAAAGGCACAGCTGGGACCTTCTGCTGAAGTTAAGGTACAGTAATACATGATGTGCTTTGTATAGCCTTATTTTCTCAGGAAAGAGGGATACATGGTGGAGATGTGTGTGCCTGAAAATGTGAAGTTGGTGTCTGTTGGTTTTCTATACTTGTACTTGAAGGCAATGCTTGTGTTTAAGGCTTTGATAGGAATACAGTGACTGAGCTTTCTTCTGTTTTTCCATACGTCACAATCTGGTTTGGAGACGCACAGCAGTGAGAACTGGTATACTTAATTTAATAGACTGCGCCCAAAAGACAACGGTAACATTTGGATTTAGCAGACAGTTCTCAGGATAAATGTGTATTTCTGTATTTGAATGGACATTTATCTTCAGGAAATGAGTTGTTTTTAAAGATTATTATAAATGCTTAAAGTTCCTTAATGTACAATACAGTTCATTTATTATAACACTGGGTCAGTTAATACATAAGGGCTTGTATAAAGCTCTTCCTCTATCTCTCTCACGCTCTCCGTCCTGTTTTCTTTTATGCCGTCAATATTACTTCCACATTCCTGATTTAACTGTGTGTGCTATAGACAACCACATTTTAAACAGATTCTGTTAATTTATATTATCTTACATTAAAGTAAAGAGGTTATAGCATTTAGTTTCTCATGAAATAATAATTAAATGTGTTGCCTTACGGTGACATTTGACCCCTCAGCTCTAAGAGCGGGTAAATGCTCTGTATCCTTTCCAAGTTTATGTTGCTGACATGTCCTTAAAATAGACACAGTCAGTACTGAGCCCCTCAGGCTCCTGTTCACTGAGCAGCACAAGTACAACAAAACAGGAAATTATATAAAATAATGCGATTTTGTGAATTCCAGATGTATCAGTTATCTCTGCTTTTGCAGTTTTCTAACGTTAAGAGCAATCCTTAAGGGCACGCTGTCATACAATGGAAAGAAGATAACAACATCATTGTTTAAAACTGTAAAAAAAACACAGTATAGCATATTGTGGTGCCCTAAACTGTTCAATGTACAGGAAACTATACTGACGTCTTTCTTTTTGTGCCCCATGATTTATTTTGTGAAAAAAGAAAGAAACCATGTATATTTTCTTTTTTCTTGCTGTTTTTAAGTGCATTGGGTGCTTCTGAAGAGGTGGATGAAATCTATTATTTTCTTGGCATAGTGGGCAAGTTGACAAACAACATACAAATATGTACACATCTTTACAAGATTACAAGAGAGAGGGGCATTCCTATAGAAGTGTGCATGTGTAGAGAGAGAAAGAAGTTTGAGTGTTGTAGGCATTTCCTTTTGGTCAGAACCTCGGTCCAAAAAAAGACATAATGGTATATTGTCTCATCAGATACTCACTTGGGTGTCAGTGAGCTTACAACTGAACTCAGTTTTAAAATGTGTTACTGAAATCTGCAGACTTAGTTTGCTGTGGCAGTTTTCTGTTTGCTTTACAGTATGTGGCAAAAAAAGCAGCTGTGATAAAGGGTGTTTGTAGTTCCTGCAGCACAGTTGCAGAGGTTGAGGGTTCGTTCTTGACGGGTGTCGCCAAAGAAGCAGAAGTTGCTGACTTGTACTTGTCAGAGCCCAGCAGACTGTTAAAGATTTGTGGATTTTCACTTAAAGATCCCCTGGCTGTGTGCAAGAGGAACCACAGTACAGAGCTGAATTAGTTGCAGTCTCTGATGTCATACAACAGGCAAATTCGGCACTTGCAGGATTCTCTGCTCTGTTGGCTTTTCTCTAGGTGGGGGTACTCCTTGTGTTCCATTGTGTGGGGATCCCACTTGCGTATTATATTGTTGCCTTTCCACAAATCCTTGCCTCAGGATTGAAGTTATGGGGAGCCTCTTTCATTAAACTCTGTATTTCCACCTGACGTTTTTTGGGGGAGGGGAGAATTTCTTCCCAAATAACATCCCTACCCCCAGCAGAAACGGTTCTGTGAGCATTTTGAGGAATCTCCTCAACAGGTTTTAATGGATTAGTATTAGAAGCCACTTTCTGCTGCCTGGTTCTCTCAGGAAGTTTCCTAATATTTGGGTATGCCCTTGGTAACCATGCCAGTTATCTGGCCAAAATATTTTCTGGAGCAGCCCGTGGTCTGTTTTACAATAGCTCTCTCACTATAACAAATGTAACAGAGAAGTTTACAGATTAGGCCTTTTTGTTTTTAACCTCCTGCAATTATTGGGTTTTCCTTGCTTGTCAAATGTAATACCAGTCTATGTATGCAGCCTTTTCCTGGCAGGCTCCTGGAAGAGGCACTTTCAAATGCAGTAAACTTTTGCAGTACACAAATGCTTCACCTTCCTTAAATACCTCTGACTGGGCTTCAGTGCTTAATCGGAAACATTTAAAGGAGGTGAAACGAGTAAGGCTGTTATGTTTCATGAGTGTTAACTTTATAAGGTGTACATTTTAACATGAGTTAAATTGCAAAAAATGCATGCTTTGTATATAGGATAAAGTGAGGTTGGCTGGCCTACTACAGCTATACAGTAACATGAAAAGTGTGCATTATGGGTACAAATTCAAAAGAGAGCATGGGGAGTGCATTGCTAGCACAATGACCATAACCACAATAGGAAGGTGGAGCATAGCAGAAAGACATGGACACAGACATATATCACATTAAGCTGATATAATAACCTCTGGTGTTTACTGTCTTTGTTTAGAGGTCCCACCTACTTGCTAATTAAAAGATCCCACAACTCTGCTTGCAGGTGTAAGCCTGTTTACCCTGCTGTCCTAGCTCAGTTCCACTCTGGGCTTGACCAATCTGTGTTCCCAGAAGTCTCCGTAAATGCTGTATGTTCTTATGTCTCCATCTGACCTGCTGTGCAGCAGAGATGCTGGCATACAGTATAATGACTGCCATGTGTCACCCCAGTGCTATATTTCAGTGGTGGGTGAAGTGTGTCCAGAGGTGTATGTGAAACATATATTTCAGCCAAATATTTCTGCTAATGGAGGCTGTGACCAAATCTAAGTCTACTCTACATCTACATCATACTGGCACCACCACTGAGAACAGTGACCCTTTCTGAGCTTCTAAACACTGACTACAAATGGAATGGTTACCAGGGCAGGCCAGTCTTACTTTTCCAAAAATGCGCCCTGTGATATAGCAGCACACACAGATGTTGTCCTCATGATCGATAGCCTTGACCTACCAATCCAGTGGAGATTTCCCAAATCTCCAAGCTTGCTGCTTGGTGTCCTGGAAAACATCCTTGACATGTGCCCAAGCTCTCGTAGAGCACGACAGCACAGCAGCTGGGGGGAGACGTGTGATGAAAGCGCCATCCGGAATAAATATCTAATCTTCGACCTGGTTTTGACCTGCTGTGAAAAACCCAGAAGCTCCTAAATTGGATCCAAACAGAAGGTTGTTGCTATGGGCACTGGATGCATAAATGGCACATTAAGAGTTCTGTGGAATGTGACTGTGTGCTCCTAGATCGAACTATGGACCTATGAAAACATAGCTTTCTATACAACTCTGATGGTGACATTCCCTCTGCTCTTGACCAATTCTTAAATTGGACTTATACTTCTTACTTCAAGTCAGCCATACAAAAGAGAAGCTGTATATAAAACTAGTCCTGAGCCTTCAAAGCTCTCGGTCAAAAATCTGTTGAAACAAAGAATTAATCCTTTATTATGGTAATAATACCCTTTTAAAACTCCCAAAGAAAATAATTCATGCTTGTCACAGCTCATTGATTTAACATTGCCTGTTAAGGCTTTCATACAACTTGTCTTTGGTCTACAGAGGAATGCTCTTGCCTTGCATCACAAGGACTGCCATGGAAATTGAAATTATTCATTTTGTATGCTTTTTAATATCCAAAACATAATTGGAATACAATATATCTGAAAAAGTTTCTCTCCTTTGTGGAAATCAAACCATGCCAAAGTTGAATTCCGTTGGGTAGACAATGTAAATACCTTTGATTGACAACTCTGTTTGTTTCAGAAAAGAATTAGGCTTGTTTGTAGTTCTAAATATATACATATGCCCATTCCTTAGGTCTTTATCGAACTTTGAATGGTAGTTAACTGATAACACTCTGTAATTCAACATGATTGTTTTTCAGTAGATGGGTGTTCTAATTTATTGTTTTCTTCTTAGGTTAAGTTCCATGTTAATTGTTACATTGAAACAATCCTAGGATGAAGTTATTGCCAAGATACACATCAAAAATACATTTAACTATTGTGTAACTTATTGTATCTTGATACAGGACACTGAGCAGGACAAACTATAGAAAATACATACCATGTCACAGGGCAAAAGTCATTGCAGAATAATCACTGTATAACGGGAATACAAATATCTGTCATGGGATATATATATAAAGTATCAGAATCAGAAGATGGACGTATGTTTAGTCAATGTAAACACCACCATATCCTTGAAGAGTTTTGTCTTACAATATCTGTTTTTATCCATCTTCCTACGTTACCCACTATCTCTGCACTCTGCTTTAGCTCTGTCTCGGGGCTCAGATTATGTGAACGAGTATTATATCATTTTCTCTTCATCAGGATAAAGAGAGCTCCTGCACTGTCTGTGTCAATGATCGACCATCACGAATCCAACATCCTTTCTTCAGCGTTTGTTCAGGGCAGCATTATATCAGCAAGGATAGTTCAAGACATGACACTTCTCTACTAGGTACACAATTTGTGCAAATCATTGTTCTGTTTACCTGTTTTGTCCAAAAGTGATTCCTACAGATCTGGCAGAGGGTAACAGTAAACGGTTTGAAATAGGTTTATTTAGCCTGGATTAAATCTTTTTAGAGGTTACATACAGTAAAATGTTTTCATAATTTTCATAACCCTTTATAACTATTGTTCGAAATATAATAAAAAATACTAAAGGTGTGATGGAGGTTACATAAAGCTTAATTCAAAGAAAGCTTTACCTTATATTCTTAACACCACACTCCCTAAAATGAAAATTGACTTGAAAAAAACTATCTTTAAACTGTTGTATTTTGTTGTCTGAGATTTTATTCATCTTCTTCTATTTCTGGAACTATTTGTTGATAAATTGCTACTGATTCAGTAAAATAAAATTGTTTAAACTCATCTTAATTTAATGAAAATGTATACTTGTAGCTTTTTCAGGATTGCTATGTCCTCATAGTAACCACATTTCATTGGCTCAGACATGTCTCCATTTTAAAATCTGCGACAGTCACTTCCTGTCATGCAGAATTCTGTAACTGCTGTGTATAATAAATCTAGTTCATCATTCCAACAGATGCATTGGCTTTGGAGCTCCTGAAGACAGAGCTACAGACAAACAGCTGTTGTGTCAGACAATTGTCACCTAATCACAGCCAGGGGAGATGTCAGAACCATTTATCTGACAACTGTGAATGTAAAGAGACAGATGAAGATGTAGAAAGGTAAGTTCTTCTGTTTATAAAATAGGATTCAGTTAAGACCTGTGTTGTTTTCTATTTAGCTGGAAATGCAGTTGAGTTAAAAAGTGTTTTTTCATTGTTAGTTCAAAAAGTTAGTTTTATTGTCTGGATGAAAAACATCATACACGCTTTCTCATTCCAGCGCACAACACCATAATAAAACAGCTGGCCACTGTCAAACATTTTGCATTTTTTAATTGTAACTTTCCAACAATAAAAAGCCCAATTAAAGTCCCCAGTGTCTGAATGACAATGCACTATGCAATAATACCGTTGACATTGAAACTTAAGAAATACTTCTATAACGACAAAACCTGGACTATACATGTAAAAATAATGCATTTATGAATTTATTTAATATTACCATATGTTATGACAGAAACTGATTACCTATTGTACATAAAGTATGTATGCCTGTTTATTATAATGCAAGGTTCTTTATAACATTTATTTTTGAATATATTTTTTTTAGTTTAAATTATGTAATTGTTTTTTTCCTCCATTCTCCTACCAAACTAAGACTTCTGCTTTCTGGAGTTTGTTTTGTAAATGTATAGTACGTTACTGAACTGGTTAGAGTAGGAGTGAAAAACAGGAGCTGAAGAAGCACACTCCTCATCTTAAGACATTATGTTTTTTCTTCTTACCTTTTACTGTACGTTTCAGCACAGGATTAATCTCTTGTTTCTATGTGACTGAACAGTTTGTTAATTAATTATTTCAGCTTTAAGGTCATTACCAGCTCTGACTGCTGCCAGACAGACCCAAAGGACAATGGAGATAATCAGGCCCTAGTGGAACAGAGCACAACTGCTACTCACACAGACCCGGTGAGTTAATAGGTCTCCCCTCTTCTGTGTAACAGTGGAGACACATCTGTTTACACAAGCCCACTACAATTACCTGTGTGGAAGATTGCATGGTTAATCTATCATCAATTAGAGAGGTTTTCTGATCAAACATTTTCGTTCTTTGTAACATTTGCTAAAAGAAAGGGAAAATCTATTCTAGGTACTGTCAGAAATAGACATATATTTTTCTATGGTATATCTTAATTCTCTTAACCCACTTTCTTCAGAGCTCCCATTTTTAGTATTTTTTCGAATTGCTGTATTTTGTTGTATACTGTCTTCTGTTTTCAGTGTTAATCTAAAAATTATTCAAATTCAAAACCATTACAAATTCAGAAACAATAACGTAGCTAGGGATTTACCAAAATGCATGTGGTAAGATCTAATGATCACTAAACTCAATATAAAAGAAGCATGCAACACGATGGATGTGATTTCTTAGAGACACAGGTTTGTTTGGGTGTCTCATGGAAGTGTGATTTAGAAGGGAAGCAGTGTTATAGCTTCTATATATCTGTTAGCCAACTGTGTAGATAGGATACAGAAAAGCAAGTACTTCCTGTTGAATGTTTTATATACAACACAACATCTGAACCACCGTGGCAACAAGGTGATCTCTGATGACATATCCAGACTTTGTCCTTTAGACTTGAAAGTGCAGACTTGCATGTGTACCACAAAACCACTGCAAATACCTTTTCCATTTAAGGAATACATCCTTTTAAGATCATCTCTTCCAGGAGACATTCTCCTCTGAAGTAGAGTTTTTTTCCATCTTGTTGATTGGTCTTAGAATGCAGTCTGGAACCTAAGTTTGCCATTTCAACATGGATGTTCCATATTTATGAATAAAGACACAGGACGTCAAGGAGTAAGGAAGTAGGAATGTACTGCAGGCAATAACATAACAAATTACTCGCACTGACAAGGTATTAGCTATAATTAGACATTCCAACAAAATCTGGTTGTGGTTATTGCAGTTGAAATGCAACACTAGCATAATACTTAATTGTTCTCTTAGAAGGAATAGGTTTTAAAGTTGTTTTTATCATTGTTAGAAAGATCTAGGTTTTCCTGCTTCAGTCATTACTACTGAAGCATAGGCTATATTATATAAACAAAGTGGTTGCACTGAGTACTACTTTTTAAAACTTTCATAAGAAAGTGTGTAATATTTAGAAATATATCGAATCAACTCAGTTTTTTCTTTTCAACCCTATTTTATATTCATGTCCTTTATAAACATACAGTATAGGCAATGTTTGTCATTTTTACTCTGATTTAATGCAAGCAAAGGTTAATCTTTCTGTTACATTTTTAAGAAATATGGGTGAGTTTAGTTTATGGAAGAATACATTCCTGTCTGACTCACATGAAATGCTTTGAGCCACATTTGATCACGAGCACTTCAATACATCAGGTTTGTTAGTAACAAAAATAACAGTCTTTGGATCCTGAATAGGGGGAGGATTTCAGCAAAGTGGTCAAAATATTAAAAAAACTTTAGTAAAGGCCTTATTTTAGAAACAAAATCAGGGGCCCAGAGCTTTTAAGTGTTTGTCAGCGATATACTGCTTCATAAAATACTTTTCAGCACTTAGCGGTAAGTCATTATTGGCTTACTCTGTACACACAGTATGCTTGTTAATTTCTCAAGATACTGAAGAAGCACTTAACTGGAATAGATGTTTGTTACTCTTGAGAGCATGAATTCACAGCAAACACTACAGTTCTGAGTCTGATTGTCAGTTCTAGACCACTGCTGGTACTTGAGCCATGACAGATACACAACAGCTGATCATTGCATTTTCTTTGCTCCCACTCGTAATGCCCAAGGAGCCCAAGAAACGTATTAGTTGCCTGTGGACCTCAGGAAAATGAGGATTAGTGGAGTGGGAGTCTGTGGGGGCTTTTGTAAGGCCTTTTGGCCAACTAGCCCACCCCCTGATGTTTCCCTCACAGCAGCATGGAGCCCCAGGGACTTGTAACCAACATACAATTCTGCATGTGCAGGATTCAAACCAGCAGCTTTCATGGGCTCATCTCTCCCTTCAGTGCCATCTCATTCTGCTTTCTGAGGGCCTGTTCTGCAATTCGAAATTTAAAGTGATTCCTTCAGTCTCTTCATAACATAATATCCTAACAGGTTTCTGTTGTAGGTGTGTGGAATTTCTTAAAATAATCCGTCTGTTTAACATCTGTTACAAGCCTAAATATTACCAGAATAAAATGTCAAGGACATTTATTCTGGAAGTATGAATGCCTTATAACATCTTTGAGAAAAATAATATTGCACATTTTAAGAGTGACTTATAATATCTACACAGTCAAAGATTAAGGCCTATAAAGTTACATGAGTGTGTTTTATTGCAGTTGCGAGTTAATGATTCCAAAAAGCTTCTGAAGAAAGTAATATTGACTTTCACTGGGGGCAAATGTGGTGGATTGACAAAAGGAATCCCACTATTGAGCATTTCCCGTTGGGAACACTCGTTGCCTTACCTGTTTTCATGAGAAAAGGGTGACTTTGGCATAGTGAACGCTATATATACTATATATATTGCTCACACCTGAAAAAGGCTTCACAGCCAAAACGTTGTGTTTTCTCTCTTCTCTTTTCAGCATGGAATAAACCTATAATTTGTTCCTTTGCAGACTATATTTACTGTATGTTGGATAAGGTATTATGGTTTAATCTGCCTGTTGATGTTCGAGCAGTGAGAAGGTAATGTGATTGGGGCGTTTTGTGACACGTTTTAGCAGCCTGTAGAGGACGAGGCCTGGCAGCCTTGCAGCCAGGCGTTAAGCGTTCGACCCAGTGAGCAGCCCCCTTCTGCCCCATCTGGCCCAGCCAAGAACGGCCGCCCTCTCCTCAGGCCCAGACCCAGCCACCCGCCAACAATGCCTACCCTCCCTGAAGAAGAGGAGGACTCTCCTGAGGAACTAGACAGCTCATCCAGCTCTCCAGTCACTGTAAGGAAGTCTCCAAACTCCTCTATCAACTCTTCAACCTCTCCTAGATAAGTGCTTGCTTGTCTAGAACTTTTGTACTGGGGTAACTACAGAGGTTTTGTCATTTTTATATCTATTTCCAAAGTTTAAATATAGATAAAAGCTGACATATTAACATTTGCTCCTCTATTCATGTCTGCAATATTCCTTTCTAACGTAAAAGTGCACATTTTATATTCCCCTTAATAAAAAAGGTTGCCTACTCCTTCATGCATTCTGTTCTTAGTAATAAAGATAACCCTGTCCTGTTTCATTTCTGTCACATTTTTCCTCCCTACATAATGTAATTCTTTTTATTCTTGGTAAAGACAGCCTGACTTATAGTATGTTTTTTTTTTCATTCAAAAGACCTTCTTGAGATTAGAGCAAGAACTATAAATGAAGAACTGTTGCTGCAGAATCATTCAGAACAGGACAGGACTTTTGCATTTTTTTAATGGACAGACACACAAGAAGATTTGCAGAAGAATTGGCTTGTGATGTGACAGAATCTGGTCTGAACTAGAAATCTCTTGAGGAGAGAACCTTAACCCCTCTTTCTGCTCTGTTTCTTTTAAGTCCTTGAAGAACTCTTGGTGCTCTGTTGGTTCATATGGTTTGTCCTCAGATTTTTCCAATGTAATCTGGCCGTTTTATAACCACATTAAAACTTTGTTCAAAAAGACAGCTTTACCATTCCAGTGAACCGTCTTCTTAAAGACACATTTTATGTGCCTTTTAATTTTGATCTCGCCTTGTCAGTTTGTGTACTAGAAAAGTATGCTAATGGATTTTTTATAATCACTAAGCAAGTTTGGTGTCCAGGGAGTTGGCAACACAGTTCTGTATGTTTCAGAGACTTCAAAGTGCTTTAGATCAGAGTTTAATCCGTACAGCAAAATCACTCTGTTACAGTACTGTAGTAAAGTCAAGCATAAAATAGTTTAGACAATAGCAAATAGTAAATTGCTAATAGTAACTGAAAGTAAAATTATAGCCCTCCCTGTTTTATAATCTATTTTTATCCTTAAGACTTCAAAACAAAATTAGATATGCTGTTTCTGACACAACCTATCAAATAAAGTTCTGCATCCAATAATTATAATTATTAAATATTTTTGTTAACCAAGACGAGAAAGTCTCATAAAAAAACTTGGCATTTGATTCCTTCTGTTTACCAAAATTTGAAAAGGTCGCTTTCACTGTTTTAGCTTCTCTTCTTTAAATAAATCTGAAGATAAAGCTGCGATGAGTCATTGAATTTGAACTGGGCTTCAGTTTATCCCAAGAGAAATCGTTTATGTCTGTAAAGAAAGAGGATATAAAAATTAATAGGGCAATGATTTAAAAATGTTTCAGTTGGAAAGTTGTCTTGCTGGCTTTTTGAACATCTGCCCTTCGGTGAAACCGAGCTGCTACTTTACATAGCAAGACAAACAGTTAAAATCCACTTGTTTTCCCACGAGTGTATACTAAGATCATAGCCCACATTTTAATGACATTGAAATTAATTAATTTGCCTATAAAATAGTCGCAATCAGCAAGTTCTTTAAGAATCCAAGATCTGGTTGATTTTCCTTCAGCATTTTCGGTTAGATGGGATATAGCCTGAGAAATTCATAGGAAATAATTAGTAAGAGCACCTACAGCTGAGTAGTTAATGTTGGAAAATGGAGACCTATGTTCTGAAGCCTTAGGCGGTCTTTTTTAAATTGTACTGATAACAAAACCCTCTTTGTCCTTTGGAGAGATATTGTATATACAGTATGCTTTTACAGAGTTTGGGTTTTTGACTAATGCAATGAAAACTTATATAATCCTCTGGAATTTCAATTGTTTGTGCTCAGGGCTCTGATAAAAGCCACATGCTGAGAAGGAGTGCGTTTTGAACCTTTGTTTATAGTAAGCAATAATACATTAATGATGAGGAAAAGGAAACATGACCACGTGTTTATATCTCTATTCTGCTGTTTTTCTGCTGTACTGTCACATGGCTTAATTAAAATGAGTTCTCCCATTAAAGTACTTTCGGAAAACCGTTGTAAATAATTCTAGTTTCCCCATTATCAATAACACTCTTTTATGTTTAGCCTCACATTCGTTTTTTGAAGCTGTGTCCCAGACATGAACAAAGTGACATGCTATGTACTTTTACACACAGTTCCCTGTGCTGATCTGCATGATGTTTCTCTGTACGTAGTTTACGCCTGTTTTGACCAGAATGGTCCCTGGACCAGTCTCTGCTCCTTCCATTGTTTTACCAAGACAAGGTGCCCCTGTGGACCAAGATTCTAAACCTCTTGAACAGACCAGGTAATAAGATATTGTTGCCATAAAAGTGGTATAACAGAAGAATATTAGAAAGTGTTAATGTAGCAGTAGTTAAACTGTGCTTTCAACTTTTGAGTACCCAACCGTAGAGAGTCCCTGAAGTCCCAAAAAGAGTACTCCTTGAGAGAATTTGTGTACCAAAGCCCTCATTTAAAACTGAAAGGATCTTGTATGAGTCAAATTAGGTTGAGTTTGCAATCAGCATATCAGACATAGTTAGAGACAGATGTCAACTGTCTCTTCATCCTGGACAATAGAATATAATATTACCCAGACGTTCTGTAACTGATGCATGCACAACGACATGCATCCATTTTCACAGTTTATGTGTCATGTTTTATGTGAACTAAGGTAATTAATACAAGAGCTAGTTTAGATAATGCACAGTTGCTGTTTGGAGCCTTATGAGCTGTTCGTGTTTTTGGCTCCAATAAGTATGTCTCCACAATGTTTATTCAATGCATTTCAAAGGGATTAGTCGATAGACTGAAACAGTGTTCACTAGTTAGTGATGAAGAAGTAGTGTTTCAATTTATTTTCACAGACCACACAGTCCCAGGCCACGGCTCTCTCGAAGCTCATTCTCTTCAGGGAACCCAATAACAACAGTTGGTATGATTAGTAAATAACATCTCCTTTACTGCAACTTTAGCTTGTGTTTCTTAAACTAGTGTTACGTTTCTAGTCAATGCTGCTGGTGTCGTTTTCTTCATGCTTTAAGGAGTATTATCCTTAAATCTTGAGTATGTGGTACTCACATGTTAAATATGGCCACTTTATGCATTCAGTCATCTTATATAGACACTTGTATTATTTTCTTTCTTTCCTTAGGGTAGTATAGTGATATCAATTGAAGAAATCATTTCTCATCTGTGTGTCCCACTAGACAGTGAAGGCCATGTTATTGACCTGATAAAAGACCAGCTGCCAGATGTTGAACTTTCCAATGAAGACAAGAAGAAGAATCTGGAACTGCTTGAGGAAGCCAAGAAAGTCAGTGAGCGCTTCCTCATGCGAAGGGGTCGAAGGTCAATCTGCAGCCTTTCAGAATCCCCAACAGGTGCAGCTCTTAATGTGGGAAGCAATTAACACAGTCTTGTTAAGGCCAGAGCCTGATGAAGGCAAAGCAATTAGGCTTTGATTTCTAACATGTTATCATGCACTGTAGATACCACAGTTACCCGCACGGCTTTAATGTTTTTACTTTGTGCCACCTACAGGGAGTTATTTGCAGAAAGAACAGCTTTACAGAGGATTTCAGTCATACAGCCATGCAGTTTCAATCATAAAACTGTACCAATTTAAGTGAAAAGCTAGCTACAAACCAAAGCTGTCATTTATATAGAGTTTTTCATCATGAATGACCACTGATGTGTGGTTCCACACGAGTGAGTTGTGTCAGCCATTATGTGCCTGCAGCAGATCAGGACACGCTTGGAACTGCCTGCTCTTCACAAACTGAATACAGGGAGAACTTTAGGAAGGCACTGGTTTGCACAACCTACTGGCCAACCAACAGTGCTTACTGTAACAGCTTGGTTTTCCTTAGAGGTCTTTCATTCTTATACTTTCCTGTCCTGGACTTGTTTAGCTTCTGAGATCTGACAAGTAATATGTGCAATCTCCAAAATATTATTCATATTTGTATATTTGTCATTGAGCACAAGTAGAGTCATTATTTCATTCTAACGAAGTTAGTTAGTTGAAGAAAAATGAAAAAATAAACAGGAAAGGTCACTTTTTATTTTTTAAATGAAGCATGAAAAGTAGGACCATCTGTTTTTCTAGTACTTTATTAATGAGAATTATAGATTATTACAGTTCTACAGTCATACTGACAATAACAACTATTTTAATTGTATTGCTTCATCAGTGTTTGATTTCTGCCATCCTTTTGTAATGCTAGACAATTAAGATTATTTTTTTGTCTTAAGAAGAAAATCTAATTGTGCAGTTAAAATATCATTTTTGCATTGTAATTAAGCGATAATTATGTTTTGTTTTAAATGGGAACAAGAACATGTGTCAATACCATTCAGTGTTCCTTTTAAAGTTAGAAAAGAAGCTTATTTCTCATCAGTTTGTAATATGACTAACACAGTATTTCAAATCATTCTTGTAGAGCGTACGCACAGATACCCTCAGTATCAGACCCAACACAACATTAGATTAATAAAGTAATAATATGAAGAAAATAAAAACCTTTGCTGATGAGGCTCAGTGAAATACCCAGGTTGGGTATATAGAGGGTGTATAGAGCAAACTGTCTGTAAAGGTGAGGTATTGTAAATCGCCTCTTTGCAGGAAGCATTTTCTGGCTCTTTTGCTGCATTCCAGCATCTAATTTATTTTGATTCCTGCTGCTGTTGTGTGTTGACTTCTCAAGTTATCTTGCCTTAACATCCAGGGTATATTTGTGTTTGGAACAGCATACTGAGTGGGCGCCAGCTTCTTTACTCTGCTCGCTCCATGGAAACGGAAAGACGCAAGCATTTGTGCTCCAAATAATGTTTCCTTTTTTATCCGACTTTCAAATGTACTATGTGTCCGTCAAGAGGACAAAAATGGTTATGAAACTTTATTTTTTAAGCAACTTTAATAATTGTCGTGTTAAATAATTCTGGAAGACAGCCTCATGCTTTGTCTGTAGTTTGGCATGGGATTTAATCTGAAGATGGAGCCTGTGATGAGGAACATTTGGTATTTCAAACCAAGAAAAGGAGGAAATTCCTTACACAACGGCTTGTGGGAGTATGGAAGAAGCAACCCAGACATGTCATGGAAGCCGGTAGTCTGGTTTCTTTGAAGAAATGGATAGATGAGATCAATGGGATCAATCAACTAATAGTTACCATATTGGCTAGATGGGCGGAATGCCTGCCTCTCATCTGTAGTCTTGCTTATGTTATGAAATTGTTCAATATTTGAAAACTACTGTATAATCAAGAATAAAAATAATCTTTCAATGATCTGTTAGCCACTGCACAGACAGTGAATGTTTCTTTAGACACTTAACAGTTTTTGTTTTTTTTTGGTTGAACCGTTTTGCTATTAACCGGAGGACAGACTTTGAGATGGTTGAGGTTTTTCTTGTCACAAGTTGTGATTGTAGCTCTAAAGCTGCCATCTGTGCTCTTTCTTCAGGCATTCCCCTTAGAAAGGTGATTTATCTCACATTGGGACGATTCCAGTTTCATTCATTTTAACAAGGTGCTGTCTTTGCTCGTAGGTCTCTCGCCCAATCCCACTCCTCGCTCCTCTCCAGTACCTTCAAGAAGCAGCTCCCTCACTGTGCCCCCACAGATTGGTATGTTCTGGAGCCCTTGGCTGTATCTCTGAGATCTGAGGAATCAGAATATGAGACATGCTATTGTTTGTCTTATTGAACTTCAATTCCTGCCGTCCTTCATAGTTTCAAAAATCTGCATCGTTCCCAAATTGTGGGTGTAGCCAGACCATAGCCAGTCATAATCTGACTATGAAGTATTATATTTTAGTTGTTTTCTGCATAGTAATGCTTATTACTTTTCTTGAGTGACATTTAAATATTTCGTTTTAACTCTTCTGCACTCATTATATGCAAGTACAGATTTTCTACTTACTCTCTAAAGAGCTACTGCATTTTTCCAGCCACGTTTGCAAGTCTCAAGACTATACATGATATATATGTTTTTGTTTGTGTTTCTAGCTCCAGATGGGACAGAGGTAAATTATGTCAACCCCCCTATAAATCAGGTAGGCAGATCCACGTTTCCCCAGGAATTCCAGTGACCCCTTTTGTTACACCTGTAGCTAACACAGAATGTATAAACAGTTTAAATGCCCATCGCTCTGTGCTTTGTGTGGTCGCTGTAGCTTTTTAACTTTGCCCTGGACGGTTACCATGACACTAACATTGATGTGTGCCTTTTTCTGTTGTTATCTGTAGCATCTGGAAGTGCCCAGTCCCCGAGAGAAGTCCGACACCAGAGGGCAGGAGCCAGAGGTCAGTGCTGTTCGATTTCTTCACCCTAAGAAAGCTCAACATCCGAAACACTGGTTTTTCTTTCTACTTTTCAGCATGGAGTTAACTTCTGCTTGTTCCCTTGCAGTAAATATATATAGCGCATGCATTCATCGCACACGGGCTGCGGTACATTTCTATATTTTCTTCTCGTTGCTGTTCGTCAGAGCCCCAGGAAACCGTTGGACCGAAAGCCTCATGAGAAACGCAAGGTTTCACAAGGGACGCTGCCTGCGCGCCTCAGCGCCTACGAGGGCTCCAGCGAGGCAGCCGTGGAGCAAAAAGAGAACTGCGACCCCCGGCTCGGCGGCGAAACGAGAAAGAAGCCCCCTTCGTCCGCGGGCCGGGCCGAGTCGGAGGAGCCGGGCAGGGGCTCGGGGAGGAAGCACCTGGAGAGTCCTGACCCCCCCGTGGGGAAGGGGCCCGTGGCTCCGCCGCTGCCCTCCGGGGCCTGCACAGCGGAGCTGAAGTCCATCGGCTGCGGCCCCCCACTCATGCGGGCCGTGTCCTGGGATTCCGTAGGACCGGTCAGCATCAGAAACGGGACCCAGGCTTTCCCAGCGAAAAACGACGAGCCCTTGTCCTTTTATGACAAATCCAACATCGCGCTGCTAAAGGCTACGGGATACAAAGACTTCCCGGTTCAGCCGGTCAGGATGCAGAAGCTGGTCCAGATGCGTGAGGTAACTGCTCAGCTCGCACATTGTGCTCAGTCAAGGCCGTATGAGGTTGTATATTGGTTTTGACAAATATCACGTGATCTTTCCGCAACCACATAGTATCATTGAAATGGAACGAGTAAGGGTTTATTCCGTGCTGAAAAGAGAAGAAGGGAAACACAAGGTTTCGGCTGTGGAGCCTTCTTCAGGCGTGAGAAAGACAGGGGAGTCGGCAGAGATTATATAGCATGGGAGAACAAAGGCCGGGAGTGTCGAGGAGGTAAAGGCGGAGGGGGGGCAGAGTGGGCAATCAGGTGGTGAGAGAGGTGAGAAGTCGAAACCTGCAAATGAATAGAGAGGATTCGAAGGAAATGAGTCTGTCGTTGAGAGAAGGGGAAAGGTGTGAACCTAGTTTCAGGATAATTTGGGTTTCGGATGTCTTTGAAATGTTCCCTGAATGTCAAGAGCAAGGTTTTCTGATTGTGGTATAGTGGTACATTTCATGAGGTCTCTATTACGTTTCTATTGTTATGTACTGTATGCATATGTATAGTATACAGTATATTTTGTTTGAACTTTTTCATGTAAAGTAACTTAAACTAGTTTCCATTCTTGATCATTTGATTTTTATTTTTCTGGAATGTAATCAGGTTACAACACTCTGTTACATAAAGTTAATTTTTATTTCCTGAAGCTTTGTCTTGCCATAGTGTCAGATTGTTATTTGCTACAATGTTCCTGCAGCATTTTTGGTTAGCTAAACAGAAGGCATTTTTAGCAACTGCTCGTATTTTAAGGAAATGGACTTGCGCTTTCAAATGCCTCTCATTGGCCTCATTTGCTCTCTATTTACTCATTCTTACACGTCCTCATGATTTATGAGAGTGGCATTCCCATTGGAGTATGTTGGCATGGGTCTTTGAGAGTGTTTGAAAACATAGATGTACTGTAAATGAATGATTCAGGTTAAGTTAGAATGGAAACAAAAAAGAGACAAAAATGAATCATAAGCTTGCAAGATACCACTGTAGCAGAAACTATAACTTAATTTTATTTCAGTCTTTAACTGCAAGCTTAAAGAGTAATATGGGGCATCTGTAGTTCCTCCTCTTACAGAATATTGAGTAACACTGATTTACAACGTTTTAACCTTAGGCACCAGTAGATTGGATAATAATCATGAAGTGTTTTGCCGCGATACGGTGATCCAGTGTTTCTGTCCATAACCCATGGAAAAGAAAGTTGACAGAGAGACGTCTGATGTTTATTTTGGCAAGAGCAAAATCTGAGCAATGCTCTCATCACAATGAGCCTCTCCAGTGTGATTCATGTACGGAGTAGCTCCTGTTCAGTATGTTTGTCTATGTTGAAGAGTGCTGTTGGTACAGCAGATGGGGGTGTTAAAGAGCACCTTGTTGACAATGTTTTCACAGAAGAAAAATAAAACAGTTAGCAGTTAAAATTACACTATAGCAGGCTAGGCAGACTATGCCATAATGCAAATTTCTGTGTTTGTATCTGAAAGTAAACATAAACTCTGTTACTAATCCCAGAGTAAAGTTGTTCATCCGTTCGGTAATTGTGCTTTATCAGTTTATTGTGCTTCCATGAGTTTTTAACTGTATTTGTTATTGCCGTAAATTATGGCTGTGCTTCCAGTAATACTCATTCAGCATTTTTACTAGGTTAAAAAGATTGAAAAAACGGTACAATTCAGGGGAAAATGATAATGCAAATCAGATTAGGAACTGACTATAAAATTATTTAATTTTGTTTTCTACATTTATGTTTAATACTTTAAGGCATAACAAATCTCTTTCAAGCCTCTATGTGTTGCATTTGTTGAATTATTGATTGAAGTGCTCTTATCTTGTTGAATGCTCTGAAAATGAAGCATTTTAAAGAGGGATCTCAGTGTTACATTTTCGTCTCAGCTTAGAGCTTCTGTTTTTTTGTTTAGGAACACAAGCTGATGCGAAACCAAAGCATTATTGGATCAAAGCTGCCAGATCTCAGTGAAACAGCTGAACAGGAGAGAGGTACAAACTTCTGTCTGTCCGCGAATTAGAACAGTATAGGACAGAGGGATGTTTTCCTTCTTTATATCATTATTACAAAATTATCTTTTATACTGCAACATCAGTCTAATAGCTACAAAAGCAAAATATTATGGCATTCAATGAGAGGTAAAAGGGTATCTTGTGTGTAAAGCAAAATATTATTTTAATTTATTGAACTAAAAAAAAATTATATTCATAGAAAGCACAGGGTTTTCTTACAATGCTCAAATTACATACACGTCTTGAGAATTTCAATATCTACAATTACAAGATCAAACCAGCAGGTGGCATGTATGTTATGCCAAAATCGAACACTATTTTATGAAGTGAGTTATTATAGTTTTAATTGGGAAAAGATTTTGCTAATTTTGCTCATTTTTAGAGCATACATAATAAAATATTTTTTGTCTAGAATAGCATGCATTCAGGTAATCTTTGGTTTTAAGGCAAAATACAGATTTTAAAGATGTTGCATGTAGGGACTTTTAGAAAATCTAAACTTAAAAGGTGACTTGCTCAAAAAAAATAGTTCTGTGGCAAATCGGTCTTGGTGCTGGTCTTTCTGTGTTTCTCTTCAGACAAACTACAGCTTGAATGTTCTTTATTTCAAAACACAGGACCCTCTCCTAACCCCACACCTGGGTCGCCTACAGAAGAGGAGCCCAGAGCAAACTCTGATGTAATGCCAAACATTTCTGATGTCATGCTGCGGAAACTGAAACTTCACAGAGCGCTGCCTACGAGGTTTGCTTCACATATATAAGTCATCATTAAAGTCCTTTTACCTCACTGCATAATAACTGCATTCCACTCTAAATAGGTTACTGTTCTCAGTCAAATACAGTCTCATACAAATATGTGTTTTTTATTTTGGAATAAAAGTTACTTATGCTATTTATGATGTAAGGAATATTGAAGTGAATGTGTTATGCATTTGTGTATTTTCTCTTTCTGTAGAATTACTATTCAAATACTAATCATACTTAAATGATCTTAAAGAGTATTTTGAACGTAAAAATGCCTTTCACATCTAAAAACCCCCCATCTGATTACAGTTGGTATTTTCTATTTCAGCGCACCCCCGCTTACAGAAAAAGAAGTCGAGGTTGGTATCTCCATGTTAATTTTCTTCCTTTTTTAATACACACATTTTTACACACATCTTCACAGCTCTGCACAGAGGATCTGATATGACAAAATCCTGTTTGAATAAATGGCAAATTCATGTTTTTTTAGCTGCAGTCATTTTTTAAAGCCTTGAGAATCATGTTCCCTGAGAAATAAATCATGGGCTTACTGTTGTGAAAGTTGTGCAGCTCCTCTGTTAGTGGGCTCTGCAGTCACACACAGTGCACAGTGCAGCTGCTGGAGGAAGAAGGACTGTCTGTGTGATTGGTCGAACTTCCTGTTTGTGATATGAAATTTTAAATGTTGTGCCTCTGACTGTGATAAGACAGGGCTGACAGTTGGCTTCACCTCTCAGGAGGATGTTTATGAAGTCAGATCGATTGCTGAGAGGTCAGAGAACACGATCCTCTTGGCTGTTTGTCTATGAGTGCCTCACAATGTGGGTTAAGTTCAACCAGAAGAGGTTTTCAGAATACTGAAGAACTGCTGAATAATTCCAACAATCTACCACAACATGTATTTCCTGTGGGCATTGCACAGAACCCTGTATAAACTCATTTTTTCAGGTCATTTGCTTTTTCTGAAAGCTTGTTTTACTTTGTAAGAAGGTAGCTGAGAGCCAAAATGGAACAGGGCAATGGGACCCAATCCAACGCATCCTGGAAATAAAGTACCTTGATGAGCATCTCTGGATTTAGTTTTTTTCAGACTGAGCTTCTGACACACGGAGTGTATCTTCAATTGTCAGCAAGCAATTGCAAAGTTAACACACTGAAGCAAAATGAAAAGTTCACAGTAATGCACCAACGCTGCCTCAAACACTGATGAATAAAGTTGATTGTTTTGTTTTATTTACCCTTGTTATCTGGCAATATACAGTAAAATCTTCCTTTTTAAATGTGTCTGTTGCAGTTAATTATTGTAGCTGTCATAGTTAAAATTAATAGGGTTCAAGCATTCTACTTTAAATACAGTACAGACAAATCCAAGGGTGATTATGCAGTATTCTGTTGTAGCTATACTTATCAGGTTTCACAATTCGAACAGATTAGTTGGTGGGACTTAATCTCTTACTTGATTGCTTATCTATCTATCTATCTGAATTTCTCATTTAGTTTATTTATCTTTAAAATAGTGAGCTACCAGTTGTTGTACCGGTTGTGTTCCAGCACAAACAACTTCTGATAAGATTTTTCCCAGCTGAAATCTGAATGCAAGCTGAAATCAGCAAGATCTCAGAAGTAATGTTTCCCAGGTGGCTAATAAACATTTGTGCAATGCTGACCAATATTCAGCTCTGAGACATTTTCCCGAAGAACTGTATTTTTGGGGATAGCAGATGGTCTACAAAATTGACCACTAAACAAACAAGAACATAAAATAGGTCATCTTCAGTGCACCCAAAACAGAACATATAACAAGAACACAGTGAAATGAGAGGAAAAACATGTTCTCAATTTATGATATACACTGACCTGAATATAAAAAGAAATAAAAAACAGAAAATACTGTGCTATATATGACAAAATATTGTTTTTCATTTGGCATTGGTATTTGCTTTCTTTAATGCTTTTAATGGTATTTTTGCTTTCTTGTGTTGTGAATGTGCTCGGTGTTAATGTGACAGTTTTCAGACCAGCATAGGAAGGATGAAGATCACACATGCTTTCTACTAAAATGTGTTGTGTTAGAGCCGATCGCCTTCTTTCGCACTGCAAAAACCCCAAAGCACAACAAAGCATCAGCAATAGTGCAACCTCATAGGCATCCAGCAATGCACATGGGTCACTGTCGTCCATTAAACTGAGGGCAATCTGACGTGCTGTTTCATTCTTCTTTAGATTGTTTTTTTTTATTTTCTCCCCAAGCGAGGTCAAATTGAAGGATGTCACCCCCCGTCCTCTCTCTCCCCAGAACGCCTTTGTCCAGCTGTCCTTGGCCTTTCGCAATGACAGTTACACTCTGGAAAGCCGACTGCACCAAGCTGAGAGAGAGAGGAACCTGACTGAGGAAAACACAGAGAAGGAACTGGAAGACTTTAAAGGCTTTATTAAGGTAATCTCCAGGAGAACACTACAGGCCACCCATTGCTAAACGTTTGCTCCTAACGTTCCTTTTCAAAGTAAGGTTTTTAAAAATTTTAATGACCGAGCAGGGTCCACTTGCAAACACAATGAGCTACCGATATATATTGATCATACTGCAGTATGATCCATAAAAATGGGAGTGTGATGAATACAAACTCTGCGTCTTCATTCCATGACCTTTTGTGAGGGCTTCCTGTGCATCCTTACACATTTATCTTTGCACAGGTCTGTTTACACTCACCTGTGTAACGATGTTCCAGATCGTCACTACCGTTTTTGGTGGTGTTGTCTGGCTTTCGGAAATTATCACATGATACTGCATTGTCATGTCATATCTTCCTTTTTTATTGTCCACCATTTTGTATTAAGGTTACAGACTCTGACTCTGCCTGAGCCAAAATGGAGTCTTGCCCTTCCCACTAGGGGGAGCCAGAGGCAGAGTTTAGAGTTAATATCCAGGCTATTGTGCTCATGGCAGTCAGTCACATTTTGCTGTTGCAAACATTCAGACATTGTCTAGACATTTTGCTTGCTGGGCGGAGTTGGGCGTTGGCTGGGAGGATTTCTTTAGTCAACAATGTCAATACCTGTTGCAACATCTTTTGTAAACAATCCTTGTGACCTTAGTGACACACACTAGAGATAGCACAGGCAAATTCCTTATGGGGTGTTTAAAACTATGTTGTGAAAGAATCAGAATGAATCAGGTGTTCTCCAAGTATAGGTCTAATGGGAGAAATTGCTACTTCTGGTCATACAATTATGTTTGTAAAACGTAATGCAAAATATGGACACTGATAAAGGAGCATGTAATTAAATCAGAAATTAAATGCCAGAAAAAGACAGCTATTACATCCTTATCTTATTATAATTTCTTTACAAAGTCAGGTGTGGTAGATGTGATAATCAACTGCACCTTAAAATACAAACTGTTTAACTCCTTTTAGAGTTCTGTGTTGTGGATGATTATTCTTAAACCCGGGAAAGTAAAATTCGCCAGCAGCCATATCACCCTGCAACTCACTACTGGCAGCCCACTGAAGCTCAGCAGGTGAGCCTGGTCCTGAGGCCTCCTGGGAAAGCTAAGGCTGCTGCTGGAAGAGGTGTTATCTGTGTCAGCAGGGGGCGCTCACCCTGCCGTCTGTGGGTCCTAATGCGCCAGTAAAGTGACGGGGACACTATACTGTTAAAAAAAGGCGCCGTCTTTCGAATGAGACATAATACAATCCTGACCCTCTCTGGTCATTGAAAATCCCAGGGCATTTCTCGAAAAGAGTAGGGGTGTTACCCCGGTGTCCTGGCCAAATTTCCCATTGGCCTTTACCCATCATGGCCTTCTAATAACCCCCATCTATGAATAAGCTCCATCACTCTGTTCTGCTCCACACTGTTAGCTGGTGTGTGGGCAGTGTACTGGCGCACTCTGGCTGCCGTCGCATCATCCAGGTTGGGGCTACCCCCTGGTGGTGGTGGAGGGGATCCCCATTTCCTGTACAGATGGCGTTCTGTTCCTCCCTGTGTCAGGGCTCAGTGCTCTTGTGGCAGAATTCAGAGCAGCGCGAATCCTACCAGCGCCTCCTAGAGACGGTCGTGGTGCTCCATCGTCTAGCAGTGCGCCTCTCCAGCCGTGCCGAAATGGTGGGAGCTGTCCGGCAGGTAATTTGATTCGAGCGGACTAATAAAAAATAAGGAAAAAAGGGAAAATGTCTACTTAAGAAAACTACTCAACTTACGTCCCCCCCCCTCCCCTCCTCCCCTTGGTTCATTCCTTAATACAGTTCTGCTGCACCCATCATCTCATAAATAATATTCTAAATAATCATTATCAAGATCAATATGAGCAAATTAAGGAGCTGGTTGTCACAGCCTACTGCTGGAGAGTGAATGGGCAGCAAGGTCTACAGCTCCACTTCAGGTTGTAACTTGGGGCTGGAACGTTTGTCTGGAGACTCATGACAGGATGGAGCTCTGTTTTATGTTAACTCTAGCTAGCACATGTGAGACCATAAAAATCCACCAATTTGTGGAAATGGGTTAGAATGATCAATGTTATGTTCCCTGAGGTTTTATACTGAGCACTACATGTACTGTATAGAGTCTAAACTGTATAAATCATGCTACAGTATCTTAATGAGTATTTATTTAACAATGAACACTGAAGCATGACCTGCAGTGATGTTGTTCTCTAAATTGTGCGATAGGAGAAGCGTATGAATAAAGCTACTGAGGTGATGTTGCAGTATGTGGAAAATTTGAAGAGGACATATGAAAAAGACCACGCAGAGCTAGTTGAATTCAAGAAACTGGCCAACCAAAACTCTAATCGTTGTTATGGATCCATTGACACAGGAGGTAAAGATTAACACATTATCGCCAGGTTCAAATCCTTTTTTCCTTTACAATAATGTGCCTTTTTTTCAAGCATTGTACAAGCATTCAGTTTCACATATTTTAGTGATTGTTAGACACATTGTGTGTATTTCAGCAAATGTTCGATTGCTCTGGCTTTCTGTAGATCTGTTTTTCAACACAAGAAAATAGAAGTATTTTTACTAGCCTGCTTTATACATTTTAATAAGTCTTCCAGTGGATGGAGAACATGAAACTAACAAACACATGACTTGTGGTAAGTACTGCTCAGTATTTTTTTACCTGACATCCTTATTTTTGCCTCGTATTTCAGTGATGGCGGTACAAATGTGGATCATGACGCACAGTAAAGTGAACAATGTACAGTTCTTCATGATATTTCAAAATGATTTCAGTTTTCTTTTTAAATTCCAGACGATGGTGTCCCACGTGCGTCAAGATCTATGTCTCTGACCCTCGGAAAGGTACAGTGTGACATCTCTTTCATTCAGCTGTCATCCAACCTGAAGACTGCCCGGGTTCAGGTCATGCAGCAAAAGCACAACACTCTGGGCGTCTACTGATCCTGAAGATCTAGAAGAGATTTTTGTTTTGAGTCAGCCAAGCCTTTAATGATTAATTTGTTTTTTTACATTTTATCAGGTATTAACTTGTTTTAAACACTGCCATCTGCATGTCTTCAGCCAGAGAACTGTGAAACTGCCTGGGCTTGGGGATATTAAGAATGATCAAGTAAAAGGGTCTCATCCACCAGCTGATATTTTAAGTGCAATGTTTTTATAATTAGATGCTCTATGGACTTATAGAAAAGAAAGGTATTTTGATAATATACTGTAACACTGGAAAAGGCCACTACTTGAGCAACTACTTAAACCTGAGCTTCATTTCTGTTATTGAAGTACTAGAAGCAAATGCAAATTTAATTGTTTGGATATTATAGAGTGAAAAAAATGATACGGGGATGAGGCCAAAATGTCTGTTTCTTTGTCTCAGGCTTTGCCAAGAAGGAGAGTCAGTGTGGCTGTGGTTCCAAAATTCAACCTCTTGAATATTCCTGGCCAGTCCCCTAACTCTGTAGGCCCTGGGTTACCTGTACTGGTATGTAAATCCTTTTCCTGACCACAGAATACTATCACTTGTAAAGAGCCTGTTGTTTTTATATGAGCACAACAAATAATCCAGCACTGTATGAATGCTGTATTATTTCACAAATTATAACTTCAAAATATTTTGACTTTTAAGTACCTTCCTACCTTTAAATATTTTAAAATACCACTATTTCACTGTTTTTCGTTTGACATAGTGCTTAATTAAATACAAATCTATATGTTTTAATGTTTTCAAAATGTAACCTCTTGAGAAAAATTATCTGACATTTGTAATGTCATAATTTATTTGAAAGAAACACCCTAAATACCTGCCCTACTGTATATTGTACACCATGAGGTACGATTTTTTAACCTTTAACTTGGTCAGTCATTCTTAGCACGTAGTTCAGAGATGGTATTTCTTTGTCGTTTCCAGTGTGAGGCAAACAGTGGAAAATGCAGCACACCCTCAGATCCTGTATCAGCTGCTGGAACTGAGAAGTAAGTAGCAAGCCTTTGTCCTTTCTTTTTTCAAGTAAAGCATATAGCTTAAAAAATCTTTTCCTTGACTCATGTAAAAAATGTTTATTTTTTAGATTAAGGATGGTAAAACCACTCATTCACTCTTAACAAGCACGCTATGTAGAATTAAAGCAAAATTATTTTTTAAACATGTTTATTTGCTTTGTAAGAATGATTCGAGTCATTATATTGTACAGTGGAGCGATTTTAACATACTATTGAAACCCTGTTAATGAGAAATCTCCATCTGAAGGGTGAATTATGTAACTATTAATAAATCAGTACTCATGTGGAACATTGCAGTACATTGACCTTTGCTGTGATATTCAGGCTGGAATTTGTGAATTTCATTTTAAAAAATTGAGGAGAGTGTACTTTCTGTCTAGCGTGCCCTGGTCAGTGATATTTAGACACACATCAGGGTCTTTTTATTGTTTAAGTGACCTTCAGGAGGTTCACTGAAAGGGCCAACAAGATTAATTACTTGGGAAAGGTGGTGCTGGTTCTGCTCACGTGCGCTGTTGCACTCATGTAATTTTGGAGATAATCTGTGAGGTTATAAATAGCTTTTAAACTGCTACATAAAACTGGCTGTAACTGATTTGTGTGACATTCCTAGATTTAATCTAAATATTAAGGCTGCAATGGATGACAGTATCCAGACTCCACAAAAAAAGTAAGAGCACATTCTGAATTTCCTTAATCTTGATATTAAAAAGAGTAGAAACACGCAACATGTAGGTTTTCTTTTAAATTCTCAAGAAACCTTTAGTCATGAGACGCAAGCACTGGAAATGGAAACGACCCTGTTATACCCATTTGAGTATTCCACAGTTTAAAAGTCTTTACTACCTGATAAAAGCTAATTGCACCACCCACTTACATGTATTAAGAATTAATTGAAAGAGGATTAAGAAAACATGAACATTATTGCTCTTTTACAGTTGTGTAACATGCAAAAGGCAAACTTCTATCAGTCACATTAAGTAAAGTGATGCCAGGCCATGATAGTTTTGGGAAAAAAACAGACAAAGAAATAGCTAAGTAGCTGACAGTTATCTCATTGAATAAATAAGGTCTCCACTTCTTTAGTCAGGCAGTTAGACAGTTAACGTGCACTGGAGCCAGTTTAAACAAAACAATGAGGTATATAATGTGTTTAGATAGTTTTATTTAGAAAAATAAAAATGAATCAAAATATAAAATCAGAAAAGTGTTTCATTTCAGCTATGCCTTTTTTAATAGGGGTAGAACCTGCTGCTCATCTTAACGATTCACATAATACAAGACTGTCAGTCAGGTAGCATGTCTACAGCTTAGACTTTGAAAGGTTAGCAGGTGACATTTGGAGGGAAGATGCAATCTTGACATCTTGCCAGTGCTTAGTTATTTTCATTTTTCAAGTAAACTACTATATTTTTTCACCCTTTCAATGTTTTCTTTTTCCTTTTCTAAACCTACTACAGTGAAAAAGCAAGTAGAGATCCAGAAAACGAGACATCTTCAGCCCCGCCCTCCAGCAACCTGGATGAAATTAGATCGGAGATTAAAGCTAAAATAGAGGAGGAGGCCTACAACAAAGGGTGAGGCTTTTCTCCTGGAGCTCCTGAGCAAGATGCACTGAAAAGGAGGACAATTTAAATATCTATTAAATTGACATTTGTATTTGTCCTCTTTAATAGTCAGCATTTAGCCAAAGTATTTCAGAGAGATAAATGCTTCCAGTGCATAAGTGTGTTTTTTTATTGCCAGGCATTAATTTACTCCTCAGACATCTGTGATGATCTCTTAATTGTTTGAAAGTTTGTTTTTATTGTTAACATGGGTATTCTTTGCTGTATAGAAATATTTCCCGTGTTTATTTCAAAATATATTTTGTAGTATTTTAAATGAATTCTGCGAGTCTACAAATCTGATTTCTGTCCAGTTCACTTTCTTTTAGAAACACAGTTTTTTTTTCTGGGCTCTGACCTGATGAAAGGGCTGTGTTTCAGGTATGAAGAAGGGCTGAAGCGAAGTAAAGAGCTGCAGGAGCTGAAAGAAGAGGAGGAGAAAGCAGATGAAAGTCAAGAAGACGCAGAAGAAGCAGAAAAAGAAATGACACTGGAAAAGAAGAGCAGCAGGTGATGTATCTTGGCTTAACTTTGATTGTTCAAAATGTGGAATAGGGGACTGAAATACCTCTCTTGTTGCTACTTAATTATTTGCTCTCTCAATGAGATGAACATCATAATAAAGTAACGCTTAAACCTACATTCAATCCAAGTAGACATACAGTCATGCAATGCCTATCTTTTTTTACTGTAAACTGTTGCATGACACTTATAGTAAGAAAATATATAATATTTTTAATTAGGCATAAAAAATATCTGTCCATTGTTTTACTTTTGAGGATTTTGAAACCCTATACTCCTCTTTCAGTTTCTTTAATTCAAGTCTAAAGAGCTGCACAGCTTTAACAGTTGCAAAATTAGTGGGCAGTGTAAATGGTGGAGATGTTTTATTTTGTCGGCAAAGGAACATTGAACCGAATGTGCTTATAAAAGTCAAAATAAGAATTAGGATTTGCATGAGGTTAAATGAAAGGTAAATGTCAATGTGCTTAAAAAGCATTAAAGTGAAATAACACAGAGTACGGAGCTTTCAGTCTGCTTTTCTGACATTATGGTGCAGATCCATAAAGATGAAATAGTGTTCAAGACAAAAGCGTTTTCCATGCTGAACTTTCCCCTCTCTCTTGTTTTCTTGTAGCAGGTTTGAGGAAGCTCTGGGTGTCTTCAACTGGTTGTGTCCAAAGATTTTCAGACAGAATCGTCTGTGTTGGATTATTGCCATAGTTGTTCTGGTTTTTGCTTTCATCATCAGTGTTTTTACATCTTTTGGTCATTCTTATGAAGAACTGGGAGAAGCATCTTCAGGAAATGGTGGAGGCTCAGGCAAAAAGCTGAACTTCGGGTGGAATGTGGGCCTTCAGCCCAAAAATCCCACACCTGAATAACACAGATCAATCCCTCTTCCACTTCAACATGCTCTGTATCCGCAAAACTGACTTGATATTAAAAGACAATTCTGGGCTCATGGCATGAACAGTAAAAGGATTATCCTCTAAAAACATAGATATCTGACAATAAGTGGTGAATTGTGAGAAGAAGAAACATTTGGGGAAAGAAGTATTTTGTACATTTTAGTGACGCTCACAGATCTTTTTGATAAAACAATATTGTAGATAACTTAAGGGATCAATTTCTGCAGGAGAAACGTGGTAAAGTTATTAGTCTCATTCTTTGAAACAAACAGTTTGATAACTTCCTTGATTTGAGTGAATTTGTGTATCATACAGTAGCTCCTGTTCAGGAAAAACCTGTTGCTTGATTTCAGTCAATGACAACAAAGGGCTGTCTAATCATGTGGGGGTGATTATCACACAAGCTATTTTGGGACAGATACTTTGATGGGATTAATGTAATGCTTGCCAGGGAGAAACTAAACTTGCTATCAGCAGTCTTCTCAGGTTAGATAAGGACAAGCAGTGATGTACGGAAGTATTTAATTTTTTTAAAGAAAAACCTTTGTAATTTTGCTAGATAAAATATTCTATATTAGTATTTAAAGAGAGACTTAGTTTGAAGATGAACTTGTTAGGTTATTCCAATATAGTTTTAAAAAGTGCAATATTTTTGTAGGAGATGTACACAAACTGTTTTTGATTTTATTTTTTTCACAGCACTGATCCTGTCAGAGAGATTTTCAGATATGAAAGAGCACTATTTTTGAACCGCATGACAACATTTCTTTTTATTACTGGTATTATTAATGTTGTTATTATTTATCATTGTAAACATTTGCACATGTGTGCCTACCTTGTACTGTATAGTGCCACCATACTTGAGTCTTAATAAAGATGCCTTAAATCCTCTTTTTGCAAATCGTTCATTTGACAAAGAGGGTACTGCACTCTGGGCATATTGACAGAGGGAAATTCAAAACCTTTTGCTGTACTGTGCAGCTAAATTTGTGTGTTTGTTTTTTAATATTACTTCTATCAAGTATTTACAAAACACGGTAGCCTTTGAATATAAGGCATGTTTTGAATCAAGTGAGTTTAAAAGCTCTGAAAATTACAGAGAACTATAATCTAGTAAAATGAAGGAAACAAAAAAGTACTTACACCCAAGTCTCCAGGTTAAAAATGATATTTAACTCATAATTCTGGAAAGATAACTAATGGAAGGTAGTTATGGAGAGGGAATGTATGCTCCCCAAAATAACACAGAACTGTTTATTATCTTTTCTTGTGCAAATACAATTGAAGACCGGTCTTTACACAAACGTTTGTGGGACTATAGAACACCCTACTTAGCCAGGTTATTGAAGCAGGTAAACTGGCTTCATTCCAGAAATGACTGGATGAAATCCTCTTCACATCAATAAACTACAAACTGCTTTATAAGGGTGGTAGGTTCAGTCAAGATGTTGGTTCTAGAAGCAGTGGGGAATGATGTGCCATCCTCTAGCACCTGACCAATTGTCTCCCTTCCTGACATCTAAGAACCAAGAAATGCAGGCTTTCTGTTGGTCTATCCAAGACTTCTACGTAAGATGTCAGATCCTTTTATGTGCCTGCATTGGAGGAAGAGAGGAATTTCATGTTTTAGATGTTTCAGGTTTTCTGAAACTGTGAAAGGGCAGTGTTTTTATCTAACTTACTGTGTGTCTGTTTTACTGGAACCCACCTACTGTATCTAAAGACACCTGCTAGATGTGCCAATTGGCCTTCTCTTATTTGTAACTTTTATAATGTATAATTTTGAATGGCATAACATCCTTGTTCAAAGTTGACGATGGAAGTAAGGCATGAATTGCTTTCATTAAGCAGCACCTTGCCAGTAATGTGGAAAAAAACACAATATTTTTTAGTCTTGTACAGAAATATAATCTGATACCACTCCAAAGCGTTTTGCCTGAAGCATGAGTGGGAATAGATATTCACAATCACTTCCTTCATTTGTTATCCATTTTCCCAGATTAAATTTTGAAACCATCATTACGATCCTCAAAAACATGAATTTAATTTCTTGTATAACTCCTACCTTGTCTGTGACACAACTTTCCTCTTCACAGTGACTTTCAGTAACAGTTCTGGAAGGAAAGGCTCTGAAATAACTCTTTGTTTGGTAAGAATTTTCAGAGCCAGTCTCCACTGATTTTTGTGGTGTGGAATGATGAGGTAATTGCAGTTGTCAACAACATCTTTTGTTTTTTCGTTATAAAGTGGTGGATATTTTCTCTCTTTCAGCGCACCAATTTGTTTTGTTTTATTCAGGAAATCACTAATGAAATCTGAAACAAGGCCATTTTTCACATTAAAAGGCATGGCATTTGGGATCTTGGACTGTGATTCTGTCACATTTGCACATTTGAACTACAGCATCCTGTACTGAAAATATTTTCATGTTTTCTCTCCTTTGTTGATCAGTCACAATTCCCAAAGAAAAAGTGTGCTTCATATAGGAACAAAAAAGACATCTCATTAAACATAAAGCTGTTCTTTAATCTTTAAAGGAAGTATATTCCTATGATCAAAAGAATGTACTGCTATGACACACCATGAAAATTGATACAAATATTGAAAATCCTTAAGGTCATCGACGAAGTTAGCCCTATAAACGAATGAAGAGAAAGTGCATTTAAAATGGATACCTTTGTTTTTTTGAAGTAATGTCTGAATGACACCCTCAAATCAATGAGCTACTAAAGATTGACTGAGCTAGATAAATAAAATGGCTTCCTCTTGTTTGTAAGCTTTCTCATATTATTGTGTTCCAAAGTAAAACTACAAGCTGACCTGCCTCTCTGATTAACAGTTATTGGTGTCCGAACTGAGGGAAATGTGGGGTCTGAGGTATAATCCATGTCTACAACACTCTGTTGCATTAATTTATGTGGCAAGTAAGGATGAACAAGACAAAAAAATGTGCTGGTCAACATATGGTGAAAATTGTGCTAAATAACTCTACTTACAGTACATTGTAGGAGCCACATTATTTTAGTATAGAATATTTTCATACAACGTAATTACATAATGTATGTCCTGGAATTAGAAAATTCCAGGATATATGTAATAAAATTCCATGAAATCTCCTGTTTGGCAGGGACACAATGGATTGTCGAGTAGATGTTGTCCTTCTTCAGGATTAGACAGCATCATTTCCTTTGAAGTGCTGATAATGTCACATCCCAGTGGAAGTGTTTTGCTGTGAGCTATTGCAAAGGGGGATATTGCCCAATGTCTAATGCTGAGTTAAAGAGAACAAGAGAACATATTATACCAAATGGTTTCATGGCAGAAGGGAATAGGAAAATATTAGTGTACACAAGGAAGGAATCTAATAAACTTGTCTGCCAGCCAAACTAGGGAGTGTTTAATTGGCAGAAAAGTCTTCATATAGGCAGAAACCTTTGTGTACATTTTTTTTGCAATTGTAGAAGGAGTCAATTGACTAAGTAAGATCTAAAAAGTAATTGGGGCAGAATAGTCAATTCTTTAAAATTGTAATGATTTATAATCGTTTTTTCTTCATAATGTTTTTTTTTTACCGCTTTAGAATTAGGTGTTTTTTTTCTCCCCTGCATTTATTACATTTTCTCCGTGTCCAGTTCTTCAACTTTTTTCACTTTTTTAGTTTTTTTTTTTAAATAGAGTGCAGTTGGGTCTGTGTGAGCCCTGCAATGGGCAGGCTTCCCATCCAGGATGTATCCTGCCTCTCGCTTGTTGCTTTCTGAGATAGGCTCCAGCTCTCCTGCAGCCCTGTACTGAATAAAGAGGTTAGACAATGAATAGATATATAGAGCAGTTGCTGTACATGTAAACTGTTTCACATGAAAAATATTCAAAATAACAAGAGCTTTTAATTTTCTTTTTTCAAAAAACGTTTTTAATCAGTTTCTTTAGATCCCGGTTCTCTGCATTCTGCATGACATTACATCTCATTCCTCCACACAATTCATTCGTTAACCATTCACATCTCATCTACAGACTGACAACTATTTCTGTTCCTTAAACATCATTTATCAGGCCTAGTGTCTTCTTCTTTTTATATATTGCTTATCTCTCATATTACTGTACTCCCCACCACACTGTGTCCCTCTGCACCAGAAGGTTCACTGAAATGCACAGTAAGGTGACAGGAGACACTGTGCTGTAAGATGTGCTGATTTCTGATAAGATGTTAAACAGAGACCCAGTGCCATGTGTCATTCGGGTGGGTTCTTCATTGGAGGGTGACGTGGGGTCCTCCTATGAGGCACGTTGTTATCTTTTGGGATGAAGTACCATCCAAATGTAAGGAAAGAAATATAACTTGATTATCCTGCTTCAACCTAAACCCAAACTGCCATAGTATCTTTCTTTTGATGTCTGTACAGTTCCTACAGGTTTATGGGTCATACTTATAAAGAAATTGTAAATAATTATGTTTTAACCCCTTACATGGGAGATTGATTCAATTAAGCAGATTAGAAATCATTTGAAATGAAAGTTACACAAGGACCACAGCTAGACATCTCTGATTTAATTGAACCAACTGGCTGACTAAAGGGATCAGACTTCACACGTTTCACACGTTCACAATGTGATGATTTAATGGTGACCAAGGAGACTTGGTGGACTGTTGCTCTCCAGGACGAGTGTGGGTCAACCCTCGGCCTATTGAAGAGTCTCCATTTGAAAAAAAAATTAAAATGTAGTCTGAAATCTGTTGATACCTTTGAATATGATCTTTGTAATAATGACAGACGAATCAGACAAGTGAATCAGACATATTTCCAGAGAATGGTCCTGCAGGCATCTGAGGAGATTAATCCATATTGATTAGATTCCATTATTCCTTATGCAGTGGAGGATGGAGAGCAGGCTGCTGTTTCCACCTTGCTGGATAAACCATTATTTTCTTTTTTATTTCCTCATCTTTCCTATTTACTCAGCTATGTGCAGCTGAGTTTATGTTATCCATGCACTCGGTGTCATGAAGGAATGGACCATTCGACTTGATTCGGAAAATATTAACTGCCAGACAGTCTGGGCATGGTGATTCTATGGGCAACCTTTTCTATGTGTCCATGCTCACTTTTATCAGTGTCTGAACAGTATTTCACGTGTTCTTCCTGTTTCCTGCTTCCTGTTTCCTAATCCAACGTCCTTGTCGTCATGTGTGATATGGGTCCTCATTTGTGCAGCACAGAGCCCCCTGCATAGCCCATCCTGGAGAGGGCTGTGACCCAGTCATGCCACCTCGGGGCTTCACAATGTATCCTATTGCTGAGCACGGTGCATCCTAAGCAGTGCACTCTTCATGGTGAAGAGCCATGGCGAAGCTTTGTCTGATCTCATGTCTCTCTTTGACTTTGGCCATGTCAGCCCTGCCTCAGAATCCCATTACAAAGGATGGTAAGACAACTCTTTAACTGTTTTGTTGCTGTCAGTTTTCCATTTCATATTTGCGGCTGGCTTTTTCATTGCTATTTTTCCTTTTGAATTTTAAACAGTTCCAGTACGTTATCATAGATGAATTACAGCACCAATATACAATATATTTGTTTTTGCATAAAATGATCAATTCTGTCAGGATCTCAGAAACCTGCCTTCTTCTGTACATAGTATTTATGTTTTTCCAGAGTACATTCACTTCACCATAAATTTACTTTGATCAGTGAAGTGGATACATAATATCTTAATCATTACAAGACTGTTGAAAATAAAAAAAATGATTTAGTGGGCAAAGCTTTAGGTTACGTCTGTTATGAGTAAAGTGTGTTTCGATGTTTTAATCAATATTGTTGCAAGTCAAGTCATTATACAATGCCTATAATAATTAGTGCCACTTTTTAGAAAAGGCATTCCATGAACATGTGGCAGCCCTGTCTCTGGATAAAGGGGTTTTAAGGTATACACATGGTGTCTAGTTAGGTAACAGCCTAATTTGACTGAGGATCTGAACATTAATTTTGACCTTGAACTCCAACATTTGATAACATTTTGATAACTGCACCTCCAGTTCTCTATTTATATAATTTATATTTATATTTATGTTCAATCAAGCAATGTCTAATGAAGATATGACACAGTAAATACAAATTGGCTTAAATTGTTATTTGCAGAAGATTCACTTAGTTTTCTAATTTGCTTGTCTTTTGTATTTTGCAGGTGTCCAAATGACTCCTAGCATTTTAGGAGTTTATTTGTACTCAGTTGGACAATATTCTTTTAATGTCACTGAAGCTAGAAGTGCTTGTGAATCGTTAGGAGTAACCATAGCTACGAAGTCTCAGGTTTCAAAAGCTCGGCAGAATGGCTTGGAAACATGCAGGTGTGTGATATATTCTGTTTACTGGTGGTTTTATATTTTTCTTTCTACCATGCCAAAAAAATGAGTGTCAAAAGCTTTCACTTTTTAAATCAATTTGTACTTCGAGCAGAAGTCCGGCCCAGCCCTTGTTGACTCCTGGTCTGTGGAGAGGGCGAATTCTGCAGGGGTGCTGATGAGGTTCAGTGCTGATTGGAGAACAGGCACGTCCCTCACTGGCAGGGGCAGAGAAGGTGCACGTGATTTGCTGGGAGCTGAGGGAGCCCGGTCTCTCTACTCCCAGCTCAACACCACATTAGGCATAAGGGCCCGGTCACAAGAGGGCGAAGGATGTGACCAGGCTTAACCCTGCACCATCTGTGTCATGCAGATCAACTCGGACAAGAAGTGAATCCATTTGAGACATTTGTCTTCTGGGAAGGACTTGTACAGTATGCTGTATGTTGTACAAGTACGTTGGCTTTTCTAGCTAATTGGATTGGATCATTTCCTGGGCTGCCCTGTACTCCTGTCTGATCCTTCACGTTGTTTTCCACGTCAACCAAAATAAATGTGTTTCAGCTTTGCCAAATATTGCGGGTTTCCAAGGCATGATACAAAAACTGAAATGGAGTACATCTAGGGGCATGGATGTAACTGTGACTTATTTTCTGCAGTGGTTCCCAGCTCTGGCCATGGGAAACTGGTGTGTCTGCAGTGTTTTGTTGTCCATTCTAAAACACCAGGCCTCATGAATGCCTTCCATTGATCTGCTTGCTTAGGTTTTTTTAATTTACTTGTTACTAAACTCAGTCCTGAATTTAAAAAATACCGTACTTCATGTGCGTTGTTCACAACAACTACAGCATGCAGAAAATTAAGCAGTCCTTATCTTGTTTATATATTTCTAACTAATCAGCTTCTAATAGTTGACTAATGTATGATCAACAGACACATGTAGAAATGAGATATATCAAACACTCCCATTGTGAGCATTTTTTTCTTCTGCAGAGGTTCATATGATTACATTTCAGCCAACCAACATGGATTTGGGGAGTTCTGAAACCCAGAAAATGGTACAGGGTTGATACCCATTCCAAATCACATTCAATGTTTTAAGAGCTGAAAACAAATTTAAATTTATACCCCAAACAGAAAATTGAAATAAACTACCCTGTGAACTAAGCTGGACAAAAATCAAAAGAGGTTTGTGAACCACCATTTCAAACTAGTTTGGTGAGAGGAAAACAACTTAACTAAAAATTACATTTGTGTAACTTTTCTTGCAGGTATGGATGGGTGGATGAGCAGATAGCAGTGATTCCCCGAATCAAGAGCCTTGACAAGTGTGGTAAAAATAGCACTGGGCTTGTAGTGTGGCGTGCAGAGCATTCAAGCAAATTTGATGTCTTCTGCTTCAATTCATCTGGTATTAAACAAATCTTTTTGCTTTCTTTTCATATTCACAAGGGATGTTTGATGCATCTACCTCAGCCTTCTCAAATCAAACAGAGGCATATTGTACCGTGTTAACAGCTTTGTTTTGAGAGCACAGTCTTTTTCAGAATGTGATGCAATGACAATGTGCTCCGAATGGTGGAAAAAAAGACAGCGCTGACCTTACATGTCAATTGGAATTCTGTCAACAGCCGCACAAATGTGAGAGGAAAAGAAAAGAATGAAAACATCCTGCATTGACTTCCTAAAGTCTCCTCTGAGGGTGCTGAACAAATGATTAGTACAGGTTATTGGTCAAGTTAAAATTAAAAAAAAAAGGATCAAATGGAAAACACTGCTAAGACATGAAAAAAAAAACACTTCTGTAATAAACAGTAACAGAAATGTCATAGAAAGAGGGCTGTTTTGATAATGCTGCAAATGCATAATAACAGACAAGCTCCATGACTTATGTAGTCACGATGGCACTTTGGGGCTACCTTGTTGTGAAAGGCGCTTTATAAAAATAAAATTGAATTGAATTGAATTGAACTTATCTAAAACTACCAGAATTGTGTTCCACAGATCCATTGATAAATGTGACAAGTGTCACCACCCAAACCTCGGTGACCACTGGACTGACAGCCAGAGAGACAAGATCCCTGACTGCCCAGCTGCCCTCGATGACATCAGTGTCCTTGAAAGGTCCAAGGTCTTCTACTCCACCAGAGACACAGTCACCATTCCTGACCACAACGTTGTCTTCAACGCTTCGTTCTACAACTGTCTCTTCAGATCCTCTCTCCCAGGGCCTCGTACAATCACCATTCACAGGTCTGAGGTCCTGTATGTTACTTATTTAAGAAACCACAGTTTTATGGTCAGCCAGGAGAAATCATCAGTTTAATACCTGGACAATATATTCCCGCTTGTTTTACCATTCCTATAACACGTCTGGTGTATAATTAATGATATTTTATTTAACTGTTGTTAGAATCATATACTTCTTTATACATACGGTTGCATCTAAGTAACTTTCTCTAAGCTGTAGTATTTTTAAACTTTAATTCAATAGGAAAATGAATGACTGTACATATGTGTTCTCCCTCACAGCGTTACCGTTAGCACTGTTTGTCATCGCGGGGATACTCCTTCTCACAGCTGCTGCTGGTGCGGTATGGTATTGCAGAAGGTGAGTGTGTTGGAATCACTTTTAAACATTCCTACAATGATACATATGTCAGCCGAAGAATATTTTTTTAGACCTTTTAAAAGATATTTACATATTTGTTTACATAACAAACCTTTTCCTTAGTATTCACAGAGGTTCAATAGTAGATGTATAAAAAGCTGTGTAAAAATGTAATAATTTGATTAGTAATATAGAATAGAATACAGAATAAGGAGAGTATTGATTGACTAGAAAGTATTCACTCTTTCCTGCTTGCTTAAAATACCCCTTCCAAAACAGTACACTATGCACTGACTAACTGAATGAGACCTTTATGTATTTTATGTTTATGATATATACTGTTTTATCACATTCTAAATTGCTGGTTGTTTTTGCTTTCATTTTGAAGGCATAAAAATGTGCATCCATTTTCAAACAAGGAACCTCCGAAGGAAAATATTGAAACTGAAGTGTGGAAACAAAACAACCGTGACGAACAGCACCAAGAAAACCAGCTAGAAACTGATCTAGACAAGAGCAGAAAAAATTCCCAAGACTTACGTTTGGAGGTGGAGCCTGAAGCAAAAGCACAATAAGAAGAACAACTTTTTCATGGCATAACTACATTAGAAACAGGCATAACTACATTAGAAACAGCAACCTGAAATATCCTTTTCTACATTGTACTTAGTTTCTTCATTTACTGTACATATATGTCTTTAGACATTTAACATGTTTAAAGGTAACTGTATTAATGTGGATTTCTAGGGTTAAAATAGAATGCATATTTTATGCCATTTTAACTTCTTTAACTGAAGCAAACATTTCCATTTCAGTTCAGGTGTATGTAACACTACAAAACAGAGTGCAAAGGTTCTTTGAGGACTTTTATAATGATCAAATATACATACGGGCACTGGCTATTTTTGCTTACTTTGAATACATTTGTAATTAAAAAATAAAAAAACATAAACATCTAGTGCAAATTTTGCAAAGTGAGTTATTGTTTCAAGATAAGCTAGGTAATTAGAAGTCTTTCAAAACAGGAAAGCAGGAAAAATTCTCAGCTTTGCACAATCTTGATGACTGACCTTTTATTGTAAAACGAAAAACCATGTTCTGCCTCTGGAAGTGACTGCTTGGTCTGGCAATGGGAAGAGTTTTCCATTTTCCAAACTTTCCATCTCTTTTGCTTTAACATACAGTACAATCACAATGAATATGAGCACTCTCTGCCTTCCCACCATTCCCTGCTCTGTGTCTAGCGTGCCCCACTGTAATGACAAGAGTAATAAAACTGTCAGTGAGCCAGGTCTCCAGCTTGGGACTGTTTCATACCTGCGCCTTCCAGGGAGGACAGCAAGGGACTCAAAGCCTTTCTCCAAAAACACTCCAACCGGCTGTACGGGTTACACAGCATCATGTGCAGACAACAGTTTCCCCTCCCCTCTGACAGTGTGAAAAGACAGTCTGGGATTCCTCCTCCAGTCTCACGAGGGCTACGGGACATCCGAGGGTGCTGCCTGTGCAAATTCGTTGAGCAGGGTAAGGAGTGCTGGAGTCTTCCTCCGCTGCTCCTGGACCCTGGCGTCTGACTCTGCCACGATGGTTCCTACGAAACTTCCCTTTTCCCCATAGGTGTCTCCGTACCTGACTGGGGCTTTTTTATGCTTTCTAAACAAAAGGCTCTTGACTCTTCCCCCTGGGGAGAGGAAGCTTTGAGTGCTCCTTCAGGAACCGGCTGTCCAAATCTGGCCGTGGTCAAAGGAGGTAAAAGAATAGGGCATGAAACTGAATCAGCACCAGGGTGCAAATGGTGCATCAATTCAATGAACATCCAGTCACCACCAGGCACCAACACTCAATTCTTTCCATTCTGTGACACAATGTCCGTGACATACAAAATACGAGGCCCAGATAGCCCATACTAGAATAATGTGATGACAGAATGTAGTTGAAGAGTTTAATAAACCAATTATTTGGGAAATAATACGGTAACGTTCACAAGCCTCTGTTAAACTGAGGAAGAAAAGCTGAAGCCAGCAACAGAAAAGCTGAAGTTGGCTTCGCAGCGCCCCCTTGCGGCAAATTAATGGCGTTCAAACACGTCCAGATCCTCGGAATCACATCATTAATCTGTGTTGTTTAGATCAGTGGTCCTCCACGAAACATATTTACATGGAAAGTAACCACTCCAAATCGCACATAATTCCCGCCCTAATCTCTGTACCAATGCACAAACACGAAGAGCAGGTACAATATTGTGGGATTAACAATGGAAACGCTGTCACACAACAGGTGCTCCCATGGGCAAATTAAATCCACCAATTTTTCATATGCATTCGTAACTTTATTACATTGGAAGTTAATACCAATTTAATATCCTATCCCCACTACAGACTTTTCTGCTGAAATATATCCACGGAATAAACCTCAGCAATCAAAGGGTGTTTCCTAGTGACGTGTCTTTAACGTCATCAGATAGCGACACTGTTTTCTATACCCTATGAAGTGAGCTGCGACTTCTGTGGACTATTCTGTTTCTCTTTCGAATACTCAAAATTACAACTGGTGTTAATAACTGCTTAAAATGAAATGTTTGATTGGTAAGGAAAAGCTATACAGAATTTGGGTTAATGTGCAATATAATACGTTTCACATGAAAGTCTCCATTATCGTTTTTTGTGCACGTATATATTTTTCCTACCTATATGTTTACAAATAAAATTAAAATACACTCAAAGACGATCTATGATTAGTGTGATTTTACGGAGTAGTCTGAATTACGTGTTTGATTATATGTGTACTATGTCTTGGTAGTTTGATCGCAGTTGCGTAAGGCTGTATGTGATGTGGTTGGTATGGCCTTTATCGCTTATTTGTTTACAATTTGATTTGAAAAAATACGAATATTTTTTAGTATTCATGGACAAAAAGCTATTTGGACTTGGACTTCAAGCAGCTTTAATGATACTTTTCAATATCATTTCAATTTGCTTGTCTTAGAAATCCAAATTGTGACAGGAAAATGAAAGGTAACATTGTGTAATGAAATTGAGACGTTATAACTAATGGATCTGTATTCTTCGCAATGTTGATAACAGATGTGTGTCAGATAGGCAGTTTTTGTCTGTTTCAATTTTGTGAAGGATAGGGTTGGGTATTTGTGTAGTTATATAAGGACACCGAGATGGCGGGGGTGTCATTTCAATTCATAGATGTTAGTTACATGGGTTCAACACTGTCCTGAAAAGTCTCCAATGTCAAAAAGTGCAATTTCTAAATATAAAGTAGATACAACTTGTTTTTGAATAGTAATGACATCATTACTAACATCAGCATCAGCAATTTAAATAGCTATTGGCTGTTTTTTTAATACTTTTACTGTTTCTTATATTGAGGAACGAATGCCATCAATTTCATTCAACCGTAACTTTAACAGTGTTTCAGCAGTTCCTGGCAGTGCCAGAGTACCAGAGCAGGTGTTGTTTGTTTGGAGCTTAAATAATGTGAGAGATACTCCGCTTTCCTGATGTGAGAGTAAGTTAACTTTAATGAGAACGTGTTTCTTTAGCAGAAATGTCGCTAATGAATGAGACCTAACTTCCTCCAAAGAATCTGGCGTCAGGACTTGATTCGGAAGAGCATGGGTCAACAGATCTCTAGCCAGACCCAGATGGTCATCAACAAGCTTCCGGAGAAGGTGGTGAAGCATGCAGCCCTGGTGCGAGAGAGTGGCTTTCTTACCTATGAGGAATTCCTGGGGAGAGTGGCAGAACTCAATGAAGTGTAAGGCTCACTTCTTCCATTTCCTGGGCTGCCGTAAGAACAGTCTATCCTGGCCTTTGAAGTGATGTTGTGACTGAAAGCATGCCCCAGTTTAATTGGAGTGCCACAGTAGAATGTTGGTAACAAATCAAAATGTATGAAATAAATGTCATTGGAAACACTCAAACACTTTTTATCTGGTAACCAGACATTTAAGAGCACAGAGATGGAGAAGACTATGTTCTGTTGCTTAGACCAGTGATTCTGACTTCTAAAATAAAACAAAAATTCCAGCAGCATTACAAAAAAAAGCCGTTGGAGTGAAATTATGCATTTTTAAATTATTTTGAAAATATCTGAATTGAAAGTTTTTTGTTCAATTATATAATATTGTTTAATCTTTGTTCAGTTTACATGTTCATATTTTTTAGAATATTTATTTAAATTGAATTTTAAAATACGGTACACTTGCGGCAAAGATTTTTTAAGCAATAAGGTTAGGAAACTATGTGGGCAGTTATAGGAAATGTTTGCAGCATTTCTAATTATCATGGGATTTGTTTTGCATTCTTTAGAACTACAAAACTGGGAGCTGGCCAGCAGAAGCATCTATTATTCGAAGTCCAGCCTGGCTCTGACTCGTCTGCATTTTGGAAAGTTGCTGTGCGAGTAGTTTGCACAAAGGTGAGAATGTTTTAAAAGTCTTCTTCAGCAATAATAGTGACATGCAAACTGTAGTGGTGCTTGTTTTATTCCCTGTTATATTCAATATTCTGAGTGCTGCACAGTATCAATCAGTCACACTTTATTTTAAATAGCGCCTCCATTAAATACAACTGAAGTTAAAGAGAAAATATAAAAAAAATAAAAAAGCATGTTAACAGCAGATAAATGGTTACAAAAGCCCTCTGGACTGGTAAATGGAAGATTGCGTTTTTCAATCCCAGGTGCTGCTGTACCCTTGAGCAACAAACATGTATCATCTTGCTACAGTAAAAAACCCAATGGTGTCAAAGGAAAATTGTTATACTTGGACAAAAGTCAAGAAGGACCTTCGAGTGTATTTTATATACTGTATAATCAGGAATGTATATTTTAATAGATTTGCTTTTGTAATTGTGTTTGGAAAAGTAAATGGGATGGAGGTGTTTTTCAGGTGTAGTGTTTTTTTGCCTTACACATGTTCTATGTGAATTGCCTTTAGATGTGCAAAGAGAAATGGCTAATCATTACAGTTGTATATATCTGTTCATGTCCATAGACCTTTCTTTTTATTCAATTCTGTATTATTTTAGATAAACAAAGTCACAGGGATTGTGGAAGCCACCAGGATAATGAACTTGTACCAGTTCATTCAGCTGTACAAGGATATCACCAGCCAGGCAGCTGAGGTGCTAGATGCAGAAGGGGGCTGTGCAGGAGCCTCTGGAGAAGAGTCTTCAGAGACATCATGCCAGGCCAGCATGTGGATGGGCAGGTAATTCCTGCATCTCGCTTTGGTCTGAAGGGATACTGTTTTCAAGCTAGGTTACTGAGGGCCACACTCTGTATATCTTTAAGCAATGACTACACAAAACTGTAAATTCTCTTAGCTACTTAAGTACCAAACAAGCAACATGGTAGTTTAGTTTTACCTGCTTGTTTGCAGACTGTTCTTATGTTCTTAAGAATACTGTCTCTCTAGTCTGAGTATAATCCTCTCACCAAGAGGATTTTGTGGTAATTATACACTGAAGCAATTTCACTACTCTTGTTTTCACATCTAAAGAGAGAGTTTCCTACCTGAGAATTGTTAATTCAACTGTTGAATTAGAGATTTTTTGTTTTACTTAGTATATGGTCTTCAGGAGTAGATATAATCCATTTTAATCCTGGTATACAGCTATAAAACAAGGCATGATTTCTAGAGTTTTAGGGTGTTGCAGTATTATTTAAAACAGTATTATTTAAAGAAACTGTAAACACATGAATAACTGAACCACCCCAGGGTGAAGCAGCTGACTGATGAAGAGGAATGTTGTATCTGTATGGATGGCAAAGCTGACCTCATACTGCCATGTGCTCACAGCTTCTGCCAGAAATGCATTGATAAATGGTAAGTACTCTTAATGAGTGGCAGCACAAATAGCTTCTCCCTGAAGCCAGCGCTTGTAATTGTTGCGTTCTATGACTTGATTCTTCTCTAAAGCATGGAAGATCGATATATAGTTATGAGTGGTTAAAGTAAGTTGGAAAAAAAGCCCACATTTAGCTTTTTTCAAAGAAATCTAATGTTTTATGCTTTTACATTTTTTAAATGTTTGGTCAAATATGAGTTGATGACCAAAAGTGGAATAAAATAAAACTAGATTTACTGCCATTAAGTACCCAGATTGCTCCAGCAGTGTATAAATGGGTACCCAATTGGCATGTAAAAATCTGGAAATTCTTTTTCATGCCAATTGGGTACCCATTTATACACTCAGGATATAAAGGATATACAAGCCAAATGAATTCATAATAGGGGTGCTTGCATATATTGTCTTTCTATGCTCAAGGAAGGCATAAGTTGAGAACTGTTTTTTAGAAGCACTATAAAATAAATCCATGTAGAAACAACGGTAATGTCTGTTTCAACAGGAGCGATCGCAATCGAAACTGCCCCATCTGCCGCTTGCAGGTGACTGCAGCCAACGAGTCCTGGGTCATGTCTGACGCTCCAACAGAGGAAGATATAGCAAGCTATATCCTCAACTTAGCCGATGAGGCAGGCCATCCTCACAGGCCTTGACCTCACCGCGCCACCCTGCAGAGTGTAACGCATAGGGAGAACATTAAAATGACTCATAACTAGTTTCATGTGATGGCCTGCTGCTGGTTAAGGATGAAGAAAACCTGGCTTTCTGATTTTCAGTGTTGACCAGCACACTGAAAAGCATTCTACTGATGCATCCAGAAAAATTACTGTGTGGTGTAGTTTTAAGACTATCCTTTGGTGGGTTCTCGTACATCCTGTTAGTATTGGGAAGTCTTTTTTTCCATTTATACTTATAAGCTATCAAAATGTGAATTAAAGAATTAATGTGGGTTGGATAATCCATCAGCAATGACAGGAATTCCATTTGGCTGTGTCACTATTAGTGCTAACCTAGAAATTAAATCAAGTTGCAGTACATTTTTACTTTGATATCATTTTCTAGCACACTGATGTCTGATGGTGAGGTGGTTTATTTAACATTTTTTTCTGTGGTATTGTATGACATGAACTTGCAATGGAGTTCTTTTCTTCCTGGTTTCATTTCATAACCTTAAAACATCTCCCTATGCAGGGGCTTGTTTTCATCAACTTCTCACATCAATCAGAAAGGAGCTTTTAAAGTTAAAAATGCAGGCTACTCCAACACTTAAGATGCAGTCTTGAGTTACAGGCAACATTAGTCTGCTCCAGTCACACTCAGGGATGAAGTATCATAACAGTCATGAGTGGTGATAAATGTACATTTGATTCAAAGTTTTTGGTATATGGAATTAATTATGTCAACCTTCATTGATAAACTCTGCTGTAGTCTTCTTTCATTTAAAAGGAATCTTTAAAGAAAACTCAATTTGCATATTAAAATGAGCCCTGCTATTACACCAGCTTTTGACACAGAACAAAGTGAAATTCTGTAGTGTTGATGGATCCAATCAAAACATTTGTCAGAGAAAAGAGTTAAACTTTAACACACCTAATATTAAAAAATAACAAAGAACTAAAAAAATCTAAAATCAAGTCAGAAGTGCTTGTAAACCGGTTTTATATGATCCAGTGATCTTATGCTGTGCTTTGTTTTAAAAAAGCTGGCTTTGATGTTTCTCTTGTTGCTCTTGATCATCTGTCAGTGTAGCAGTCATATTAATTCCATGACATGTCAAAAGAATGTGTTGCAATCTGGGCACTTTTCCTAAATTATCTACAGATGTTCAGCTCAGAAAATTCCTAACTACTGCATGTATTTCAAAATCCAGTCCTGAAAACAATTGATAAATGCAATTGAAGCACCTTGAGATAATTACAGTAACCTTAATATCTGTAATGGAAAAAGTGCATATTACTAATTTTATAATTGTTCATGGTCTTTTTATTAAGATATATTGCCATATACTCAATATATATATTTTATTTATGTACATTTATTGTTTGAATAATATCAATCAATATTGATCCTATTAGGTTGTGGATATAAAGTTAGGATTTTGTTTATTTTTTGGCTTGCAGTGCATTTTAAAGTAGAAAAGGCTTGTGGTATAATTTCTTTGTAATTTACCAAAGACAAGAAACACTTCTGAAAGTGAGCATTTTGCCATTTTGCAATACAAAACAAATGTCTTAAAGTACAGATGGAACCATGTCTTACTTCTTAGATATAATCCAATAAACTGAAGTCAATACCAGTTAATGTTTCTTTTGATGTATGGACTGAAGTAGATTATCCTGATGTGGGGACTGTCTTGAGGCAGATTTGATAGAGTTTTATGTGGAAACTTCATTTATGATCCTATACAATGAAACATTTCACACCAGAGATAGAAAAGAACATTTCTTTAGGTAAACTAATCACTGATTGTAATCAGTGGTCAATGGGAAAGCTTCAGTAGGACTGAGTGTTCACTTCAGAATTCTTTGTGTTCAAATCTGAAATCTCAAAAGTATTTGTAATACAGGCAATCTTGATTATACCCAATTGCGGGTTTAAACACATACTGTAGTAGTTTAAATACTTGTGATTTGTGAGTTGAAACCCCCTGTACTTAATAAATTACTTATGTTCTTTTACAAATTAATTTAGGTTCTTTTTAAAATAATTTTGGATTCACATTGTATGCTGTAGTAACCAGAAGAATGCAACTGATAAAATGTGATTTTCTGCACTTTTTTCATGTTTTTAAACAAGTTACTGTATTTATAAAGCCTTTTTTGACACTCGATAATACATGACACTAAAGCTAATATTTTTCTTGATGTTTAAAAATTATAGAATGGTCAGTAGTGTGTAAAATTATTAATATGATACTTCCATTATAAACCGAGAGGAATTACAAAATCAGAATTGGAAAGTTTCATTTGTTGCAGTTTTAATACTTTGCAAAACTATTTCTATTAGAAGGTAAAAAGACTTTTTTTAAAATAAATGAAGAGTAAAACGTACAGTAGCACAAAATTACACTTCACTGTTTGTCTTTCATTTCAATGAAGTTTGTTGTGTGGAATTAGGCCTTCCTCTTGCGTCATAGAATCTATTTACAGTATTCCTTATCCTGGTTATACCTATTCCAAGACGTTTGCTTTGGTCTTAAATATGTTTACCCTCAGAGGGGTCTGGAAGATGAGATATTTCCAAAATGGAAACAATTTAAAAACTGGAAATTATAAAAAATATCAAAATATAATTAAAATTGATTCCCAAAAACAAATGTAGAAATTCTGAGAGCATTCACCGAGTTATTCATGTTGCATATTTTGATAAGCCGGAGAGTGTTAGTACAGTATATCGGAGGAAAATGTTTGAGATTTGAATCAGCCTGTTTCCAGTGGAAATACTCCTCTACCCCAAAATTAAAAAATGTGCATTATCTACTGTTTAGCTGTATAATGTTAAAATAAAGCACTGAAAAAGCGTTGTATAATGTGTTCCATACTGACTGTAGAATAATAAAAAAGGTCTTAACATTCACTGGATTTAGTCTTACCTGATAGACAATTTTGACTGTACAGAATTTTTCTTAACTTTTTAAAAGCTATTTTTCATTAAACCTTATGTTGTGGTAAGATATTTGAGGTGAATGTCTCCAACCTTTCACTTCCCCTCTGTATAGCATTATATATTTTTTTAAAAAGCCTACAGTATTATAGTCGGTATACATGCTGTACTTTAGTCTCTCATTTCTATATATTCCTTTTTAATTTCATATACTGTTCCATTTTTCTTTTTATTCAAAATGTAATATGGATGAATAGAATTTGTTTTTAGAAGACAAATTACTGCAAAAAAAATTCAAGTTTATTTAAACCATTTCCCATACACACCGATAAAAGGCAGTCGTAAACAATGTACATATGAATACTGGAAACATACAAACAAGCCAAACTGGTTTTGCTGCATGGTATTGGATGTTGGAGCACGTTTGTGCAGGTTAACATTTACAGAAAGATAATCCAGCTGTTTTATCTACATTAAGTGCTAATGGTGATGTTTTGCTAACAGAGGTCTCCAACATACAGTATGAAGTCAACATTATACTAGTTTTAAAATACCATACTACTATATGTTTGATTACATTTAATTGTCCCTCTTAATGCATAAAAAAAACACATATCCCAAAAAATATAAATCGCCTTACGAAAAATTAAATGAAATCCTTACATCACAGAACTTTAAAGCTTGGTAGTGTACAGTATACCAGAACTTGTTACACAGTGTGCAGTGATTATATGAAATTAAAATTGTTCAGCAGTTTTTGACAACTGTACTTTTTCAAAAGTAATTTAGTCCTCTCTTTTGTTTTTAATGCAGAACATTACATAGGGCCCATCATATATGTAAAGTATAATTTGTTTAGAACAGCAGTACTAATTGTTGGACTAATTTGCATTAGTGCTCGTTCCTTTGCTTCCTTTGTTGCTTAGGGCTGGCATGTGCTTTTTTCATAAGCAAGTTTTTATGTGCTTAAACTGGAGAGTGTTTAGAAGTCTTGAATAGAAGCTACTGCTCACTGTAACTCCCTCTTTACTAGTAAAGCACTACAATATGCACAGCCCTTTAATGCATAAAACCAAGTTTTTACTCTTAAAATCCATGACTTCTTTTAGAACCATCTAGAATAATGATTTTATTGCACAGCTTTTTTAAAGGGTATATTTAGAAATGATACTATCACCACATGCAGTCCCTTAAGCTCCTCTCCCCTTTAACTGCCCTTTACACCCGTCTCTGTTTTTTTCTAAAGACGGCAGAATTAGAGAGGGGTTTGCTGCATTTTCAAACAGGTCAATTTGCTGTAATATTGTGAAGATACCAGGTAACAAGTAATACAAACTTTATATCTGTTTATGTGCATGCATTCCCTTCACCTGTGAACTATTAAGAGTTCCAAAAATATATAAATTGTGAAGATTCTTAAGAAATTCGTTACACTTTGATCTTCTTTCCCAACATCTAGCTGTATTTTATTATATTTTGCATGCAGCCATCCTTTGCCTCTATTTGTATGCAAGATAAGCAGTCTAAGGAAGGGAGAAGCAGGAGTGGGACAAACCTAAAGTTCTTTTGGAATGCAGAATTTTGACTTCATTCTTCCAAATTATATTTGTACTCATCTGAGAGGAAGTGTTGAGCGCATGTCTAATATTAAGGTAGAGCAGAAATTGTATCCACTAACGCTGAGCAAATCCAGGGTGCTCTTGCAAGTTGATGGTAGATCAGTGGGTGGCGCCCTTCTCTCTTCTGGAAACTGTTGTAAGTGCCTGTTCATTTTTAGTTGAACTGTTTTTAGGATCAATCTGCTGAAAACTTCCTCTCAGTATTAGCTTAAAAAGCATACACTGAAAAACATATCAAGGCAATGCTTTCTTCCAAAAGGCACTAGGGGAAAAAATACCATTCGTAAATAAGAATGATTTCACCCAAACTTTAAAATGGGCGATTTTGTTTGTTGTTTTTGTGTATGGTCCTCGGACTGCATATAAAGATACCATACTATTTGAAGAGAAAATCCATGCACTGATGCAAAATTTCTTTAGCCATTTCTTGTAATTACTCGGTTTGTGCAACTATGGCCTCTGTTTTTACCGCATCTACCAAAAAGCTGAGCTCATTGCACATGGTTTCATATCTATAGGCCATGCGAATCTGGGCAACATTGGTCTTCCGAATGTCATTACCCGCTGGGCCATTCTGCAAGTAGTTTTCCCCTAGGAAACATTTCTTTTCCTGCAAAAAAGAAGGAAAAAAGTAGTTGTTTTTTTTAAAGGAGCATATCTGAATGAAGTTCACTTAATATTCTGTTAAAAAAAACTTGTTATATAAATTAATTTTGCTTGACATTAAATCACAATGATATTGTGACGGTAGCCTTCACAATTTTTGTATTCATTTTGTTAATTAATGTATCACAAGGATTTTGTAAGTACTTTTCTGACTACATGTGCCTCAAGAGTTGTTGCATAAATCAACTGATACAATTGATTAAATTACTTTAATTGATTTCAGTAAACTTGTAAGTATAACAATGAAAAAATGTATATTTTAATTTATAATAATCTAGTGCTCTGTTTTTATATGGTTAATGTGATGGAACCACATAGTACCAAGTCAAAGTGACTTTTAATGAAATTGAATGATCGTGTATCATTAAAAAGGAGATGAAACTGATTGAATTCATCTTCAGGCCTATCCTGAGAATGAGGTGTTGAATGAAGAGAAAGCTCTACCTCATGCGACAGACCACTCTGGACCACACTGTTTCTTGCAATTTCACAGACATCACAGGTACTGAGTTTCCACAGCTGAGCAGCAATAGCGTACTCTTCCATCAGAGGTTCCTGCAGCCACAAAGAGCTGGGTTTCACATACCGCACTCCGTGTCCAGTCATGCGTTTAATAATGCATTGACTAGCATCAAGAGGGAGCTAGTTTTCAGCAGGTTCCGTGAAATCAAAGTGTTCCTCTTATTACTTAGGTCTGTAAACATCTGTTAACCTTTCAGCCTTTGCAATGATGTAAAGATTCAGACCTTGGTGCTAATCCTCTTGCCTGTCAGTAAACCGCTGACCTGTTCTCTGTAATCTTTTATGTTTGTTTTGTTGCTATGCTGGATACAGATAAATCTTAGATTATACTAAATTATATTGTATATAAATGTTGCTTCTAGTTTATGTTATTCAGCTTAATATACACCCGTTCAAAGACCCATTCTGCCATACTATAAGAACTTTTTAGGACAGAGGACACAAAAGGAAACTACAGCCAAAAGGCATTTCTTCACACAAGAGCAGACTGCACAAGCTACCTAGCCAGGTCGAGGTTACTGTGGCTTATTTAAAGAAAGAACCACGGACGGGATCCTCAGATTACTTGGCTACTAAAAACCAAATTAGTTTGATGGGTTGAATGGCCTTTCATTTGCAAATGTTTCCAGAAGTGTTCAATATGGTGAAGATGGACTTTTCCGGCTGTACTGTATGTAAGGTGGGCAACAGCTCTGTATGTAACCCTTTAAAAAAAAAAAAAAAAAAGTGTCTTACCTTAGTATAGTGAAACTGCAAGGGATCATCAGTGGACAGAGACACACAGAGCCCTTTGTGCAGAAACTCACGCAGTGGGTTCTTGGAATACTCCAGGAACAGGCTGTTGTTGCTCAGTGGTGACATGGCAATAGGGATCTGAGCCAGGTAATACAGGTACTGGAGCACTGGGCTCTGAAAAGGGGCGTAAGAACATTTACAGGAACTTGTCTTTTAGTCTACTTTAGCACACTCCAAGACACATACTATATTTCACTCTGCTTGCAATTATGGTATTGATCCTTTATAAAAACCCACCAACGAAAGGCTGGGATTTATATCTCCTTTAAAAATGAGCTACAGGTCATTGTAATTCTGAGTTATTGATTTCTGTGACCAATTAATGCAAAGTCATGACAATGTTGAAACTATTTTGCGTTTTTGCATGTTTTCTTTTTTATATAAATATACTCCAATTCTATACATTACATTTAGTTCTTCTGATAACTTGAAGGTAAGTAGTTTGCATATATTTGTGCAATCAGATTAAAGAACATTTTCTTTTTAATGGTTTTTATCAGTCTAAAAAAGGCCAAAAAAAGCCAACTAAAAAGCAAAATGGTTGCAAACAGTTTGGGCTTTCTAGCTTGTTGACTTGAAACAGCTGTTGCCTTGCACTTTTGAGGAACATTGATTGTGAGCTGCCAGAAATGCATTCATATTGATAAATACATATTTCATCTTGAACAGTACTATTGTTTCTACTAGCTATTTCAATTTAGCTCTTGAATTTGCATGTTTAACCACAATACAGCCTACTGTACATGTCTCTGGCTTTTCAGACAGCTCTGGGACATTTTCCCCTTTGTCCCATCTAAATGTGCCAGCAGGAGTCCGTCAGGGCTTTGCACCTGGATGATCAAGTACAACAGTACCTTCTTGAGGTTCAGCCCATGCGAGATGTTGTCTGCCGTGAGGAAGGCAGAGACCAGGTGAGTGATGGAGCCAGCCTCCCCACAGTGTGGTCGGAACAAGAAAGTGCTGAGTCCTCTCTCCCTGTGGCAGTAGAAAGACCATGCTTAATGGAATAAGCCATAGTACACGTTATTTATTTACATACTTTACTTGCTGTGCCTATTCAATCACTGAGAGAGCCAAAGAGCTCTGCTCTTCATTTCTGCAGCACAGCAGAAACCATCTTACACTTATTAGCTCTTGCTTACATAAACAAGTTATAGACAGTGCATACTGAAAGAGGTAGAAACTGGGCAGTGGCCTGGTGGAGCAGATCAGAGTTTGCTCTGGCATTCCCAATATACATTGGTGATGCAGCAGTGTGTGGGAGTTGTCAGCCCAGGAACCTCTGACATTGTCTAGTGGCTCCAGAAACTGAGATTTTCATGCAAAGGATAGTGACAATATGAACAGTCTTTCACAGTGAAACTGCTCTCGTTCTTTTGATTTAGAAGATTTGTAGTCCGTACTGTTACTTACTCTTTAAAAATAATAGCAGGATTGTTTCTAATACTTTGGGTTCAGTCTTGATTTACATATAAATAGGAGGTACTTAATGTCTGGGTTTCCATTTCTACCTGCTATGGTGTATTCTTTTTTTCACAGAAGGATCTTTAGACTAGAGCCGTTTCCTGACACACATAAAGGAGTAGCTTCAGTCACTTACTTCCTGAGGTTGTTGAGCACCATGATGTTGGCATACATATAAAAGAGGTAGTAGCTATAGGGTGGGTTTTCATCTATGGTCCACGCCTCTGGTTTGGGACTCATGTGGGAGAACATATGGTCACTGTGCTTGGACTCATCGTCCACACTGTCAAATCCAGTCACCTGTGAAAGATCAAAACCATGTACTCGGACACACAAACAGCTGAGTGAAAGAAGTAGTAATGATTTCTTAAAACATAAGTAATCATGATATTTGTTCAAATATGCACTACTGAAATCATCTGTTTTTTTCCTAGGAGGTGATGAAAGAACTGCTTTTGAAGAGTAGTTATATAAAACTTCAATGCACTCTATTTAATAACTGCATGGTAAGCAATGGGGAGCATTGTTAGGATTTTCATAAATTCGAAGTAAACTACTTCACATAAATGAAAGAAAATATTACTCTGCAGATTAAACTTTCCAGTTCAGGTAGACGGATCTACTTAAACTTCTCCTTTCTGTGGCAAACGATAGTAATACACTGGTCTTTCTGTTAAGTGATTTTAGTTCATTACACAAACACATTAGTTCAATTATGCACTGCCCCATGAATGCCATATCTCTAAATCCATTTATCACGGAATATGTGCATCAGAAAATGTAGGTTGTGTTAAACCAAGATATACATTTTTGTACATTCTATTTATTTTTATAAAGAAAAGAGAGAGATGTTTTTATTTTATAAAAAAATGGATCCCTTGCATATATACAACTTTAACAAGTGTTGTAACTACAAAATAAGTGGTATTAATAAGAGACATGTTAGAGTACAGGAATAGCAACTACCCTGTCTATGACAGGTGCTATGTATCTACAACTATGGGTCTTTCATCATCTTTAATAAAACAATAATCAGTGCATAACATGTAATCTGTAGAAACAGTTTATATTGTACAAATTCTGTACATCATTTTAATAATTTTAAATCAATTTAAAAACAGTTGTAGAGATTAAGTAATTATCCTCTAGTAAGCCGGTTAATTAGCCTGTATTTTGGGAAGTAACTATTAACTCATTCCCAAGAGGATTAAGAGAAAGAAATTACTCTCCATGTAGGTGAAAGAAAACAGACAACTGGTAAAGAGCTGCTGTATCTGTACTCACATATTTCAAGAAGAGGTGTAGCTCCTTATGCTTCATTGGATTTACTGTGGCCTCAAAGAGAGGCATGAAAATGTTTTCCAGCATTTTTGCAAAGCTTGGTACAATTTTCTTTGATTTAAAGATGTCGCTGAAAAAAAACAAATTAGATTATATTCCTTAAACAGATAAAGCCTGTTTGATATTAGACTTGAATTACTTTTATCAGGTAAAAGGCATTCTAGACTGTTGAACTATAATTTCCTATCTGTAAGAAAAGGTGAGTAAAGACTAGCATACTTAAAGTTAAAAAAAAAATCATGATTTTGGAGGTGGAAATATTGTGGTACTTATTGGTACCATAGTTTACAAATTTCAAACTACTGAACAGCACTTACTATATTCTTGGGATCTGGATGATCCAGCTCATGTTAGGTGAATACACTTTGTGCAGGATAAACCACTTTGCAAGGCTATCCCACTCATCTGGAGAGCGCCCATAGATTGATAATCGAGGCTCTGCGTACTGGTATTTACTCTCTTCCAAGTCATGTGCAACTTCCTAGGGGAAGAGAGGCCCAGCTTCATTGTCTAATATTATAATACCACTCACCAACTTTGTTACAAGCATGAGATTCCCCCCCCCATCTATAACAAAGTCAGATTTACATGATGGTTGAACCCAAGATGATAAAGCCCAGTCATCATGTTTCTCTTGTATTCCATCTCCTCTCTCTCCCTTTGAGGTCAGCAGCTGTAGTGCCTGATCAAAACATTGTGCTGCAGTGTCATAAAGGATAATTGGCCTCAGACTCTTTTAGAATATAGTATTATTTCATTGGAATGGAGAGAAACATTGGAAAATAATTTGGTTGATCTTATACTTTTTTTTTACTGGCCTTTGGTTTGTTCACGGTACCTTGATGAGACTTGCAAAGTATTCTCCTTGAGTGTAGTTGTCAGTTTTCAGGTAGATCTCCCTGAGCTCACTGGCACCCACTGGGTTGTACTTGGAATTAAATTTGTCAAATCGGTGAAACGTTTGCCTCCCCTGTAAATTGAAACAGACAGGTCAAACCACAAATCTGTGCATTATCCTTTTAGCTCAGGGGACACTTAAGCACATTAGCCCCAATACAAACTTCCCGAGAAAATTTCAGCTTTTAATATTCACAGAAGTACTGAGAAAAGTGTTAGAAATGTGAATGAACTCGGATACCTGCCTGCTTGGGTAATGGGCAATTATAAAAAGTATGTACAGTAAAATAACTATGAGCAGATGTGAAGAGAAAGGTTTAACAATTTTCCATACTGATGCCCACATTTGCATTTTATTAAATGTGGTGCTCTGTTGAAATTCTATACCACATAAATTTACATAAGCAAATCACTGTTTTAGTAACTTTTTATAAAACATTAGTTGAATAATTCTCCTTAAGAAGCACGTGTTGTCTTAAAGGCTTACCGCGTGCACGTCTAGGGAGTCCACAGTCAGGTCATAAGGGTCCATGTGAAGGTTATCAAACACCTGCTTCAAAGTGAGCTTTTTTCCCCCCTTCTCCATCACCACCTTATCCGCATCATTCTTGTACGTGCTTTGTATGAAGTTCAGTAGGTGCTTTTGGTTCATGCAGGCTGCTGCATGAATGTGAGTATCTACCTAAGATTAAAAAAAAAGGCAGATGTTAATCCTCTTGAAAATCACTGGAAAACCATGGAAAGATGTCCGCTGCATTCATTTCCATACAGCTACAGAAGAGTGTCTCGCAGTTACAGCGGCCCTTGAAGTTTTAGAAGTCAGGTTTAGATGCCTCATCTTTGTTCTGCAAATATCGGCTCGAAAGCTCAGAAAAATGAACACAAACCTTCCTGACGTTATAAAAATCTCTATGAGGGACGCTCTTCAGTTCTTTAAGCTCTGCTATTTCATTCAGCATCTCATGCAGGTAGAACTTTGATGCCAGGAAGTTCAGTCGTCTATGGCAGTAGGTTTTTCTGTCAATACACAGGGAAAAACTTGTGAGGCCAAGAAGTCATGGCAATACGTTACACGTACTTTCTCAAAACACAGAAAAATGAAAAAAAAAAGTCTGACAGCAGGAGCAGTCTAGTGCATTTCTTAGGTGATTGTAATGGCATGTTTGTTAATGTACTACGGTAGCCACACATGGTGTCCGTTTGGTCATTATTATGATTTTCGATAAATCGAAAGCATAAAAGAGCAGAGGTTGCGCATTGTACAGGCAATGAGTTCTCCAGCCCCTGCCACACAATAATACAAAGAACTTCTTAACCATGTTGCCGTTTTCCAATAGGTTAGATGAAGTACTGTATATGAAAAAGTAGGATATTGGATTAGAAAACATTGATTAAATGGCAAAAAGCCTAAACTCAGCGGTATAATAGTGTCCCCTTTGTGGCTTCTGAGATATCACAACTTCCAGTACAATGTTGTGAAGATTCTGGATTAATTCTTTTCAATGCATATTCAATTTTCAAAGCAGTTAAATTGCATTTAATAGCATATGTAGCATTCTGAGAACACCGTAAGACCATAAGGCAGGACTAAGAGGAAAAGAGCTACATTTGTCAAATGGAATTAACTGGGATTCGTGTAGAGGCTGTAAAAGGAACAATACACACTCTTTCTTGGTTTGTAGCTAATGTAAGGCAAAGCACCATATTTACTGGGATGTCTCCATTAGAAAGATTTTATCTCATATCTGAAGAGACTTATAGTAGTTTAGCAATTAAACATAATTGGGAAGGACTTTCTTCTGGACTCATATTAAAAGAAATGCTTTTAAACAATTATTTATTTAGTACCTCTCCACAGAGGTATAGTTAGGAAAAAAGTTTTTTCCAGGGCTATTTTTACCAGTTACACCAGTGTGCTATACGTTACTTTGCATTAGTGGTATAGTGTTTTTTTTTCATTCACAGCCTGTTGAAAACTCCACTCACGTCGGCCCGTCTGCGATCATGGCCAGAACCTGGCTGAGGTCTATGGCGAACGTCTCCAGGTCAGGGTAGGGCAGGCTCCTCGGCTGGTTCTGCTTCACAGCCTCGGCATTGTCGTACACTATGATGATGCCATCCTTCATCTTCAGCTCGTAATTCAGATTTTCTGGCACATCATCACTGCTGTAGGGGTCTTCCCCTTCTTCTGGGCAGGGACAAATGTCTAGGGGAAGTGTCATGAGTCTCATTAATCTTCCAGTGTAAACAGTGGAAAACTACTCCCTATAATGCATTTCACTCAGACAACCCTTTAGGCTGGGCCCCTTCTAAAAATATACGGTGCAGTAAGCGGTCCCATGGCGGATATGCTCTTCATACAGTGGTATTTTTTTACGTCATGGGATTTCTCATAATCAAGCACATATCACTTAATTGCTTATTTGTGTGCCTGTATTTATTCTAAAGATGCATGCTATACATTTCAGATTTTTAGTGCCTGGTCCTATTTTTCCCCAGTTTGCCCACTTCGGAGTTCTTTGCCAACAAGGAAATCGCATCTTTTGTTTACACGTGTAAGAGTAGCAAAAATTTAAATATTTAATTTAAATGATATTTAAGTGTAGTAAACACTTTTTCCATTCATCCTGCTATATAAATTATCCAGTTTTGCATATTTACTGACAGTTATTAAATAAGCATTTATTACAAAGGCGGAAATATACAGCAGAGAACCAAGAGCATTTGTTGCATTTTAATGCCCTTTATATTTCTGATCTTTAGTATTTGATCTACAGTATACGGTAACAGTACCTGGCATGACCTCATCCTCCTCTCTCCACTTTTCATTTTCAGCACCGCGCAGGAACTGGGCTGTAGTCCTGGGAAACCGGTGGTAGGCCAGTTTTGAATACTTCTCTCGGATATACAAAGCTTTCAACAGACTTTTTGAAGCCTGCTCGTAGTCCTCCACTGTGATCTGAAAGGAAGCGTTTTAAAATTCAAGTATGTTACAGTTCTTCCAATATTGCACAAGTCTTTTATTCTGTCTGTCATAATTTTACGGTTTTGGAAGTTGCCGATCCATGTACCAATATTCATTCTGCAAGGGCTTGAAGTATTTTGTGATCTCTCAGTGAAAACAAGTTGGAATTGCCTAGTATTTTTCTGTTTACATTAATATTATCTTATAATTTCTTGTGAGTTTAGTAAGTATTGAAGTGATTGTTATACAATCGACGGACTTTAAAGGCTTCAGTAATCAAAGTGATTTGAGGCATTTTTAGGTAACGCCTCTTTGGTTGGTGGGTTTCTGTCTACTTACTGTCTACTGCAGTAAATAGACCAGGGAATGGTATAAGGATTATCCTTAATTAAATTACGCAATTTGCAACAAACGTTTGGTAGAGACAACAGTAGCCAAGTTCAATTTCCCTCAGCTGTCGTAACTCTTATCTTATTTAAAAAAAAAAACACCACACTTAAGACTTTTCTCCTTCACATTCATCTCCTGCGCCCCTCCTCCACCCCTTGGTCTCTCCTCCCTCTGCTTGGGCGTCCCACAGCCAGGTGTCTGGACCTCAGCCAAGTGAGTTAAGCCAAACATTCAGTAAATATTTTTTTAATATATTTAATTCTTGGGTGTTGTTATTCTTCTCAAAAACGTTTTTGGCACCACATGCTACAGGTACACATAGTCCTCAACGATCCTCACCTCATTTCTTAATCTGACATCATTATGCAGCATAACCGTTCAAACGGCTATGATTCAGCTGTTTCATCTCATTGCATGAGATGGTACTGCGCCTGGCTCTCGCCAGCCAGTGAGGGGAAAAGGCACGAACAGATCGGTCTCTGAACAGCTGTGTTAGTGGTACGAGTATGAGGTGTGCAGTATGAGTTCGGATCAGTTAGCTTCAGTGTGGGGTCAGAATCAGACAGAGCGAAGAGAGAGTGTCGTTACCCCTGCACAGTAATCTCCACTGATGGTGACCCTCTGGAATTCTGGGACACTGTCCAGCATTGACGTGGGGGGAGAGGTGGGCGAGAGCAGAGGGGTGACCACTGACAGGGCCCATTCTGGATTGACAGGAATCTGCAAGGACATAGACTGGGAACGGATCAGCTTGAAACTCTTCTTCCTGAAAAATAAAACAACAATGCCGACAAATGAAAACCTTTACTCTCAGTGAAGACTACCTGCTTGGACATACCTAATGATTGAGTATGTTTCCAAGCATACCCGTCACGTTTGGCATAGGGACATGTCTGTGAAGCAGTATTCTGAATAGATCATTTTTTATTTATAAATGTTGATATAATAGGATTGTTACAGTGAAATTAAAGTATAAATCCTCTGGTCCTATATAATCTGAGTATCCCCAACTTGATTTTCCTTTATTAATCAAGATAGCATTGTACGTTTGTGCTATTGTAAATCCTAATTTAAAGTGAAATTTTAATTTGCTGATTTTACCATCAATGGAGATTTTAAGGTTCTCAACATAAATACTTTTATCCACATTTCCAAAAAAAGTGAGACACAGCCTTGTCATTATTCAGCTTCTTCTGGAATTCTTTGCTGTGTGTTTTAAACTCAGCTGCAGACTGTCCTGGTGTTTGAATTTACCATTGAATAAGTTACAAATAAGTGGTAATAATACAAGACTGAGACCAATATTTTTCTTTAATTACCACAACCTAGAAAGCAAATACTACTGTCTCAAAATAACTTAGCCCATATGTTTCCATTTATTGAACATCTTGAACGTTCAATAACTGTTGCTGCTGTAACTCATTCTCCTAGCAAGATTGTTTTCTTTGTCCCCGTTAATTATACAGTGCCCCTTAAATGCAAATGTGCATTTACAGATAGGTCTTCCACTCTGCTGAGTGTAGCAGTCCTCAACAAAAAGATTTCCTTGAATGAATTGTTGTTAAGTTAGAAGACGTGTCAGTTAAGGAGTCGAATACCGCATGTTGAGTAAAACCATACCTTCCCCTGCCAGAAGCGGGGTCGTCGTGAACGTGCCCCGCAGGGCTGGTCAGCTCACCTCTTGGCGGTCTCCTCGGAGTGCTGCTCGGCCAGCTCCTTCTGCAGCTCGCGCTCCTTGGCCTGGTGCAGGCCGATCGGGCAGTCCTCCTCCACCGTGAACAGGGACAGCGCATCCTTGGTGCCCTCCTCCCGCAGCGCTGAGGCGTACACCTTCTCCGCTATGCGGCGCACGTCCTCGTCCACCTCGCTCAGGGAGACCTTGGGGAACTGCCGCGGCATCTCTGTAACGGCGGGCCACAGTCAGGTCCCGCTGTCCCTAACTGGGCTCCTCACCAGCCACGGCCACTGTGACCCGACAGACACGGCGCCTCTTCGAATGTTCATCATTTAAAGCAGTTCAGCATCTGAATCCCGTTTTAGTTCTTGGGCTAAACACTTTGCTTCGTACTCTGCTATACCTGTACCTTTCCATGTACACTATTTTTCTTATGATCAGGATGTAAAGAGATGGGAGGCATTTATTGGATAACATCTTTAAACTGCATGTAGTTTAACAATCAGCATTATGGTGAAAATAGGGTCTTGTCTAATAGTTTTTCATTAATGTGCTACATTTGCAACTACTGTAGCTCCCCTAAAAAGCTATCAAGTGTTCCCTGTTTTTTACATAAGTACTCTATTGTGGTTTTAGGAGAATTTGCTTATTTAAAATTTGTATTTTATCATTGTATTTGCAATCTACCCCAACAACTGAGAACTCATTTTCTCCTAATCATCGGTCCAATACATTTTTGGACACAGACCAAAGCACGTTTAAATTAAGTGAAGAGCTGTAGAGGTTGAAAACAAAAAAGGGTTGTTTTAGCAAATAGTGCACAGACTGCTAATGTACTTGAAAGAGCTTTCTCCAAGGACTTCAGGTTCCAAGTACTGTCATTTTGCACACAAATACAATGTAAAACATTTGCTACTTTTTTTAACAAAAGGTTTGCACAGTATATAACATTGATAGTAAATTGTTAATTTTCAAGGTTGAACTCCATATCCTTATAGGTTGATATAGAATATATATTTGACATATATATTCTTGCATCTTCAATTTTTCAGAGACCGTGATAATTAGCTTAATATTAAACGCTTTGACACCTGCCAGCATAACACTCTCCTGTTACACACAAACAAATTCCTAGGAAACTGGTTTCCAAAAATGTACAGAGACAACACCCAAAATATAATTGCATAAAGTACAATAAGTTTCATATAGGACATGCAATATATTGTGGTTTTCTTCATTACGCATCACAATGCACTTGTTAGTGCTGTTCCTGTAAATAAACCAAATTTTGTGTACGTTTAAAAATTCAGGTTTAAGCTTTTTGGAACAGTGAAATTATAATTTAGTCATATTTAGACTATAAATATTTATAGTTTTAGAATTAACATGAGTTGTTAATGAGTTTACAAGATGATTGTAATAGGTATATAGGTAAATAGGTATCTGTCTTGCTAAAGACACTTAAGAACACAAGCTGAGTTTTAAGGGACAATCACCCTGAGTTAAAGTCTCAGGCATGTGATTGGTCAGACTATACTTGTCCAAAGATACTTGCTGTGCATTTTAATGCTAGTGACCAGTGTGAGCTCTGTGGGGATGGCTTCCACATTACTCAGTAGTATGCATGTAGAAATACAGCTGACTCAATCATAGCAATTGCTTGTTCCATATTATGGAGGAGGTGGAGTATGAAGTGTTACAAATTTAAAAGTTGTATTACAGTTTTGATCTTTGTCATTTGTGAATTTCTGTGCTGGAAAGTCACTATTAAGAACAACTCATTTCAAAATAGCCACTGAATATTCTATGTGCAGACTTGTTTGTCTTCTGGATTTACATTGCTAATCATAATCAAGCTTTTAACACTGACTGACCCTAAACAGAGCCACTGCAGAATTGTTGGCAGAATATTGCAATTGCAGAAGCATGGTGAGGGAAGATCTAAAACACAAACCACAAGAGCAAATCAACATGTACGGTAATGCTCTGTCTCGCAGTATGCCTGGAGCAGTAGTTTAAGGTAAAGCGTATCATTTTCAATCTGGACATGTATTTGTTAGGAGAATTGTAGCATGGTATTTTACAGTTCTGTTACAAGAATTGTAAACGGAGTCAAATGCTAAATGTTTAAAGGTTTTTAAAATATATATATATATTACAGATTAGCAAACATTATGGAAGCATTCCCGCTTTGTAGCCTCTCAGTGTTCTTTGTAAAGCTAATTGGATTACTATCTCTGAAAAATTAGGAGAACATTACTCTAGCACAAGTTACAGAGGAGAAGGCTGTAAGATGAAAAACAGCTTACTGGTTCTGTTTTTTGACAGCTGTAAACATGCCATTAGGTTTTCGATCATATGCACTTATTGCCTCATTGCAATTTCAACACCTTAGTCTTAGTCATATTACAGTAAACACAGCACTGGATAAAAACACTGATACTCCTGCACAGTATCAAGTTAGCATCCATTATAACTGATGTGTGCATTAGCAGATGTTTACTGCAATGTTCGGGCACACTTTCACTTTAGAAATAACCACTGGATTGCTAAGGCAAGGGTGGTGTTTGTGTTCAAAAGAGTGTAAACTGATTGCTCACAGATTCACAACTTTTTTTGTTTAGGCAGTGCAGTGTTTTACAGCACTGTGCATATATTCTGACTATTCAAATATGATAGCACAACATGCAAATTGTTCTCCATACCCAGTTAAACTGCGCTATGTGGTATTTTAAGCATTTCTAAAAAGCTAAGTGCTCTTTAAGAAGCTTATCGGTTTACCATATAAAAAAAAAAGTTTTGGTCCTAATCATAAGAAATACACCTGTAGCCAAGTGCAGGGGTGTGTCTCCTGCAATACCAGAAAGCCATTTATTCCTGGTAAAAGTTACAGCAACTCTTTCCAGTCTTGGAAATTGGTACTACACCCTAGATGGGATGCCAGTTCACTACCAGGCGTTCAGAGGTACACAGAGACCACACTTAATTAACTGGACAGCATGTCTTTTGAGAGGGCGTATGAATGAGCATATGCAAGCTTCACACAGAAGGGCTGTGTGCCGCCCTGCTTACTGGCACTGCACCAAGCCATCTGCTTTTCACACTACACACCCCTAATTAAACGCCTCTTAAACCTGTTCTCTCTATGAAGCTGTTGATTCCATGCGAAAAGCAATTTAGAAATGTACCTCATCATTGCTACAGAATGGCTGATTTGGACTCCTAGGTCATCCTAAGTGTTACTGAGGTTATATTCAAGCCCCAGCTCCAAGACAGTTTGACACTTGCAGTAATGTCAGACTGCTTTGGGGGCGGCATGTTTATTTATGTTTGTTTCAGCTTAAGCTTAACGTAATTGAGCATTATTATTTTCTCAATAGGACATGCATTAAAAAAAAAACTCTTTTTGGTTGATTTCAAATCAATGCTGTCAGTGCTATCAGTGAATCAACTTTATACAAAAATGTATTAAACATTTCAATTTAGTAACTTGGAACAAAAATTGTAGTCCTTCAGGAACAGACATTTTCGTTTACTAGACAGAAGTTAGTACACACCCATGAGGGGGAAAAATGTCTGCTCAATCTGGAATAATACATAACACTGCTAAAATATAATGGGGTTAATACTACCTTACACAATACTTTCTGTTTCTCAGGTAGTGTATATGGGACCAGCAGTCTCGTTGGGCAGTTTGGTCCACTCACAGAAAGTTTATGAGGTTTTCTGGGATATTTTTGCAAAGGTCAGTTGAGGACAGCCAGCACGTATTCAGAAGAACTGGCTAGGTCACGGCACAGGTGAAACTGTGTGTGTCCTTTTAGTTATGTCAACTAATATCACGTGAAGAGGTTTGTGTTAGCTAAATACCAGCTACATTACAAGTCAAGGTTTTAAGAAAAACAGAGAAGCTGATACACTGCAGGTGAGGGACATTTCGCTCATTCTTGTCCCTGGTTCCCTAATATCTTGGCATTCCTGAGCAGATCGGTGTCACCATTTTAAAATCCATGATACAAGCATCAATGGCAAACCTACCACTTTAAAAGCAGTGTTAATACAATGGTGTTTTCATTCACAAAACACAATCTCAGATTATTGCATAAACTGTATAAACTTTAGTTATCACTATAAAATAACAGTAAGGGATTTTCTAAAATGTTTTATGTGCTTTCATAAAGCAGTAAGCCTCATTATTCAGGGTTTAAAAAGAGCAGGACATTTTTGATGCGCCAGGAGTTATCTAATGAATCAAGAATGGTTGGCTCTTATTATTACTAGTCTCTAATTTGCATATACAACTTTGAAATACAGGCACTCAATGACACTCTTGTGAAGAAAAAAAGATTAGATTTTTAAAGTCTTCCTTATGAAAAGCTGTATTATTTACATAATTTAAAGCCACTTATTGTGGCTTTATGATAAGAATTTATATCAATACAAAACTTATTGTCTCTTAACGGTGCCGAGTTGTTTTAAGAAGAAATCTCTCCTTCTTTCCCTCAGTAAGAGCTATCTGATCCAGATTTCCATGACCCCATCTCAGTAAGGTCAGGACATTTTCCATATTACAAATGAAGAATCGGTGTAGTTCTCATGTGCACTTTTGTATAAACAGTATACACCGAGAGACACTGCAAGCACAACAAATCAATATTGGATCAAAGAGTTGTTTTTAATGCCTCTCTGTAGTTTTGCTTGCTTCCATATATGGCAAACTTCAGTCTACAGCAACTGAGATCGATACCCAGGGATTCAGAGGTTGGCGACTTTAGTGTATTTCAAATATTGTCCTAATACTCCCATGTTTCTTGACAGTATACAAGGATGAGAGAGCAGGGTCTGGGTGTCTTTGTACAGTAACTGTTATACCATATTTTTCTTTAAAACGTTATTACAGCACATCTATCATAAAAACAAACAAGAATATCATTGTGTCCACAGTCTGTGCCAGGGCTAGTTCCCACTACAGGCCACCAAGCAGAGCTTCAGCAAGCTGATCACTTATGTACAGTCATTAGGTCTAATTCTGGAGCAGGGTTAAGTGTCAGAACTGTAAACGGATGAGCAGCGTACGTTCTGTGCACATGGAACTTGAGGTGCCCAAGTGCTGTAAGCGATTTCAACACTGTAAGACATAAATTTAGGACACTGGACTAGGAAGGAATATCATTGTTTCACCTCTTTCCACACATTTCAGCCCTTCGCAAGTGCTAAATGCGAGCAGATTCAGCATTACACCACTGGTGTACTGTACCGGCCAGACATGCCGCAAATAAATCCCTTTCAACAAACGTGCCTTACCAGCAATAAGCTTCGCTTTTATCAACATTTCAATTAAATTCTTGTCAGTGTGTAAACAACATTAATTAATATCTGAATTATTCATATTGACAAGCGTTTATTGAGGGGGTATTTTTTCCATGGGATATATGTTGTCATTGGTGCGATAATGAGGTGGCCTTGAACAGGGAAAAAGGCTTTGTCATCCACCATTAAGTCAAAAGGCAGGGAAACCAAGAGAATAAATTATCTCCCTCTGTATACAAAGCCTGAAGGGTCCTATAACCCAGTATTGATTCAATAATGGATTCTCATGAATAACTAATGCCTGCTTCCCTGCCATTAAAAAAAAACATCTACAGGATATTTCACTAATTAAACAAACAAAAGACAACACACTGAATCACAGTTTCACAGTTTTAAGTTTATAGCTTATGTTCTAGAAGAAAATGTATTATGACCTAGTAACATTTTAAACTCTAGGCACAGGCTGCTTTCCGCTGTAATTTCACTTGGATTCTTTTTTTTAAGAACATTGTACCTCTCATTAAATTCTTAAAAGCCAAGGTCACAAATCCGTTAAATGCTCCTTTTAAACATGACCTGCTGGACCACCCCACACAAAGCAAGAGAGCTTACCTTACCTTCTGGACTCGTCAGTGCCATTTTCATTTAAATATTGCTCGAGTTCAAAGACAAAGGTGCTGCAGATCAGCCAGCTGTGCTCGGACACCGTATCTGGTCCAGTCCAGCTCTAAAACTCAAACTGTCGTTGGTGGAGTTTATATTTTCTTGAGTGTCCTCTCTATTTTAAGAAGCCGATGGCATCAGAGGTAATAATCCTTATGGTATGCAACAACAGCAAACATAAGGGAGCTTGTTTCGATCCCTACTATGATTTGGGGTGAATTTTATCACCCACTGAATCCACTGTGATCGAAGGCTCAGAAAACTAAGAAACAACCGATAAGTTTTCCCATTTGTAAGAATCCACTGATAAAAAGGAAATGCCATGCGCAGACAGTGAATAACAGCGGTGTCTCACATATTGCATTACTCTAACACATTAAGGGCACAAAAGCCACACACATTCTGTTTCTAGAACTTGCAAGTGTTTTCCAGGAGAGGGATTGGGTAGCTATCACTAGGGCAAATCTGTTCCAGAGCCTTACTGCAGAGCTCTTACACTGACCTTGGCTTACACCAATAAGCCGCATAATGTTACAGGACTCGCAGCTCAAAATAAATAATCCGTATTAAGTTATTTGGATCTCGGTAAGTCATGTCATTCATCAAAGAAAGAATTTTGTTTATTTTTATTTTCCCCGCTGAGGGCTGTAACAGATCCAGCCCTGCGATAACTAAAAAGGTTTAAAACTAGGTGATGACATTGAAATGCCAGCTTGCTGACTAATGTTTCATTCCTACTCCTCCTGTCTGACTACAGGCGATCGAAACAAAAGGGGAATGAAACATCCATGTTCTGAGAAGGATGCTTGGGCCTTCTGTTTAGAGAACAGGATACAGTCAATCAGTAATTTATAGCAGATGCAAAGCACTGTAAGCACTACAATCTAAGTGCACAAGCTTTAACTATAAAATATACAGTATTACCTTTATTCTTTATTCTGCTTTGGAATGGAATTTAGCCTCCTGCCTTCTCGATCGAAAGCTTTGCAGAGAACGCAAGCCAGAGAGATTTGTTTTTATAATTTCCCAGCCCAGCGTATCCTAATACAAGTGCTCAGGCTCAAATTTCCTTTTGAGGAAGTGAACGCCTACCTTATAACATGGCTAACCTTCAAACCAGTTCCTACTGAGCATGCCTGTGTTTCTAAAAGGGATCAGTCAAACAATGATTCACTTATACTTTTCTGAGACCTATAAATAACTTACACCTGTAAGTTTAATGAGAGGAACAAATTGCCCCAAAGACCTATATTGTTATCTTCTTTTATCCTGACAGTTTAAAAAAAAAAGTGTTCTGTAAGTACTCAGAAATGGCTGAAGATTTTTTTTTATTATTTCCTTTATTGATGTGGGAGACTGTAGAGCTGCAAAAACCAATAGATCAAATGACAGGAAGTTTTTATCTTGTTAATGGTGGAAAATGCAGATCATCATGTTATTCACCAGAAAACTGATTTATTGTTGATAGGGTAAATCTCAATAAAGGGTATGAGCCTAGGACTACAGATCAGCAAAATAAATTGCTTTTTCTTGACAACATTCACAAAGTACTGCACAGCTGATAATGTGTATGACCTCTTCCAATTCGCTTATACTTTGATGCACTGTAAAGAAATAAATCGCTGAAATGGGTGAAGTTAATATAAACAGTTTTACCCCTTGTAGTCTGACCTTATCGGGTATTTGAAGCTCAGCAAGGTTAGGCTTAGTCAATACTAGAATGGGAACTGCAAAATAAGACCAGGTTGCGAATGAGAGTACTGCTGGTAGACCAGTAGGTGGCGATCTTCTGTCTGGACAAGAATTTCCAGGCAACTGCCCCAGGGACCCAAGACAGTGAGCTTTAAGATGCCCTTTTCTTTAGCTTAGACTTTAAACCAAGCTAGCAAGAGTAGAGGTGTTTATCCTAGTGTCCCGTTTTAATCCATACAGTAGCCTCCTTAAAGTCCCCCCTTAATTCACGTACTGGATAATCTCTAATGGTGGTGCAGAATGGCTGCTGTGCATCACCTAGATGAATAAAGAGAATCCTGCTCTATGTGCAACACCTTGGGATCCTTTGAGACAAATGCAAGGTATTATTATAATAATAATATACTGTATCCGCTTTCAGTTATGGGGTATCTCACCTCCGATACCTTTTCAAAATTCAGACTGAAACTTGAAGACATGCATCTCGTATGAAGACAAATTATCAAGCCCCAATGGCAGCAAAAATGAACTCCATAGAATTATTTTCTGCAGTTTTAAATTATTTCTAAAAAATGTCTCAAAGTTTATAATACAGACTTATTGTAAAAATGTTACCAGATTTGTTTAAAACATCTTAATAAAGCCCCCTTGAACCCTTTAAGTCCTACAGCCTGTGACTATGTACAAGCAGGATATAAAGGGTATGGTAGAAAATCATTGTGTAGGTGTTTTGCTATGCATACGGTATGTATTTCAAATGCAGTTGCCTGAAAAGTATTCCTTATTCTTCTCTTGTCCAGAGAGGAGTGCTGCTCTCTCTGGTGCCTCAGTTCTGATAACTCTTCCGACAGCTAGAGGAAACCTTTTTAAAACTGAAAGAATGAGTCCCTTGGGAAAGGTCCTTGACTATACATATGCAAGACCCTAAAGAGGAAAGAAATATTGGTGAGCAAGATTGTTAAGGATAGGGGTGTTAGTAGGCACATCCCTCATACTGTAGATCAGTGTATGTCCCATAACACACACACAAACCTGTCTGAGGATCTGAAGTAGGAGAAAAGCCCTTTATTTACAGTCACTAGTGTTACCAGTAATTGATTGTAATTATGCTGGGTTTAATGTTTTATGATACAGGTTGAAAATAAGATCAGAACATTTACATACACTTTAAATATCAAGTGTTTTGAATTGCAATTAATAAAAATAATTCTTGGCATTTGAACTCTATCAAAAAATGATCCAAAAACACTTTACATGTAGGACAGAATCCACTTCATCAACCACTGAAGTGCAGTCATTATGAGCCTATTAAATTAAGGGGAACTTTAGGGAGGCCAGGTTGTGCAACCCTAGAGTGGTATTAAAACTGTGTGGGTTTTTCAAATTGATTTCCAAGAGACAAACTGATTAAATAAGGTGAAATATGTAAACTGTAATGGTGTTCATTCTATCACTGGAAATTGCAATTGTCAGTTTCAACCATTGTCAAAGCCATTCGTTTCTGAGAATTAATGCGTTCTTCTCAGCAAAAGACACTTAAAGATCACTGCATACCATTCCTTCTACAGTCTTTCTCAGAAAATAATTGACGTGGAAGTCTAATGTCCTACTTGTTCTCAACACAATAAGAGTGAATCAACATTAAAGAGTCAATCTTTCAGTACTCTAAATGGGAATTCAGAATGTTTCAAAAATCCATAAAAATGTTATGGAGTACTGCAAACTATACAGTAGGAATCTAAAGTTTAATATACCAACATATGAAATAAGTGATACAAAGAGTGGGTGGATTTGAAACGAATGTTTATTGTTCATTATTTTATCTTTGTTCTGTATTTCTGGATTTCACCGAGTTATGAAACAGGTTAACTGCATCACTATACTTACAATAGCTTGTAAATTACAATAACTTGTGAATTTGAGATGCTTTTAATGCTACAAACTGTATATTCTATGTGAGCCACCTTAAAATAAAGACACTATTGCTAAATAAAGCAATGACTGTCAATGCCAGGCTATGAATATCACCAGGTGTTGGGTAGTTTTAGGCAGCACCTATTATAGTAGTCGCTCAGCTCAGCTGGCATTACAAAGCACTTATAACACAACAACAGCGTTTCAGTCAAACGATATGCAGCTATGACTGTTTTAACATCCACCTTTTAGCATAGGAAGGACTAATCTCACAATTGAATAGCCTGTGCTAGAGCCCATGACATCAACCTTGTTTTGAGTAAAACAGGTTGGTAAAATACATGTGGAATTTTCCAGTCACGTTTCTCCCTTTATTGTTTTCAGGTTTGCTTGGCGGTCCAAATAACATGTAGTAGATAGGCGACGTGCTAAACTACCTGTTTTTTGCACTGCAGTGTTGGAATGCAGAAGATCAGACATCTGTACTATAATGCACACAGACACACAGCTCTCAACCTCCGAACAAGCCTTGAGCATTGTCCGTTGCATCTCACCATTAGCACACAGACAGTTTTCCATTACTAACTGGGATCTCATTTGACGAGTGCCAGAAAGTGCTGACTTTCCATACTGCAAAATGTTCTGAAGTCTATCATTGCTCTTATCTATGCTAAAGAAAGCTCTGTGGTTTCAACCAAAAGGCTTAAATAAACTCCGTATAATGCAGATTATGCATCAGCCCATCACAAATCATATCTCTAATAGGCAACCAGCAGTCATTCTGTTAAGAGTTAATCCAGGCAGGTTAGCGTACTTCCCCAGAGCACTTATACAGCACTGACCTCCAATCAGACCAACCTAAGCATTCCCAGTTTCCACAAACTCCCTTCATTAATCCAAGTACTGTACATACCATTTCCAAAGACTGGAGTGGACTGTTGTTTAGAGGAGGCAAAGTCTCTTCTTTTGATCATACTCATCTTCTGATCCTGGTCATTTTGTTGAAAGGAAAACAAGCATTTAGGCCTGACATAACCAATGAATTACAGTGCTGCCCATTAATGATTAACAAACTCAGCCATATCTAATTAACACTCGGTTTACAGGAATGATGGCAGATTCAAATACATTGGGTAAACCAGGCTACATGTGTATAACATCATCATCATTACTATTACTATCAATCACCCTTTTTACATTTGGAATTGGACATTGAGTTTGGAAAGGACCATGCAGAGAAATCATGCAAAGGGCTCCGTTTGTTCTCCAGAGGTTAATGGGCTAGACATCCGAGTGAAATGTTTTTACTGATGCAGGGCAACTGCAAGGCGGCCCCAGGGCTGGTGACATGAATCAAATGACATCTCTTAGAGTTCCAAAGCTGATTTAGATGAGCTACAGAGTGACAAACCCAGACAGATTAGCTGCATTTTAAATGAGACTTGGGTAAGGCTTCACATTCTCAGTGCCTGCGATTTTAACAGCCCTGAATGTGACCAGTCAGCACCCCAGTATGTGGGAGCCAGCAATGAGTTTTCATAGTGCATCCCAAGTCCTGGGTCTTCCTGTATCGTTTTTCTATACTCTCCATCTGTGCAATGACATCAGGCCCATTCTCTAATCCCATAAAATCATGAGAGGATAATCCTGTAGGGCAGGCATTGTGTGGAACCACCTTTAAAACAATATAGAAATGCATTTTCCAAAAGATTTTTACCTATTAGATTTTGGTCTGGGCTTCTGCAAAATGGCAAATAAAAACAGTTGAGTTGTTGCTTAAAAAATAAGCAAGGCATGACAAATATTTAGAAAAAGGTCACATGTTTACGGGAACATGCAAAATACTTGTAAAAAAGATGGTTGACTGCACTTTAAGAAAAAAAGCTTGTCACTC